GAAGTGATAAATGAAAGTTCAAATTCAAAGACAGAAACAAAAATAGATCTGTCTGCCAGTTTTTCCATTCGTACATCTGTAAACTTTTCATATTTTCAACTTTTCAAAAGACTCTAAATGTCGAGACCGGTCCTTCAGGTGAGACCGTATAAACAAAGATCCTGTGTAGCAGTAGGTGCTGGCACGAAAAAGATCCTTCACTGCTCAATGGCCCTAATTATTCATGACGAATGGGAATTACATGTTTATTCTTTATTTAGAAAATAAAAATGCCAATACATGTACACACATCAAACTTTTTGAACAGGATAAACATGATACAACAACATTATTTTTTTTCCAATCTGAAGTAATACACTTCAATGAAAAAATAATATTGCTGACAATTCATAAACATCATTAAACGTGTTTCTAAAACATGGGTTTGGACGTCAGATACATATTATACTGACACGCAAAAGAAACGCAACACCCTACTTTATGGGGAAGTACAGTGTAATTATGTAAAGTAAAGAATTTTGTATCTTAAAATTATGAATATCTTCAATTTCGTAAACATCGGTAATTTAACGGTTGAACGATTTCCATACCATACCGGAAATCAAGTTTGAGTCTGCTTTACAGAAATCAAAAATTGCATGTTTAACACAACATTTGGCAATATTATGGAGTTTTAAGGATTTTTTACTGTTCATCATAAGTAAAGCAAATTTCAAAAAATACTTGAAAATGGCTTATGTACGCATTTCCATTGCTCTAACTGGAAAATTTTAATGTAAAGGTTATGGAGAGTTGCTGATGCGAAATTTCACTACATTACGCCTCAACAGGGTCTTACGTACCAAATGCATTAAGGGCAGTCCTTGTACCGGAAGTCCAGGGGTGGCTACACTGCTCTCAGTTAGAGAAAATTCGACCTAATCATCTGAAAAACGGGCATTTAAAAATGCCAAAGAATAATTGATTCGTTCAGATCTCGATATCAATAAACCTATTGTATCATAGAAATTAAGCTGCAATTGTTGTTTAGGGCCGTCTTGCACGTTTTACTTGAATGGCTGGGAGGGGGGTGTTTTAACAATCATATTTTACTTAGTGAAGTAAACTGATAAACATTTAACATTTTTATCAAATCTCTTATGTTTTGAAAAGTGAGTTTAACAGTACTTTATTCGCTTTTGCAAATCGTAAGGAAAAAAAACCCATTTGTAGATTACTGCTTGTTGCGTTTCTTTTGCGTGTCAGTATATAAGTACATTTGATGGTAACATGTTTGCGATAACGGACTTTAAATTCGTATTCCAAAAAGTGATTAAAGTATATATACAGTGATGGCTACCTGTCTAAAAGGTCAAAAGTCTCGAAATTCGTTCTATTTTTACAATTTAATCGTTAAATATAGTCTTCAGTCCGAAGTATATTAATACCCAACAAAAACATTCAATAGTTTAAGCCCTTAACCAGTGACTGGCCATTCGTTTTATCCACTCGGCCTTAAGCTCATGATTCAATGTACCCTTAACAATGCTTACGTCTGACATTGTACAATGCGTCAATTTCTCCGGATATCTGAATTGTAAAGAGACAAAATAACGTTTAAAAAATTCTGTTTCCATGACTGACATTGTACATGTATTAAAAAATGTACTTGTTGTGACCACTTTGTTAACGAGACCTAACTACTACAAACAACTCTAAAGAATCGCCTGTCAGTTCTTTTAGGTTTTATCTTTATTTGTCTCGTTTAAAAGGAAATTATTTAGTCACTATAAAAGTCGAATTTTGCATTTACAGTGTAACTCTACCCACTTATTCAGTAATTTTCCCAATGCAGGCACGCTAATCTACCAAAATTATAATATATATATATCTAAATATTATTACTTTTTGGGAGTTGAACTATGTTCAATCTCCCATGGTCATCACGTATTTAACATGCGCAGTAATTTGTGTTGATTACATAGAGCCGAAAGCGAGGCTATTGTGTCGGCTGATTTACTCCGATGATATTCAACAGAAAACATGCATAAACATCCGCCACAAATAGTTCATGTCATTTTCTCCTGAATTGATCTAATTTTCATATTTTGAAATGTAAGTAAATGTAATAATGATAAAGTAATCTTACTTTGAATATTAGATTTCGTTCAAAGTAAAACTAGATTATAAAGAACCTCAAAAGTTTTTCGTAATGGAACTCATTTTTTGTGTGGCGTCATACACTGAAAAAGATACGATCGACAACTCTACATACTAACAGCAAGCGGTAAATCTAGTCGTCCCGACGCCCGACGGTCCCGGATTTTTAGCAATTTTTTTTTTTACCGGTACACAGAATTTATTCAAGCTTTTCATGAACATTTTCTTGGTTTAAATGAATTCATTAATGCATAAAAACTATAGGAAACATGCGTATCTATTACTTAATCAGCAGTATCACCTGCCAAAAGCGGTAAATCTAGTACTCTGTTATAAATGTTAAAACAAAAAAACGGACACTGATGTTTTCGTAAAATCATTTCGTAAAAACAACAAAATGAAGTTGTTTTTTTTTAATAAAAGGAAATTAAACCTCATTTACACACCAGATAACTCGTGCGCACACAAACTCTCACATATACCACTGTTTTTATGTTTGTCATTAAATATTTGTTTTAAACTTGGTATTGCTTTTTTCTTCACAATATTAAAAAAGATTAAGTTCTGACGTACTCCATGTACAATGTTCGTGTAATTGAAATACATTTATATTCACAGAGAAGTTTTATATAACAAACCTGTTAGCTCTTAAAAGGATGCTGTGTTAAAATCCATATTTTATCAACATTGATATTATTCCCGCGAAACTGAAATTTTCACAACACATGGGTAAAGGTGCCAAGGAAAAAATATCTTACAAATTTGAAGACTGTGAGCAGTGAATTATATAAATGATCAACCGCCTCTAATATGAATATAATAGCAGTGTCCATGTTTTGCAATGGGAAACCCAAAATATGTGTAGGATGGAAAAGTAATAGAAGATGCACAACGGCAATATGTAATAAAGATTCTATGAAAATTTCGTTCAGTAGTGTAAGAGGAGTTGCGGATAAGAGATGGGTATGCCTAAAGCGTAACAAACAGATAGACGGAAATCCAGATTAATAATACCCTCCCGCTTTTCAAGCAGGGGGTATAAAAAAGGACTAATGTAAGCAGGCAACAATATGGTCCCTGCATTTTTTTGCTATTCAATGTCTCTGAATTCTCAAGATTTTTGCAACTCAAAAAATCTGAAACAGTTGTGTGTATTTGAAATAATAATATTGTTCATTCACTTAACCTCCCGATCAAAGATTTTATTTAACATCACGTTCAACTCCCATGAGTGCTTTCAGTAATTTGATTTTAATGGGTAATGTGCCATGCAATTGAAACAGTTACTAGACTTAAATAATCTTTTTTTCTTTTGATATATGCAAGTGAGAATCGTTTCATTTTATTAATATGCTCGGTACATATAACCATCCCCTCTAAGATCCTACGGTCATTATCAAAACATTTTCCCTATTGCTGGCAATATTGACATTTTAGTCCCCGCTTCGCATTCGTCTGTGCGTTCGTCATAAAAACTTGAACCTTTGTCATAACTTTTGAAAGAGAAGAGACAGAACTTTCATATTTCATATGTGCATTACCACTAAGATACTGAAAGCGGGAGGCCACAATTCTTTGTAATGATTTGTATTTAGCGAATTTACATTCAGTCAAACCTTCTTATCCCGTTTATTTTTATACCTGCTGACTTACGTGTGCTTTCAACATGTTCAATGAAGAAATATGAATGCGTCTTGTGATTACACAAGTACTTTGATTTTGTCATGTTTAAAAGATGAAGAAAAAAAGATGAAATATATGATAGAAAAAATCAGGCATGTTTTAAAGGTGAAAAGAAAATGAAATATATGAAGAAAAAAATCAGGCATGTTTAAAGGATGAGAAGAAAATGAAATATATGTCACACAGTGATAAAATAATCACACTAAAATAAATCTTCACCGTCATACTTGTAAAAAAAAATATTACGGAAAAAAGACAATGTTATTTGTATAATTTCAAAAGCCATTGGAGTGATAATTAAAGGTTCAAATTCAAAGACAGAAACAGATATCAGTGATGTACGAAGACTGTCATGAAAACTAGGCCATTTACATTAGGGACCTCTAAGAATCGCACTCTCTGTGTTTATACTAAATTTTATCTCAATCTTCTCAAGAATTTGTAATCATTTATGTATCTTAATTAGGTAATAAAAAATGTGAGCCAAGCATCGTCTAAAGGCATGTTAAGGAAAGACGGGGTGGGGATGTTAAATTCCTAACTAGGGTACAGGTGAATCTTTCTGTAGAAATCTTAGGAAAATGCACTTTAAGATTTCAAAATTGATTCGTGTAAAACGTTACCTAAAAATTCTTAACATCATCTGTTCTTTGTTAAATTCTTGTCCATTAATTAAAAATATTATATTTCGATGCAGTGTTCCTTTTTGTCCCCTGTAAACATTAGAGAACGCTAATATCACAAGAAAAAAAAAGTGCGTTAATTAACATTTTACTCTTTATAACTTCATGTTATTTACTAAGATATATTTCTTGAATCTTTAAAAGAAAAAAAAACAATTGCAATTAATGCGCAATAATTTCATAAACTAATAATACATAACAGGCCCATTAACATACGAGTATGAGTGTTTGCAATCACAATACATATACATATACATGTGCACCATAGTAATCAACTTAACATCAATTAAATTCTCGGGATTGTCAAGGCATTATGAAATGTTAATCTCTTTAATATTTCTAAATATGCTTATTTTTATAAATAAAAAAAAATGTTTGAACTTCAAGGTAGTTTCAAATCAAATTCTTTTGGGGTGGGGGTGGCTGAAAAAAAATGTTGCGTCATATTTGCAGGTTACCAACGATCATTTAGGGGGAAAGTAAAATTTCACTTACTAGTCAGAACGGATCAATCACACAGACACACGCTGTCCATTCGGATTCCCATTGAAAATCTACGGATATACCCTTCAATGTTGTTTTCAACGTATGAAAAAGGATGGAACTTTAAAAAAAAAATTACTAACTCATTCTAGCTTTGGCATTGGTCGATTTTGGCAGCTAGTCGAGGATTAGCGGCAATACACAGACAAGATATTTTATCGGTCAATTGCCAAAGAAAAGAGATCGGGCACAATTAAAGATTAGTTCGGCTTAGGATTCATAATAACTTGTTGTTGGGTAGTTGTAGGGTTTCCTATGTTTTTAATTTAACCTTATGATAGTAGGAGCACTGTTTTGTAATACAAACAGGGACACGCATTTATTTTGTTCTTTCCGAAAAACAATATAGTTTGTTTTTCCCATTTTCCAATATTTTTTTTCGTGCTTGTTAGTCGTGGTGGTGGCGGGAGGGGGGGGGGTGTTAAGACAGAATTTTAAAATAACTTCAACAACAACAAAAATCCTCATTTGCTTCATATAAATCTCTAATTTTGTGTGCGAATATTTTTTTATACTACACCGGTATATATTTCTTTTAATTTAAATGAATCTGCAGCTCGTTATTTCCAACATTTCTATGGTACAGCAAGAATGAATTCGATTTTTAACTACTTACATCAAAGAAATAAAAAAAATCTAATTAATGTATTTCTATTGTCAAAAGTAAACGGGTTTTTAAGTATCAGCATGTAAAAGAATAAGAAACTTAATATATATATATATATATATATATATATATATATATATATATATATATATATATATATATATATATATATATATATATTTAATCTTTTAAGGAGTTTAATGATAGTGTATAGTTTCATGAAATTCTGAATGATTTAATGTGTACGTATTTGTATTCTTTCATGATTGTTTGAGTAAATAAATGAAATAAGCCCTTAAGGTAGTGTTTGTCTGGAAATGCACTTAGCCTCCGATCGGCAACTCTTTGAAGATTATTTATTTTTCTGCTCTCTTCTGGTTTCCAAACCCTTTTAATAATTAGCGAAATATATCAATATTTTATAGTACATACCTCCTTATCTTAATTGAGTTTGACGGAAAGGTTATTTATTTATTTATATTGGGGGGTCGAATTTTCGGGATAAAATACACAAGAAACATAACGGAAATATTCTTAACTCACGTATCGTCAATTTCAGAAATAAGCATTCTTTCAATTTCTTGAATGATTTCTACATGACATTTTTCCATGTCTTGGATTGCACATTCACACCTGTCCATCATACCGCTATATATCTTCGCTGGAGGGCTCTGCCCTTCACATGTTATAAAATTCCGTTTGTGTTTTTCCGCATAACTAAGCAATCTCCTTGAAACTCGTAACACCTCTGTACAAAGTAAATGACATCAATGACGCATGTGCACATAATCGATTGCAGCAGACGTCAATCATTTTCTTACAGGACCAGTGAGAGAGGTCTGAACGTTTGCCAGCGATCAAAATTAATGGGGCGGATCTAAAATTATTTTTTTTTAAAAGTAATTCCTTTTTTCCTTTTTAAAGAGATTTATTTAATGATAAAAAAATATGTACACTTTTGTTAGAGATTTTTTTGCAGGATAATTCATTGATCCGCCATCCATTTTTCATATTAACCATTCAGAACGTAAACAAGGTGTTATGAATGAATCGCATTTTTCTTCAGACATTTAACAGCCGTTAATCTGCCTTGTATCAGATTAATTCTATTGTCTGTAGATTGCACGCTTATCAGAACATTTACATTGTTTTAAATTACTCTGATCAAAATTCAAGGTCATACGCATGTTTTACATTAACTCATTTTCAAGAGGACGAGTTTCCGTAATTTGATAGGTATTCTGTCACTCCAGTTCTCTTTTCCTTTTCCCTTCTGTTTCCGAAACAAATTAGATTTTTACATGTGTCGATCGTGGCTGTACGAACCGGGGGAAAGGGGCAATGTTCCCCAATAAAATTACCGATATACACGTGTATAAAGTAAACGTACATGTAACAGCTTCAAGCTTGGATCCATTGGTAAAAATAGATTTCGTTTATTAATTTTTCTCTTTATTTTATTTTTTTTATTTATTAGCTTTGGAGTTTCCTTTGTAGTAGCCTCCCTCATCCGATTAAAAATCTTACAAGAAATCGTAATTGAAAGAAGACGTGGCAAGGCTTAACTGAATGCAGTGAGCGAGAAAGCGTATACATGAAACGAGACCGAGAGAAAAATCTATATGATATTTTAAATAGAATAATGAAATCATCGACGCACTAAAGTATTTTTACATGTATTTAAACTTTTGAACGTACGTAGTGTAAATTAATTAATATTTTACATGTTTTATCAAGGACCTGTATTTTAAATCAAGAAAAGTAACTACTTATTTTGACTCAGATAAGTTTTGTGTGTGATTTAAACGATAATTTTACTAAACGATATTTACAAAATTTGGCGATAAATATTTTGAAACAGAGAATTTTTTCAGATATGTTTCGTATAAATAGTTACAAAGGATAGATTAATTTTGACAACATACAATATATAATAACGACTTTTGAAACTATCTCTTGCTAATTAATTCTAACCATTTTAATTCTTGCAAAAGGTTTGTTTATTTTTAATAAAAAAAATCGAAGGTAAAAATGGGATCATGTATGCACATATGTTTATATAAAACACCGGCCGTATGAACTTGCCTGGGAATTTTTTCCCAACAAAACGTTATTACGCAATTCTCTCTCTCTCTCTCTCTCTCTCTCTCTCTCTCTCTGTGATGTGGGTTTGTAGCTATGTCTTACCGATATTATTCCGGACATCTGTGCAATTTGTTTCCTGATAAAGAGTTGTCCTTCTTGTTATGGATTGAATAAATAGTACGAGTCGACATCCGATCATTCAAATTCATTCAAAATTTCAAACGAACATATATTTAGGCCCCGCTTTGGTTTGAACATATTTTATTGTTAAGATGTTACAACAAAAGGATTGGACACAAGTACTTAATACTTAGAACGTCCTCTCCTTTATAACAATTAATTACACAAAGTTTTGTTCAAATATTAATTTACACTGGAACCAAAGGTCAATAAGATTATCTAACGTAGGTAATGCATGTTCAAAATGTACATTGATGTAGTATGTACAAACGAATCTAAATACATTCACAAACAACCAGATCTCTTGATAAACAATTGCACATTTAAAAATAAACTTTTCAGAAATACTGATCGAATTATCTCCCCATAACAGAACATGAGTGTCTACAATACGTAAGTTAATCATTCTAAAAATAGCATTGAACAAGTCGTTTCTTGGAGCAGCGTATTTCGTACAAGAGAAAAAGAAATGATATGCGTCTTCTATTTTTCCACAAGTGCATAATGGACTGTCAATAATATTACATCTAAATAAGTCTTTATTTAGAACACAATTGTGTCTTAATCTAGTATGAATTACACTCCAGTAACGATCACCAAAAGTAAAAAAGGACGGGGTGGGTGTTCTCTGAGAGTTTACACAATTTTTGAAGGAACCTATACAGTAGTAGTAGATTGTCGTGTGTCAAAAGACAAAGAATTCCACTCCCTTATTGCTAATGGAACAAATGATGATTTATATATATTTAATATACACTTAGGGATGCAATAATTTTGTGACTGTCTTGTTACGTAATTTGATTCGTGTGATCGAATATTTGGAAATATTATACTTTCATGTAAATTACTTGAATCTGATTCGTCGAGACACATTTGATAAAAAACACTACTACCCGCTGAATATTGAAGCCACGCTCTCCTGCGTAGCAACAGTCAACATTGCTTGACGACGGGTAGTATTACAAAAAAATAGCGACTGCGCAGAATTTATGCGCGCACGGTTCACTGTAATATGTATTTATATAAAAATATTCAGTATAATATAATAAATATTGCATGTAGTTGAGTGTAACATTGAAAATTTTCACCCCTCGAAAACCATTGTCAACCTCGGCTGCGCCGCGGTTGACAATGGTTTTCTTGGGGTGAAAATTTTCAATGTTACACTCAACTACATGCAATATTTATATAATATATCTTTCAGATACTCGGGTACCATGTTATTATATATTTTATACATAGTTGTTCTAACTTTGGAAATTCGTCTTACAGCAAGTGGTTCCCAACCAGTTTCAAAATAAAGAGAATCTCGCGATGCTAATGAAGTTAACCCAGTGACTATTCTTGCCGCTGCAAGTTGTAATTTTTCTAATTTTTCGGAATCTTGACTAGAACACCCACACCAAACTTCAGTTGCGTATTCTAACTGAGGTCTTATAAAAGTAGTATATAAAAGAGATAAAGTTTTAGCACTGGCCCTGAATTGCAGTTTTTTAAGTAGACCTAATTTTTTATATGCATTGGCCACGATAGAATCAATGTACGCTGACCAAGTGAGGTCGTTTGAAAAGAGAATACCTAAGTGATTATGTGATGATACAAAATCTAAGTCACAATCTTGAAATTTGAGCAATGGTAAATCTACATTTTTCTTAGTGCTAAAAAATACAGCTTTGGTTTTCGTAGGATTGAATTTCAATAGCCACTGTTTAGACCACCGCTCAAGTTGATTTAAATCATTATTCAATCCTAATTGAATATCATGTACATTTTCTGAACATTTCTGTAAAGAATTATCATCAGCATACAATCTGCTTAAGGTAGACAAATTTTCAGCAACATCATTGACATATATCAAGAATAAAAGTGGCCCCAATACAGACCCCTGGGGGACTCCAGCATGTAAAGATTTAAAACTAGACATAGTATTCCTATGCAATACTCTTTGTGTCCTTAAATCTAAATAACTTTGAAACCATAGTAATAACTTATCACTAACACCATATGTTTGTAGCTTAAAGAGAAGACCTTTATGCCACACCCGATCAAAAGCCTTAGACAAATCACAAAAAACCATACAACAGTGTTTTCCTTCATCAATAGCTTTAACTATGTAATCATATGTCTCAATAAGTTGATAAACCGTTGAATGACCTGGTAAAAAACCAGCCTGATATTTATAAAAAAGATTGTTAGAATGAAAATAATTATAAACATATTTGAAAATAACTCGCTCCATAATTTTACCTACGCAGCTTAATAATGACACAGGTCTATAATTTGATAATAATGATGGGTCACCTTTTTTAAATAAAGGAAGTACATTAGCTACCTTCCACTGTTTAGGAAATACACATTCCCTTAAAGATCTATTAAACAAAATACACAAGGGAAAAGAGACGCTAAAAATGGTAGCTTTTAACATTTTATGACTGATATTGTCAGGTCCTATGGCCTTGCTCACAGGGAGAATAGAAATTATATCAATAATGTCCTGCTCAACTAGTTCAATACTATTAAGAACACTATTACACAATAAAGAAAAGGCAGGTAATTCGGGTTCGACATCATGCGAAGACGAAATCGAAGCAAAATAGCTGTTTAACGCTTCAACCTTGTCAATATCGCTGTAAGTAATATGTACATTTCCATTTTCTGTAGTGTCCTGCAGCGGTGGAATATCGGACCTAACCTTGGTTTTAAAAACATCTTTTAATAATTTCCAATATATTTTAGAACTTTTGATACTTGCTTCGATAAGATTGGTTTCTATATTGTTAAAATAGTTTGTCATCGCTACTTTTTTCATGTTATTTACTTTGTTACGTAGTTTTTTAAACTTATCCTTATCTGATTCTTTTTTTGTTTTGTGGGCTTTATCTCTTGCACGATTTCTCTGTCGAACTGTTTTTCGTAATGCGGAATCGAACCAGGGTTTATCTTTAGGCCTAATCGTTACTGTTTTTTCGAGAATACAATTTTTAACATGGTTTAAAAAACTTGTTGAGAAATTACTCTCCGCCTGATCTATATCTTTAGCGTCATTATTAAGTGTATTCCAATCTGTATTGCGTATGCGTGTGTTCAGTGTTTCAAAATCTGCATTTTTATATAGCCATATTTTCCTTTCATATGATTGTGCTTGTATTGTATGTGATTTGAGATATATGTATGTGCCTTTGTGATCGCTGAGAGATTGTTCTACATCTATTGTCCCCGAGTCCAGTACATCGGCATGTAAATTTTCGCTGACAAGAATTGGGTCTATGAGAGATTTCGTGTTTTTCGTGACTCTAGTAGCGTCGCATACTGTGTTTTGAAAGGAGTATTTTAAAAGAATTTCGTTGACTACATGTGTGATTTGAAGATTTAAAAAGTTTACATTTAGGTCACCTATGACTAAAATTCTATCGGATATATCAACAGCTTTTTCAAGAGACCATTCGAATTTTTTCCAAAAGGAATTATCGGAGTTAGGTGGACGATAAACACAACAGAGCAAGATATTGCAGGTAGGATCGCTAATTTCTACCCATACACATTCAAAGTTCACAGGTTCAAGATCAAGGCGTCTATTAGTGCGCAACGAGTCAGATGCATATATAATTACACCGCCCCCATGAGAGTTTCTATCTTTACGAAAAATTGAGTTAAATCCGTCAATAGCGATGTCTTCATTTAAAATGTTAGCATCAAGATGGGTTTCTGTGAAACATAAAATATCGAAATCTGACACAATACTCTGAAACTTATCAAACTTGTTTCTAATACTTCTCACATTTAAATGAAAAATGTCTAGTGAGGATTGTATACTTTGAGATGGCCCCGGATTTGTCTCTATGTCGCCTGACAACAAAATAAGGAAGTACATAATTTGTAACACATAATTTAAAAAAATGTTTTCTTGTGCCCCTTGTAATAGTTACATGATGACACGAGATGATGCATACAAAATATCGTTGAGTTATTGCACGCGAGGAGGCGTTAGCCTCCGAGTTTGCAATAACGAAACGATATTTTGTATGCATCATCGAGCTGTCAATCATGTAACTGATTTATCCCATGACCCTTCATTTGACCTCTTCCCATATTAGGTATTTTCTTTGCATCAACTAATAAAGACTCTGCATCAGAACCACGTGATAGTCTTAACGCGAAGGGTTTTTGGTATCCAAGTAACGGATTTACAAATTTGGTAAATTTTCTTAGTACTGTACCACGTGATCATTTTCTTGAGATAATCAATTCATTTGTATTCTATGGATTTGGAGAAAGTAGTAGAAGGGGTCTATAGCGTAAAGAATCGCCGTTTTTGCAGCAAGCCTACGACGAGGATCATTTTCAATCGAGTCAAGCAGTTCAGATTGTATGAACTCAGGCGATCGGATTTAAAAATGGCCCATGTGGCCAGGACTTTTATGAATTTCGATTTACGGTGTTGGTGTTTGGGATCATTTCCGGAATTGAAACGGGAAAATTTTACGGAATGGACTGAAAATACTAGCTATACAGATTCGGAAAACATGTGTCGGCCAGTGAAATAAGTGCGCTTAAAAAATCAAGAAAGTAAAACCACACGCCGTAACACTTCATCAGTTCATGGGCAGTCAACATGGTTCAAGTGTTCAACGACTGGAAATCTCGGCGAAACAACAACTTGGTGAGTTTAAAATAATTCCCGAAATACTCACTTTTATATACCAAGAACTTTCGAACACTATATCATGTTTTGTACACTGTAATTGAAACCAGGGGCGCATACGGATTTCCCTACCCCCGATCGAGGACTTTATATCAAATCTGTTCCGATATTCTACTGTGCATGAGAGCAAGGTGTTCATGAAATGAACTTTTCAGAGGATGCCCGGAAGGAAACTACCATTGAATGTGCGAATTCCTATGGGAGATGAAGCTATCCGCTTCGAGAATTGCTCCGCTAGACCGTGTCAGTGTCTTTTTTTGTAAAGATTTGTGCATTTTGATTTAAACTGTGTTAACTATCTGTATTGTGTGTTTTTTCTTGTTTCTGTTAGTTCATTAAAATCTAGAAACGAATTTTTGTCTCATTTGCATAGCTCCTCCTACATCTAGTGTATAACGGTTGGATATCACTAGCTTTATATCACATATGTGATATTTAATATATCACAACACTTTTGTTGATATGAGAAATACACCCTTGTGAAGATCAAAGAAAAATTTGTCGGTCATGGGATAATTGACAATAAGCATTTAGTATTTTTCCAAATATAATTAAGACACTCAATAAAAAAATGAACAAAATCATTAAATCGTAGTACGTAGAATAGCAGAGATTTTGATGTACATCTACATTTACAATAGAAAAGTCCGATTGCGACTCGATATTATTCTATTGAGTTAGCCATTTTCAAGACATAGAGAGACGTATAAAGCAATATTTGAACCAGCCACAAGGAGACATATAATAAGTAAACATGCAAATTTGTTTGTATGACCTTTGGTTAAAAATAAAATCGAAAAAACGTTGAAAAAAAAGTTTGTGTAGAAAGAATTCAAAAAACAAAAAAGAACAGAACAATAATGAAGGAAACAAAATAAAAATTGTAAACAAGCGTGAGGAAAATGGCACCTCTGTGTCACTAGGCAAAACATGGCGTGTAGTGACAGAAGCATTGTTGAAAGACAATAAAAGTATTTGTACTATGTACAAGATTTTCCAAGTAACAGTAATCATACTGTGATTGTATTGGGAGAGTTTAGGGTAAACAATTAAGAAATATCATAAATAGACCATACTGATATGCATTAGTAATTATTAACTTGAAAAGACCAAATTTAAGATCGCTTTAAACACTTTTGATTTCAAGTTTGTGGATGAAATGATGACACCATTAAATAGTTAATGGGTACTGAATTTACATTTCCTCAGAAAACACATCCTGTGGTGGATAGGACTGTGGTGGGGCCAGTTCATACAAATCTCTAATAGACTGGATCATATATTTGCGTCCCTTTTCCTGCAACTGGGTAAATATCCGTCCATCGCTTGTCCAATAAGAATGCACTTTTTCAGCACGTTTCGCACTTGCCAGTTTCACGAAAGCGAGGGGATACTTAAAAATATCATTTGTCTGTCCGTCTGTCACAAAAGCTTTAACCTTGGTCTTCTCTTTTAAATGAGGAGAAAAGATAGGACTTTCATATTAAGTATGTTATTACCTGTGACAAGACCCTTCCAAATGTTGTATGATTTTTTTTTTACCCCGTGACCTTGACCTTGGAGTTTGACCTTATGTTTAAAAAACCTTAACCTTGGTCATAACTTTTAGATGAAAAGATTAGTAGCCAGGTTCACCTCTCACGTGTATACTACTTGTGCACAGGCACCTGACGTTACTTAAAAAAAATATTATTAGGTATGTGTATATTTTTTCTTATTAAAAGAAAAATAAGTAACGTCAGGTGCCTCTGTACTTGTGATAAAACCTTTCTAAATACACTCTCATGATTTTTTTTACACCGTGAACTTGAAGCTTTACCTTCTTTTCAAAAATGTTATAATTTTTTTTCCTAATAACTTTTGATAGAGATAAAATAGTGCTTTCATATTTGACATGTGTATTACGTTCGACGAGATACTTCAGAGCATGCTACCTTATGATTTCTGACCCCTTGACCTTGATCTTCATGCTTGACTTACTTTTCAAAAAAATAACTCTGCTGATAACTTTTGAATCCCAGTAACACCTGATAGGGCGTTCATATTTGACGCAATACGCCACAACAATAATATCTTGCTCACAAAGACTTCGAAATTGAGGGGCCACAATTCTTTGAAGTTTGCTTGTTACATTAAAATTCTCAAAGTAAGAAAGTTTTAAAAATATATATATCATTATAACAACAAAAACAGTTACAAGACGTGTGGTTTTCTATCCTCCGATAAAGGAGATTCTTTTGCTGTCAGTGGGTTGACCGAGGAACGATAACTCCTGTCCCGATTTAACGCGGCATACATTTCTTCGGTCTCTTGGACAGGTAAAGGATTAAGGAAGCCAACCGGAAGATAAATCCGGTACAGCTCGCTTTGTTCCTCGTTAGGATTATCCAGGTGGCGCTCTGAATTTTTGATGTGTAAAAGTTCTTTGCAAAATATATCGTAATAACATAGAAATCTCTGAATTTTGCTGCCTGTTCCTCCTATCCCAGAGTGTGTTGATATGTGAGACACGTCTGTTGACCAGCCCTGTAGTTGGTTTATCATTTCCACCAATCGTTTTGATAGCTCGGCCTGACCTCTGAACTCATGATTGTATGTAATTGGCTGAAAATCCCCGGATGTTGTTGGTACATTGGGACTTGGTACCGAGTTTTGTGTTGACGTAAATTGTGCAGAGGGGTTTTGATCCAGGAAACTCAGAACCACGAGCATGCAGAGAAAACGGACCATCATGATGATTTTTCTGGATCAATATAAAAAAAAAAGTATTTATATCCTAGGTAACCAAATAAGTGAATTTTTTGTTTCTTCCATAAACAAATAATCTTGTATTTCATGAACTTCATTATATTATTATTATTATATGTGTACATGCATATAAACCAAAAGTGCCTTACCGGCGTGTGAAGAAATAATCCAAACGGTGTAAAACTTCTTGAGGTCAGTTTAATATATAAACCTGTTAGTTTGATTGAAATCAATTAGTTGAATGATCGTGGATGATGATTGTTGAAGATAAATCAAGTTTAATTGGCTTTAAATTATGAGTTGACGAACCCTTGGTCATTCAACTACTATAACAACGAAGGAATGATAATGGAGAACAAAGAAAAATAGTTTAATACACAGTAGTACTCTTTACACACCAATCGTGTTTCAAAACACAAAAACCAATTTTTCGAAGCGTTTTCTCCAATATTGTTTTGATCAAATAAATTATAGGAAAAAGCACAGTCTTATTTCATTTTGAAAATACATTAAAAATTTATGGCAACAAAAAAGTTCCCAATGTTTTTAACATGATCATTTATTTAAATATAATTTGATTGGCATAGTAGAATTTAAATTTATAACAAGAAGTTAAACATTATGCAGAATTTCTGAAATACAGGTAAAGACAAAATGTGCTCAAAAGCTCAGAAGGGAACCTCTGTTAGAAGGAATTGGCAAACTAAATAAGCTTCAGTCCTCAACATATGCATCAAATTATTCCATTTTGCATTTTTAGAGATAAAGCAAAAACAAACAAAATCGAAACATTAAATCATTTAATTCCTTTTACTGGCTTTTAACATTTTTTTATTTTAATATTTTTCCCATTTAAAGCCATTCCAATGGCCCTTGGAAATTCAGGAAGTTATGTGATTAATTTGTTTTGTTTTGGTTAAACAACAGGAATTGGACTATCTGATTGGTTAAACAACGGGAATTGGGCTATCTGATTCGTCTTCTGTAGGAAGAGGCACGTCTGATCTCGGCTCATCCACATCATCTGGTGTATCTACCACTATATTCGTAACACGTGGTATAGGATCAAAAGGTCTAGTTTCGATTTCCGGATTGCGTACGTCTACAACAACCGGAAGCTGATTCTGCACCACGGGAACAGTAACTGGAGTAGGCATGACCAGTAATGGACGGCGACGAATTCTTACAACGAGAGGCGCACCGAATCGGCGAGTTGGTATGAGAATGGTTCGTGATGGCTGAACAAAGAATTCTCTAGATCTAGGAAGATTGGCCGGAAATCCGGTCAAGGCTGCTAAACGTCTTCTCAGGAGATTCCTTCGAAGAATTCCCCGAAGAACGGCCAGTCTTTGTGCTCGGAGATTCTCGCGGGCGATTTGTTCATTCCTAATTTGTTCATCGTCGGGAATGGCTTCCCGAGGCGTTTGACTAAATGGACGTGGGGGCACTTCGGGAGGTTGTGATAATATAACTGGGGAAGGCACATCAGGACTGGTTACTACGTCACCTGCTAACAAGTCATACTCATCTGGAGTATTCATCACTATTTCCTTCCGAACTTCCATCAATTCCTGGGCTATTTGTTCGTATTCCTTTCGATTTTCTTCCAATCTAACCAGTAAATCCTCCTCGCGTTTTCGGAGACCAGCCACAATTTCTTCCCTTGTTGGCATCATGACTTCCGGTTCGGGTTCGGGCTGTGTTAGGTTTGTTATTGAGGGTAACACGGTGTCTGTGACGCTTGGTTTTTCTGATGGAGCTTCTGTAGGAGAAAGAATCGGCGTCAGGTCTGTCACGTGACCTCCGGCAATGAAGTTTTTAAGATTTACCTCGACCATCTGAAAAAAAGACAAATATTGGAATAAGATAAAATAATCTTTAATTATCTCAAGAATAAAAGCTTAAATGTCGCCTAATATTTATAGATGCATAACTTATAATAAAGATTTTAGGATGATGACACCAAGCTGTTTCATATAAAATTTGAAAAGACTCAGCTATTACATGTATAAAAGAAAAGGGGACATTACTGGAGTAAATCGGTGGACAAGGCTCGTAACTGTGTAGAGAAGGGAACTTATTCTGAATACGAAGCAGATACCCCCAAAAAATAGGTCGAGGAATTAAAAATTGTTTTTTTTAGCAGTTTTACAAGACATGTTTTAAGATTTTTTTCTACTAGAAGACGATACAACATGTACTTATGTGATTTAGAGATTTGATACTACACTATACATGTATTCTACAAGGACCAACTTAGGAGACCATTATTGTTCGTGAGAAAGGATATCGAAGGGCTTCAGTGCAAGTTTTACGGGTCTCTTTTTTATCATACCAATTATGGTATTTCCAAGATGATTGATGAGAGAATGTGTATCATCAAAGAAAAGTGAAATAAGACAAAAAGTCTTAAAAGCGAATGGGGAAAAAAGGGGGGAAATGAAAAACAGGTGGCAGACTCAGGGAATCGCAAAACTCCAAATTTCTTTTAAGTGCAGATGGGTGTGTGTGGTACAAGCAACGACGAATAATTTCCTCGCAGGCAGTTTATGTAATTCATTATTAGCAGTCTCGTTCTAAGTCGTAATTTCTTAGGTTCGATGGACGATGCAATGACTTTGTTGGCAAATGCAAATGCTGTCTGACGTTTCTCATACTAATTGTTAGACCATTTTGTATACACTAAATTGTGGACGGATATTTCCGTTATTTCCTGATCATGACAAAGAACACACGGCGGGTATGACCGGTCAGCAGGGGATGCTCACTCCTCCATGACACCTGATCCAAATTCTGATGTTTGTTCTGCTTCAATTTTGAGCTTAAACACTGTTCGTTATCTGTATATATTCCAAAGTTTTATTGCCCCCCTGCCCAGGATCAAACCCCCCCCTTATGTCTCTTTACCTCTTCGTTTCCGGTTTCTTCATTTTTTATAAGTTTCTTCACAGTGGGAGGGTTACCCTCTTTGACCTTATTAGTGACGTGCATGATGTCGTCATCAGTCAGTCCGTATTTCTCTATGACCTTCATCAACTCGTCCGTGTAAAGAATCTGTACGTCAGCATGATCCCTTGGTACCTCAGATGGGACCGGCGGATCTACTGAGGTGGAGTTATCGTCTAGTTCTTGAGATAAAACAACTCCACAAAAACACAGCGATACAAGCAACGTCAAAATACGGGCCATCCTGAAAAAAAAAGAGTAGACGTACCTATCTTTTAAAAAAAATGTTGAGATCGTTTGATATTTTCTTGAGGCGTCTTATTATAAAGTTTTTGGTTATTGAGAGAATTGAATTGATAAAAAAATCATAATGGGTATTACACATACCAAATGCGGAACCAGCACCGCCGTCTTTTAAAGTTTTTTATTCTTATTTTTTTTTTATTTTGTTTGTATAACAAGCATTTACCTTCAGTTTAATTAATTTTGGTACATAAATTGAAGGAATGATAACATATCCAAGTTCTGTATTTATTTTATTATATTTTTTGCACTAGCTTTTGAAACAGACATGTGTTCGGTACGAAATATTCCTAAATATCATTTTTCGACCATGTGTATTCTGACATAAGGTCACGTCTAGTTTCCAAAGATCAAGGGAAAAATCCACTTTTTATTTGTAGGAATTCGTCAGTTTCCACGGGCTTCCCGAACCCCACAGAACTTTTCCGTCGCCCTTCAATGCAGCCCCAGTCCTTTTTCTACCCCCCCCCCCCCGTTATGAATATTCTTGTTCCGCCACTGCGTTAATTAATTTAGAAGTGGGTGGGAGTGTGATCGATGAAATCTGAGACTGAGGAGAATGGGATGCGGTCAGAAAATTAACTCTGGAAAACCTTACTTGGAAATTAATAAATAAGTATACGAAAATCACATCGCAAAATCCTGCAATGACTTTGCATCAAGAACGTAAATAATGTTTTCCCTTATTTTATAAATCAATCGTAATTGCTTTCAGCTTATTGATTCTCCTTCAAAATTCAACAATTTTTATTTTTCTATTACTCAAAATATTGATAAGATAATTTCACGAAGAAATACAGAAAGAAAACTAAATAATGAAAGTTTCACTTACCTATCTGGTTTTTCTTGTATGTAGATACCTCTAGTACGATCCAATATATCCTAACATAGATAATCAATTAAACTAATCAACTGTAATTAATTTAGTTTCCGTAGCTTGCATCATCTACAGAGTAATCAGCTGAACTTTAAACTATGGGTGTGTGGATTTTTCCTTTTTTTTCCCTTAAATTCAAATTCTTTTGAATCATTTGGTGATTTGGTTTATACCGTGTTTTATTTTTTCGTATAATTTATTCAAATGTATTTTACGAAGTACATGTATACCTAAATCTTCATTTTTATATTCAATTGGAATATAATGGTTAAAGAATTAAATACAATACTTAGCTAGAAAGTGTGACAAAGACGAAAAATTCCAGCTGTATTATCACATACATAAGGGAAAACCCTAGATGCACATCAATCATTTTTTTTTCTTCAAATTTTCAAGGTTAGGAATTTCATTAAAAATATTTTTAATTCTTCGCAAATGTTCGTCACATACATATGCATAGTCAAGGTAGGTCAACATAGAAAGTATTCCATCAACAAAGGGGCGATCAAATTAATAAGATTTGAAGTGATGTATAACTATGTACATGCTGGATTTTCCCGTTAAACCTGCATATCTATTTCGTAAAAAGAAAAAGTACATTAGAACTTTAGACCTTTAAAATGTCATTTTTACTGCGCAATAGAAATTTAAATTCATCACAATATTTGAAATTCAAATTTCTGTCTTTAATTAAATGTAAAAAATTAAATAGATTTCATTTCATGTTCCTTAAAAACAATACGGGTTTTATAACCTTTTTTTAAAAAAATTCTTCTTTCTCTTATTTTTTTTTTTAATTTGAAGTTTTATGAAAAAATAATTTTATCAAAGGAAAACGTGTATATTTAAAGTTTTATAATTGATTATTATAGATTCATTTGCTGATCCATAAGGAACAAGAAAACCCCCTCGCTTCATGAGTATTTGTTTTTCCTTTTTTTTTTTTTTTGACTTGACTTGTTTTAAAACATATAGATGTACCAAAAAAGAATAATGATTAAATATTGATTTTAATAAAGACCCTCTAAGCAATTAATTTTTTTTTCTCACATTTTTTTTTTACTGTCATTCGTTAAAAAATTATCAAATTTAACATTCAAGCTTCAAAACAATCGACACAAACTAGGACGACTTATTTCAACAAGAAAGGGAATTATAACAGCTGTTCGATTTTTTTTTAATTGTGACGGATGGGGGCGGTTACACAATAGAGCCCGAATTGAATCACGGGACGATTGATATATGATTGTTTATGTCGAAGTGTACCTTTCCTTTCCGACAGGTATTTCCTCTCGAATTATCTCTAAATTTTTCTCACTTTTTTGTGGTGAATAATGGGATAGTCGATCTTCTTGATCGATCGTTGAACAAGTGATTTGGTAAAATACGTTTTGTCATCGATCTAACCAATAAAATTAATCGACACCAAATTTTGTGAAAAATACAAAGAAAATTTGGTTTATTTTGACAAGAGTTCCTTCATCTACAAACATTTTCAATGGTTTGGCCAATAACAAATCATTTGAAGCTTAAATGTCTTTTCGATTAATCCTTATAAGCAGAAACATTTTTATGAAAATAAGTAGATAAAATTTACTAAATAAAACAATATTAAAATTTCTGGTCAATTATTAGGTAAAGAAAAAAGATAGAAAATGAAAGAAAATTAAAATGTAATTTAAATGAAGATAAACACAAGATTTTATCTGTTTATACCAAACCGTAACGGTTATACAATTTATTCGAAAAGAAATATTATTTTATGTAGACTTGTCCTGCATATTCAACGTTGCATTGAAAATAAACTGGTCATCATTGTCATGCAAACTTTAGTCCTTTGTTGAATGGATTGGTTAGTACCGACCTTTTGTTACTCACACTTAGTACATGTACATATATCCTGTACAGTCTTCAGGTACAGTTAAGATGGATTAAGGGGAAAAAAACTGCGTTATTTAAAAGATGTTATAAAATATGTGTATGCCAATTGCAAATGACACAAAAAAAACTTTAAAAAAAAAAATAAATTGTATATATATTTTAAGTCAATCCAGTCCAATTCTATTTGTTTATATGCAAATTCTGGATTTTTTTCATCGTTTTAATTTTTTCTATTCGATTTTTAATTATATATTTCTACTTTTTCTTCTCTAGCAAGTATATTTTTTTTCTATTTTAAATCAAATGAATCAAAAAGTCTAAAAATAAATAATTAAAGAATGCACCAATCCCACTGGCTGTAATAATTACAAATTAATAAACAAGGAGGGCCTATACTGTAAAATATGTCATAGGAAACAATAATGTTTGCGTTAATGAAAAGATGTAATTCTTTTATAAACCAACCAATTCACAAGAAAGTGCAAAGACATGTAATTCTGACACTAAAATTCCAATTTTAACAAAAGGTGTATTGTATCGACAACTCAAAATGATGTATCGCCACACCGTACATGGCATAGATCACCTCTTTTGTAATAATTTCTCGCTCTGGTTTAATAACTTGTAATGATTGATTGTTATTTTCACAATTATAAATTTTAAAAATGGAAACGCATTAAACCCTATATGAAGTTAAAAAGAAACTACTTTTTTTAAGAATATGCTAATTCCAGTTTAATTTGTCCAATTTGAATCACTGGTATCTGCATGCAGGAAATGTAGAAAATTCTAAGACTTGTCTTTGTTTGTGGTTTTTATTCAAGTCTATTATCGTTATAAAGACATTCAATTATTTTTAAAATAATAAAACCCAATATTCAAGTTACTTTTAATTATAAATTCTAAAATAATAATAATAATAAAAAAAAAAAAAATTCGTACAAATATACTCTCAGGAAGGCATCAAAGAATTATTTATATGGACCCTTTCTAAAGAATTTTTATGCACCTGGATGGAAAGAATTTTTAGAATATGCAAATGTTTAATTACTATCTAATATATTTTTCTTTACTGTACATCACGCAGTCATGTATTTTATTACCCTTGTGCATGATAGAATGTTTTATTGTTAAATGTCAGTAAGAGGGCACTTTTTATCTTTAATGAATTGTGATTGATTTTTTACATAAAGAGCAATTAAGACAACATTTGAAAGAAAATAAAGACATTTTTTATTTTAATTTAAAACATTGGATACAAAAATGTATAAATATATATATAGATATAAATGTATATCATTTTTTCAGTTTTTGGAAAGGTATCCCAAATATTGCAAACAGAAAAATGATATAGTACACCTGCGGTACTTATATCAAATGGTAGCGTAGTTCTCTGCTTGAGAAAATTCGGACAGATGAAGCAGAGAACGACAGTTATGCAGCTAATAAAAGCGTGAACCAACCGAAAGGGATCGGGTTCGACGTTCTTTCCGGGATCTGTGTCATTCTTTCTACGCTTTGTTATATCAGTAGTGATTGGTCCATTGCATAGTGCTGAAAGTCACGAACATCCGGTTGAAACCTTAACTACGGATATCCCGTGTCGCAGCAATTGTTGGTGATAAGTTCCATGATTTTCCATTATTCAAGACAAAATATACCAAAAAAGATCATGTTATTTGAAAAGACGAATGTTTTAGTTACATGAATTTAAGGACATTTCTCATTCTTAGATCAGATGTCAATTATCCGAACATGATTACAAACAAGATGTCATGAATATTTACCACAATGCATAGACATTCCTTATATTCTCTGTCACATGAGACACGTATCGCTCCAACAAAAAGGTTCAATGTGTTAGAAATCTTTTTGTCGCATGAATTTCGTTTTTACATGTCTATCAATAGACAAGCTTCTACTCCTGTGCAGGTTATATTTTGTCGAGTTCGCCAGACAGCATGTGAAAAGAAGTTATTTTGAAACAGTGTTTACGATCAAAGTTTGTTTTATAAGTGTTCACTGGAAGAAATCTTCACAACACAGACCAGTCGCATTTTCAAAGTTTTAAATGCACAGATACCAATTCTACTGTGTTAAAGTAATAATCTTTTATATCGTTGCAAGAGCTGGTAAATATTTCGTTTTCTGTTTTGCAATGCTCGATATTCTGCAAGCAACCTCTCTCGAACACTTTCTGGGGCGCGAGCAGACGACCCACGTCCTTCCGGTATCGATGTCGAAAACGAAAGTGGCGTCTGAGGCCTTTGTAAGATTCCGTTGGCTGAAGGTGATAACATTTCTTGCTCTTCACGAAGTCTTAGATTAAGTAGAGCATTTTGATTACGTAGTTCTTCAAGTTGAGCTAGTTTTTCCTGCATTTGAGCTTCGTCATTTTTTATTGGTTCATTCTCCAACACGACTTGCTGTGTGGGCGCTACCTCTGCGACTGGACCGGAAGTGCCTGTTGAGATAACACGTGACGAATCTCTCCGCGCCATAACTGCATTTGGTGTAGACTCCATTGCAGTCTCGTATTCATTTAGAATATTTTGTACCTGAAAAATGGCAGTTTTGTATTCATTTAGAATATCTTAAACATATAAATGGATCTCTTAATATAAAAACAAAATTTAACATGCACTTGTATTCTTAAGAGAAATAAATAAATTACGTGTATAAAAAGATAATTTTCTTCTGAATTTTATAATAGACTTGTGTATATGTACAATATGTAATAGAACCTTTTTTGTTTCTTTTAAGAAATCAATGCTACATTGGTCATTTCTTAATGGCTTCCGAGAAAAAATAGGAGCTTTAGTGTCTTTATGAATGTGTTGCTATTTTTCTTTGTGCTCTTTTAAAGGATTTTATACTGTTAACGTTTGATTTATTACCACCTGCTAAATTTAGAATTTACAATATGAATTTATGTATGCATCGATGAAGGAGGAAAACGTAAGGTGTCTGAAGTGCAAGATCTTTCACATGACTTTAAGAAAAATGTACATTTAAATAAAAATCCATGGCTTTCATGCTGAAGTTTCTCTGTACATGATTTTAAACAATAAAATAGTCTCTCCATCAGATCACGGTACAGTCGTCTGTTAGAAAGCGCCCTCTCTCGGTATACATTTTCAGTAATTCTTCCAAAAATCCTCTCGGACATCCAGGCATAAATGGATTTTTTTTCCGTGTGTCTTTTAAAAGGATTTTTATCGTTATGGCAACTTTTTTTGCGAAATCCATTCATTCGTAAAGCCTTGGAAATCCAACGTAATCGTCTGAAATGAGTAAATAACGAAAATGAGAGAGAAGTTGTATGTATGCATAACATTTTTTATTGTCTACTATGGTAAAAAAAAAATTCAAGTAAATAAACGTCTTGCTATAGTCAAAAACAATCACAAGCATTGTTTAATCTAAGATATACATCCAATTCTTTCAATACTTTATAAATTAATAAAGATCATTATTTAATAATTTTTTTTGAAAAAAAGGTAAAAATAAAATTCTATAGATAACACAATAAAACCTGCAAGCAACTAAACACTATTCAAATAATCTTTCTTCATATAAACCAGCTGAAGGAAACCACAAAACCTCATCTTATATAAAACACATGTTTAGCAAACCAGTTTTTAACCGTTTACCATAAATTTAGGATAGAATACTCTCTCTCTCCACTTCAGATGTTTTCACGTGTTAGCATTGCACCTATTTTGTATTTTTAATGGCCTTAAAGCTTTTAAGCTTGAAAACTGTTCGTTATCTCTGTATGTTTCAATTTATAGTTAGAAGCAATTAAAGATAATATAAAGGCACTAATTCTTAGAATTCTTAGTGTTAAATTTCATAGTAATACAAGGCCTGCTCGGACAAGAAGTTCCCGGTAATGGTAAATTCTCTCGGACTTTAAAAATTTTAAAGATTGATAGTACAACGTATTTTGTTTAATGTCCCTCTCAGGAACGGATGAAGGCTTGCCGGTGGAGAGTACATTTTTTCATATAATAGGCACTGACGGCCATGGAGCAGTGAGGGATCTTTTTTGTGCCAGCATCTCGACAGGCTTGCTCGAAGGATCAGTCTCCACGTCCCACAGTGGGATTTGAACCTGCAATGTTTGCTCCCTTACTTTTGACAAAATTATTAAGGGGGTTGTTGTTGTTGATCCATTTTTTTTACAAAATGCAAAGTGCATAGTATCTTGGTTAGGAAGGAATTACATGGATACCTAAGTTGGGGTAGTTAAGTTTAATATATTAAGATGAAGAAATAAAATGTTTTTCAGCACTATTTATTTTTTTTAACAAAATTATCAGGGATGGGAGTCTTTTTTTAAGAGAAAACAAATTGCATTAGCATTTTAGTGGGTATGGAGGGGGCATAACATGCATATGTAATTGGGCAGTTTCCCTTATACCTAGCAGAAATCCATTCATTCGTAAAGCAACTTGGAAATCCAACGATAACTCTTCTTATTTAAAAAATATATATATTTTTAAAAAAGCACAAACATGCAAAAATGATTCGTCTACACCTTTGTATTCAATTTTAACAAAATAATAAATTACTTTTCGTTTTTATTAAACTCATTTCTGAAGTACAAAAGTTTGTTTACAGGACAGAGGAAATTCTGACGGGCACTGAAGAAAGTGTCGAAAAATGATTAATAACATGTTCATTACACAAAATTTGTAATACCGGGGAACGGATTTATATGTAGTTTAACTTTCAACAAAACATTGTTTGTTTATTCATCCGATTTTATTAAATTATGCATAAAAAATCTGGTTGTATCAAACCTGGTGGTTAAGGCACAGAATACGCTAACTTTGGGAGAGAAAAATTGATTTTTGCAATAAACATATATTTTTTCGCAATACAATTCTTCAACATCTTTAATCAAATTTTACTTACAGAGCTTTCCATCACTTTGCACGAGCATATTTTGTGGACCACACGTTTGGTCATGATGCGCGTACCCCCGTTTAATTCTTTCTAAAATTTAACAGCCACACTGGTTAAACATGTATTACAAAAGGTAAAAATAAAACTATTTACCAGTTCAATATGCATTTTATTCGTAATGAAAAATAACAATGTTAACAAGCCCTACGAAAATGTTAACACATTTCAGTCGTCAACTGTTAATGCGAAAACAGTTCTCCAGTTGAATGAAAAGCGATACTGCATAAAACGGCCAGTTGACCATTAGTTGAATGCTAATACTTTGAAATTTCATGCAGAACAAGAGTTGACCACTAGTTGAACACTCCGACTTGTTAGAAAATTTCTCCCACGCTAAATTTATGTTGGGTTCAAAATTACATTATCATAGATCGGGTTTGTTACATTACAACAACCTACATGTGTGTAGAAGATGGGAATTTTGATTTGAAACATTATTATTGTCTTCGTGATGATTCAGCGTGTGAAATTTCTCATGTGCTATTGTAAGTATATAAAATTTAAGGATTTGTTTTTACTAAGCTTGTTATTTTTAAACAGATAATAGGAATGAAAAAAAAAAAGCCAGTATACGTCCCTTTTTTGTGTACTTTTTTAAATATTGAAAGTATTCTGTTTATGCATCAAGTGTCTTGTTGTGTTTCTTGTGTGTTGTAAAAATATACAATTGCTTTAGACTATTTATATATAACCTTTTTAGAAAATGGTTGTAACAACTTATGAGAGTGTAGCTCAATTCATTTATAATGCATTTAGATTTACAAGTACATTTATGTCAATTTAGAAACTCTATTTTTCACTTTTCATATTTTGGAGACGCCACCATTTTTTTCAAATATTTTATGAAAGACGTGCACTGGAGAGTATTCAACTGCTGTAAAGGAAATTTTGTTATAAGTATTCAACTAGCGGCACTCAGGGCCATTGAGCTAGCGGAGAGATATATAGGAGCATTCAACAGTGCCAGCACCTACATGGCAAAAATTCATGGGACCTCGGTTTATACTGAATACTCCGATTGAATTCCAATAGTATTTTTTCATATGGGAGGTCAAATGAAATTGTATTTACAGCTTTCAGGAATGATGTGCACCCCAAATTCCCAGACATCTGTTGGGGTTTGGTAATGAAACCGCGACGTTCATCAAATTATTTCATAGACTTTGATATTGAATACTGTTCGTTATCAGGTAATCTCCATATCCTTCCTTCAATTACTTGGCGTCCGATATGACATGGTAATTCATACAGACTGTCTCAAAATACGCACAATTATATGACAATGCGCAAATACAAGTACGAAGTAAAATTAACTGAGGCTTGACTTTACCATGTTGATTAAACGGAAATGGTATTTGTCAAGTCGTACATAAAACTTTGGTTTATTGAAGCAACCCGAATAAGCGGAAGTGGGCATTGTCAAGTCGTACATAAAATTTCAAGGTAAGAAGGTAGTAAAAGAGCTATATTTTAAGAAATATTGCATCGATTATTTTAAAATGAATAGGCTTCTTCCTTTTATAATGCCACACAAGTTTGTAAAGGCTGAGAGTGGTTAATGCAAAGGTTCTCTGTAAATTTTGCCCACAAGCTGTAACAAACACACTAACACACACACACATACGCACATTCGCAACTAGTTGCGCGAGGGGATAACAAAGTATCAAAGTAAGTAACTATAATGAGCAACAGAGGGTGTAATATTAAACGACTTTGTTGATAGCACTATAAAAACCAAAGTATGTGCTATTATAATAGATGACGGTCATTTATGTATACATGTACATACTGCATATGTCACACATGCGCATTTTATAAAACCACACATCTCAATCGTCCAGGTTAGCAGAATTTCATATCAACAATTGATTTACAATTGAAGAACGAAAATAATATATGATACATGTACTGTAAACAGGGAAATTTTCACCCCCGTTTTATTTTCGCCCTACCCTCATTTGGGCGAATTTAAAACGGGGCGTATTTTGAGAATACAGTATAATTACTTAAATAAAACTTTTGACGGGGCAAATTTAAAATGGGACAAAATTTTCCGCAAGTGTGAAAGGGCGAAAATAACCCTGTATACAGTAGTTATTAGAAGTTAGTACTGTACTTTAATTGTCTAGCGTAGTCTTAAGATTCTTACCTCTTGGAGACCGGTGTTAGAATTGAGGACGCTTTTCGTTATAGTTGGGGACTTCCCACCCTCTACAAAATTTGACAGCATCATATTCATGTCTGCCTCTGTGATGTTGAATTTCCTCATCACCTCCCTTAGCCTGTCGTTGTACACGATTTGTAGCTGTGGGTCCGTGGATTCCCCCGGGGGTGGGTCTTTGCTGAGATGATCAGCTGCTGCTCTGTTCAGTGTGCAGATAAGTAGCAACAAAGAGATAAAACCACGCAACATTCTGTAACTAAAATAGCACTAGAGATGAGGACATGCATTGTTCTGTAACATAAATTTATAGCACTGCGACAGAAAAGTAGCAGCGAAGAGATGAAACCACGCAATATTCTGTAACTTAAATAGCAACAAAGAGATGAAACCACGCAACATTCTGTAACTTAATGAAAAACAAAGAGATATAAAGACACGCACCATTTTCTAACTAAAAAGCAGCAAAAATATAAAGACACTCATCATTCTATAACTAAAATAGCATCAAAGAGATGAAGACATACACAATTCCATAACTTAAATAGCATCAAAAAGATGAAGACACGCACCATTCTGTAAATTGAATAGCATCAAAATGTTGAAGAACGCCTCATTCTGTAAATTAAATATTTATCAACAAAGAGATAAAGACACGCATCATTCTGTAACTAAAATAGCAATACAGAGTTGAAGACACGCATCATTCTGTAACTAAAATAGCGACAAGGAGATGAAGATAAGCATGGTCATTGAATATCTTCTGCAACTTAAATAGCAACAAACTGTTAATTACATACTTTGAAGGGACGTACACGTTTTATTTATAAAGGTTTTGTTTGACGAACACGTTATGATTGCATAAAGGTAGCCACATACATTTTTTTTAGTAAAGTTAAAATTACACACGAAAAGTAACAAATTCTTCATTCAGTTTACTTTTTGTTACGAACAAGAAGCAGAATAGTGATGATTTACAAGCAGTTTTTTTTACAAAGATATTTTTAACAAAAACATCACACGCTTCCTTCTGTATATATACTAGCTACATGCGATGAACGGTTACAGTAATTCATTGATTGGTTTCATTAATTATTATTTTATTAGCGACATTTTTAAAGAAAAAAATTAAAGAAAACATTTACCTTAAGAACTTTTAAAGAGAAAGGTTCCCTATGTCAGTAGTGATGAGTGTTACATTTCTTAGGATTTATTATATAATTAAAAATGTTGACAAAAATTGGAATTTTTATGATGCGTCATGCGCATTTTAAGAACACGTTTTAGTTAAAAAACACACATTAGTTGATTGAAACGCATTAGAGATTAAGAGATAATTTAGAGGCACACCTAACAAAAATTAAAAATATGCAAAGTGAGAAATCTGTCAAATACTTTAGATAAAACAACAGTTGCTAGAAGAAGGATATGGAAACAACAAACAGTATTCAGTTTCAAAGTCCACAAAACAATAAAAATCAGGAGCAGAGCTTCCCCAAAACACAAGAAGTGGAACCAAGGGCCATGGAGAAGAGAGCATCCCCCGCCAACAAATTACATTCACTGGATACGTATAGGTTGTAAAATGCATAAGCAATGTTAATTTGTTTTAATTCCCTCTTAATCTATTTTCATTTAATGAAAAAAAAAATGAATTGGCCAGAATAAACTTTTTCCTCTTAATTTAAGACGCCTAGTACATATAGTGCTTTTGGTTCAGTTAAGAATATTCCCTATAATTTTAAGTAACCTTATACCGGTATTACCTTAAACATTTATTTAACTTTTAAATAACCGGTATAATGATTATCATAGTTATTATGATCCATTTTATAAGCCGGAATGAAATACCTGAATAAAAAATTATCATTCAAACCACGGAATAGGCGTGAAGATCAAATAAGAAAGCCATATTCAATACCTGTATACATTTTTATTTTTGAAAATGTATGGCATTCACAGTTAAATATACGTATATACAATTATACTTACATCTAATGGCAACTCTCGAAAATTAAATAACACCACACTCGATTTTTAATTCCCTTCTATTTTGTTAAAAAAAAACTTCACTTCAAAAGATTCCCAAATAATACTCAATTATAAGCATGTATATAATAAAAAAAAATCTCTGTCGTGAATGATAACTTTCAGGTGTCTGCATATTTATAGGACTCATTGAAGGTATAAAGTTACTGGGAAGAGCGCAACGGCCTTCATCAATCATTTCACGGCATATATAAATTGTATCATCAATAATAGTTCACGTGAATATGTAATATTGTTATGTTTGATCAATTACATCAAATTTAATGTTTCCGAGTAATAATTAAAGCATTGAAATTAAAAGTGTTCGATATCTTATTTTTTTGCGGATCGGACAAGATGAATAATTTATGTGATGTTTGGCGTAATGTTTTTTTTTTTATTTTATTATTTTTTGGCTTCATAAAAACATTTGATGAAGGGAATGTGCAGTTTATGATTAAATCTACCCCTCTTTTGACGTATAAAATATTTTGATACATGTCTTGACATTGTTTATATAAAAATAAATCTAAATTCTAGTGAAAATTTAAATTGTACCACAGTTTATTTTTTTTTTTAAAAAATTGGGAATGATTCCCAATTGCAAATCTGTATACATGTACGAGAATGAAATTAAACACATTTGTTTTTAATAGCCAAATTATTTTTAAATAGTATAATCTTTCCTCAACAGTTAAACTTTTATATAAGTTTACTAATAGCATGAAGTATTTTTTTTTCTGGAAATGTACAGTACTTTTACCGTATGCATAACTATTGAAAAAAGTGAAACGTTAAAGATTAAAATAAGGAACAGTGTTCAAGAATACATTAAAAATACTTTGTAAAGATTGCATCAAACACAGGCTCTGTATGTTCCAAAGAGGGGTTTAGGTGACTAAGAGGGACAAGCATCAATTGTGAAATAACTAAAGCTTTACTTAGACATCGTATTCTCATTTATATATGCAGGTTTTAGTTTAAAATTGCGAATCTGAGTTCTGTTTTTTCCCTTTATTAACATGTTTCATGTTCTACAGTTTTTACTCTTAAACTAGACGTAAAAATCACTTCTTCTGAAGAAGAAGGCCTGTCTTCATTCTTTGTAAACATGCTTTGTTGCAACCACTGTTAAAATAACGACCACTATTGAAATAATTATATCAATATTGGTTGAGAGTGTATTTCAATAACAATCATAGTTTGCAACAACTATTGAAATAAAACCACTATTGAAATAATTATTTCAATAGTGATTGAGAGTGTATTTCAATAACAATCATAGTTTGTAACCACTATCGAAATAATTATTTCAATATTGGTTGAGGGTGTATTTCAATAACAATCATAGTTTGCAACAACTATTGAAATTCGACCACTATTGAAATACTGTAGATCACTAAATTTTATTTCATTGCCTCTTTATCAACAAAATTTTCACGAATTGTGGTGATTGCTTTATATAATCCATATGAATACTATATGAAATTCGAGCACACTAATTACGCGAAAATAAAGTTCCCGCGAATAAAAAGTGATTTACAGTAATTATTTCAATATTTGTTGAGAGTAACAATAACAATCACAGGTTACAACCACTATTGAAATTCGACCAATAGTTGTTGAGAGTGTATTTCAATAACAATCACAGGTTACAACCACTATTGACATAATGCTCACTATTGAAATAAAGATTTGAATAGTGATTTAAATATAGATTTCAAAAGTAATTGAAATATTGATTTCAATATTTCTTTAAACAATGATTCCAAAAGATATTAAAATAATTATTTTAATAGTGCTAAAAATACCAAAACCGCATTGCAAGCTTTATGGAAGTATCTCAACTATTTAAACAAATATTAAGATGAATTACACATTCTATTATCTAGCCCAATAAACTAATTTACACATTCTATTGTCTAGTCTAATAAACTAATTCATTGAGTTTAAAATATGATAACTAAAGTTGTTTTATGTTTTCCTTTTTTGTAGAAATTTCAAATAATACACGGACACTTCTTTATTAAACTGACTTACAAATGTACCTATACATGTAATTCAAACATGTTTGTGAATGTTATAAGCAAGCTCCCGCTGAAACCAACAGACAATCGATTGATATATTCAAGTTGAAAATAATTTGTTATATATATAGTTCATTTTTGTCATTGATCTGGAAATGAAAGGATCATCAAAACATCTAGATGTAGAAATTATAATATCTAGACTACATTGAAAAAGAAGAAGACTGATAATTTTGAGTACAAACTTTCTGATGAAATATTCATCAGATAGAACTATATTGTCATTCATATTCGTGGGATTACCTACACTACAAATATGGATAAGTAAAGTCAATTAAAGTTCAAAGAAGACGTTAATGTCAGGACATTAAAAAGCAAAATTTCTAGTGAAGTTAGTATTCGGTTTATTACAATGCCAGGTGAAACGTATTTTCAACTTTTGAAATAATAATTCACAAGTAGTTGTAATTTTAATAGTAAACTCATTAAAAGAATTAAAAATGTTTGAAAACCTAATGAACAATTAATCCTTGTATTTGTAATAGTTAAGTTACTTCAATGTGTCTAGCAATGTGGTTTTTGTATTTAACTTTCAGCAACTAACAAAATAATGATTTAAATCACTTTTGAAATTGCCATTTCAATCACTATTGAAATCTTTATTTCAAATGTGAACATTATTTCAATAGTGGTTGCCGCCCGCCTATGTTTCTTATTGAAATGCACTCTCAACCACTTTTGAAATAATTATTTCAATAGTGGTCGTATTTCATGATGATTTCATGGTTGCAACCTATGTTCTTATTGAAATACATTCTCAAACCACTACTGAAATAATTATTTCAAGAGTGGTCGTTATTGCAATAGTGGCTGCAACAATGCTTTTTGACCTGGTTTTACTCTGATTTAAACTAGGTGTAAAAAGCAGAGGAAAGAGAGATTTAAAACAACGAGTCCTCTTCAAGTTTCATTTGAAACCAATTCATTATAATAAATTAAAACAAAGAATTCTTGTTTGGATTTAATTTATTTCACAAGACATAAAGAAATCCACGTTGATTTATAACAATATTTAAAATACAGCGGTTCTAGCGCCTAACTGCAAAAAAGGAAAAAAAAAACAATACATTGAAGTCAAAAATGACTATGGAGTTGTCACCAAGGAAATTATTTTAGTCATAGCCATTATGTTATTCTCACTCTTTCTAATATTGGACTTTTACGAGAAGAACCGACTTTCATAGTTGACGGTTTACTTTTAAACCAGCATCATGTATTGAGGTACAGAATTGATAATAGATAAGAACGCCTTTATAGTGGTCATAGGTAGTGCCTCTAATGTTGTTAGGGGCACTAACATGTGAAGACCGGGAGCTGAGGGTAGCGTGGTTGTCGTTTTCTTTAAGGACAACCAATTTACGCTTTGAAATAATTTGTTAATTGGTTGAATTAAATGTTTAGATCAATACGTATATCGTAAAAGAGCTTCCGTACATTGTTCGAGTATAAAAGTAAGCTGTAAACTGTAAAAGTCAGCGCTACTCGTAAATGTCCAATAACTCATTCCCAATCTGACTCTATTTATTTCTTCGATTTGTCATACTTATCCTAATTTTAAATCCACTTCTATCTTTATCCTTGCCTATGGAAGAAATGTCCCCATCCTGAGATACTTGCTTTCAGTGATAATGCTCAACAGTATAAGGAGTAACTTCACTAACATTTAATTATATTAGTTTTTTAAAATATAACTATGAAACAATTTTTTCTTCTAATTTTATCTCATACAAGTATATAAAAATTTTTGGTGCTTATGTCTTTCTTGTACACGACGTTTTGTCTGATTCTTTATGAGAACATTCTATGAAACACATAAATTGAATACCGTAATCTCAGCTAATTTAACGACCATCATAGATTGAGACGACATCGCATGTATTATATTAACCGTATAGGCTGTCTTAATGTTGTTCTTCCACCCAAATAACGAAGCTGTCCGCCATTTTGAAGGAGAAATCTACTTGTTGTGCCCCTGTCTAACGGTCTTCGCCTAAAGAATCGAACCTGTCTGCTTTGAAGTGACGTAGTATCGTCTCGTGGTGACAGGAGACCGGAAGCTTCAGAAGAAAACCCACTGATAGGAACCGCCGGTCCTATAGGTACAGACCTATCGCCCTCCAGAGAACCAACGGGTTGAACGGGAGACATGGATATGAAACCGTCGTTATAAATTAGATTTTCACCCTGTGAACTTCCACTTGAGGGTTGTGAATCGGATAAGACATCTCCTCCTCGGTTCACAATTGGTCGCACACGATCGGTTCTCGTGACTGAGACTTCATCCACTGTCTGGGTAGGACCCCTTTGACTCAAAAACGGGTCTCCTATTCTGCTGACGTCAGAGTCCAAGACAGGCAGGCGATCACCGACATCATCTACAATATTTGATCTATCGAAGATTTGGGATTGAGGTCCCGTGTTTTCTGTTAATATATCCATTGTTTCGGGGAATCCTGGTCTCATAATTTCCGTTCCTCTTGGTGTAACTGGTGGGATTTGAGATCCAGCTAAAGCCAATTCAGGATCAATCGACAATGTCATTGGGGTCGCAATACGATCCAAATCTCTTCTTGCACTCCCTGGTGAATCAAGAGGAAGCATGTCATTTATATTATCTAGAGGCATTTGCATGCGGTTTTCAGTAGCCATGTTTACCCCTCCCTGAAAATCATCAACAGGTTGTGTTGTAGCTCCTGCTTGTCCTACCATGTCTTGTTCATTTTGATTTAGAGTGCGTATAATTTCCTCTTCTCTTTGGCTTAATCTGTTATACGCATTCAAAAGGTTTTCGATATCATTACGAATCTGTGCTCTTGAGATAATGTTTCTTTCCTCAGTAGGAATAACTTCGTCCATTCGAGCATTGTCGACTGGATCCCTAGACGTTTGTGGAAAACCAGTGCCCTGGACTGGAGGCATAATTTCTGGAAAGGAATTCAGCTCCACTGTTGGGTCTTGAGATCCTATAACATTCATATCAATTTCACTTGGCAGTGTTCCTTGGGGCGCTATACGATCTGATGCTCTTCTTGCAATAGGAATCATTTCATTTTGATTATCAAGTGGTCTTCCCATTTCTGTCCTGAAATCACCAACAGGTCTTGTGGCGCCGGGTGTTTGTCCTGTGATGTCTTGTGGTAAAGTATCAGGCGCTTGGCCATTCTGATTAAGAATACTCAGAATTGCATCTTCCCTTTGGCTCAATCGATTGTACTCATTCAACAGATTTTCAATGTCATTACGAATCTGAGTTCTTGGAATAACATTGCTATCGTCACCTGGTATGACTCCTCCCATTTGATTACCAGGGATTGGATCACTCGGTGTGTTTGGAAAACCAGTGCCTGGGATTTCACCTGGAAGTCCAGGAATAGAGTCTACACCAGAAACGGATGGTAGAGGTGATGGGGACGGGGTTGCTCCATCAAAGGAATCCATAAAATTCATAGCATCCATGCTTGACCCACGTACTGTTGGATTGAGTGGCATTTCATTAATATCGGAAGGAACAGCAGAGTCAATATTTGGCATCTGTAGACTTTGAAGTCTCTCCAAGAGTCCAGCATTAGCTTGTTTTAACCTTTCGATTTCTGACTGAATAAAAACCAATTCTTCATCTGGTGTCAAAGGTTGGCCTCCACTTGAACCGTCCGGACCCATAAAATTCGATATTGGTGAAGCTTCTGGTATAACCACTGGCGGTTGTTGACTAAACGCTCTTGGGGCTCCAATTCCCAGATAATCACGGATGGCGTCCTGAATTTGCTTTAAAACTGCGTAATTATCACGTATTTGTATATCAGTGTTTTCCAAGGAAATTCGGTAATTCTCGTCAGTTAACTCCCCTCTGGAAAAACTTTGATCTAAGGCCTCTCGGCGACGCATCAGTAGTTTTAGGTCATCGATAAGCTTTGCTTCTTGTTCTCTGAACGCAGTAAGATCGAGATCTCTTGATTCAGGTGAATTAGCGTTCCCCACTACAGGTGTAGGATTCCTCAGAAAATCAGACATCGGTGAAGAACCTGTGTCTGGAATTGTTTGTGTGGGTTGTATTGTGTTCAAAGTACCAGGACCAGCATTCAGGACATCATCAGTAGTTCGTGGAAGTTCGGATCGAGCAGACGATATCGGTCTCTGTAGGGCGTCAGATGGAAAACCGTCACCTTCAGCAATGCTCTTGAAATCAAGTGTCACGGTCTGTAATCATGAAAAAAAGTACATGTTAAAACCTATTCAGAAATCACTGTTTTAAAAGTCTCTTTTTAAAATTTATCAATAAAAATTTTAATTCCTTTGTTTTTTATTTCATATTTTAAAAAGATATTAATATGACAATAATTTGTGTTATAATTTTTTCATTTCTATATCTTATAATTATTTTACTATAGCGCAGTCAAAATCCTTTGGAATTTATTAAATCTCTAAACATTTGGCCTTTATATGTAAGATATAAATTTTGATTGTAAGTAACTCGTTTATCTAAAACAAAAAATTGATTTCTTAACCTTTGAATGTTGTTAGAGCTTCTTGCTGATTCATTAATGATAGATTAAATAAAATTAAAGAATCAAGATCTGGCTTGTTGAGTACGCAAGGTCATCAAGGATAGCTCGAAACCTGGGATAATTTACTTGACAGGCGAATTTTTCTACTGTGCAATAAAATTTTAAATTATATTAAAAAAGAATGTTTGATACATTAGAATTTTCACAAGGCCCCCAATGTCAATATTCCTTCCAAGTGATGTCAGAAAAAAAAGACAGTCGCACTATTGATTGATTGATTGTATACTGTTTAACGTCCCTCTCAAGAATATTTCACTGATATGGAGACGTCACCATTGGCGGTGAAGGGCTGCAAATTTAGGCCTATGCTCGGCACTTACGGCCTTTGAGCAGGGAGGGATCTTTATCGTGCCACATCTGCTGTGACACGGGGCCTCGGTTTATACGGTCTCATCCGAAGGACCGCCCCATTTAGTCGCCTTTTACGACAAGCAAGGAGTACTGAGGACCTATTCTAACCCGGATCCCCACGGGGGGACAGTCGCACGATATTTCTATGCAAATTAGGTCTCTTTAGCTCAAGACCTTTCGCCTGGTGAATTTTACATTCTATTTGAATTATCCGTATGAAGAAATTATGTGCAGTTTATAAATGAGATTGCTCTAACATAATTGACTACTAATTAATATTCATAACATTCTGCATCAACTCGAAAGTTTCCATTTCTTTAAAATTTTACATTACAACTTACAAGTATGTTTTGTTTTTCATTATCCCTCCGTTATATTTATATAGGAAGACTTGATTGTGATTATCAGTTGACAACTCATTACAGCGTTTTTTTAATAATATGTTGGTCACACTGATGCAAGAAATTACTGTTTTTAATTTTAAAAGGCGGTCGTAACGCCTTCATGAAATGATAGATCATCTGTATCTCTAAAAGAATAGACATGCGTGTGCACCTCTTGATCGGTGAAAAGATTTTGCCAACTTGCAATGAACACTTACATTTTATCGCAAAAATGATTAAGACACTACTTCTGGGTTTTTCTTATGACTAGAATATACTCTCACTTTGGATTTTCATATCGAAAAGGCGGTCGCAACTTTTACTTTTTTAACAACAATATTAATATTGTCATTTCCGGTAGATGATATGAAAAAAAGTCAAACCATCGGCAGGAGAACTTTAATCGAAATCGTTAGTATATAAAAATTCCCATTTTCTGTACGTTCTATACATTATTATCTTCAAAACCCTTATGGAATTAGTACCCATTGTATCTTCAATATGGTCAATAAGTAATGTAGAGAATGAACATCATTTCTACAAATGAAGAAATCAACTAAACTAACTTTCAAAGAGTTATCTCGGAAAAAGCAAATAGAAATGGAAATATCGATAACTACATGTGTATGCAATAGCATTAAGGAGAGAGAGAGAGAGAGAGGGAGGTTAGGGGGAGAGACTTACCTCGTTTGTACCAGTATCAGGGTTATACACGGTCTTTGTTATTGTTGGATTTCCACCACTTATGTAAGCATCCAGCATCGACTCCATCTCCGCTACTGAGATCTTGAACCTCTGCATTATGTCCTGTAGGTTTTTGGTGTACATGATACTGTAATTGGAAACATTCCCGCCATAATTGTCTAAGGATGAAGGTACGGCAGGGGGAGCGGAATCGAGAGATGTAGGAACCACAGAGGGTAGAGGAGAGTTTAGGATACGAGGTCTTGTCGGAAGTGGAGAGTCGAAAGGAGCAAGTCCTGAAGGCGTTAGGGAGTCAAATTGACGGGGGTCTGTGGGTTCTAAGGAATCAACGAATGTCGGGGGTTCCGTTGGTGGTAGAGGGTCTAATTGAAGGGATCTCCTAGACGGTAAAGAGTCGAACTGAGGAGGCGCCGTTGGAGGTAGTGAGTCGAATCCAGGTGGCTCCGTGGGTGGCAAACGATCGATCTGAGGAGGCGCTGTTGGGGGCAGTGAGTCGAATCGAGGTGGATCCGTCGGTGGCAAACGATCGATCTGAGGAGGCGCTGTTGGGGTCAGTGAGTCGAATGGAGGTGGATCCGTCGGTTGCAAACGATCAAGCTGTGGAATTTCGCTTGTTGATAGTGGGTCGAACTGAGGTGGTTCCCTAAGTGCTAAAGGATCAAGTTGAGGGGGAGCCGTGGGTGTCGGAGAATCGAACTGCGGGGGATCCGTTGGTGGGAGGGAGTCGAATGAAGAAGGTCCTGTAGGAGGAAGAGAGTCGAGGACGGGAGGTCCGGCGGTGGAGTCGAAAGTCGGGGGAGCCGAAGGAAGAGGTGGTAGAGGAGATTGTGAAGAGGAGATCTGAATCAGAGATGCCAATACAATTACAGCTGCCGAAAATTTGAACATGGTGGTAGATTTCTTCCTTAGAATGATCTTTATCTGAAATGAAAAATAATATATATTTATAATGTTGTTTGGTATGGTTTTTATTTTTTTTTTCAGAGTAAGGTATACTGTACACATGCTATTTGAGTAGATTGGGTTAATTTTCTTCTAAGTTGATAAATAAACTATTTTTATTATTATTATAAAGTAGAATTATGGAAAGTAAACAATTTCAAGCAATCTTAACACTGACAATGATAATTATAATAAAGCATAATTTTCATTAAATTACTATGAAGATTTATATCTATTTATAGTATATAGGTGTATCTATTTATAGAATATAAGTATAAGGATAGCCGATAAAAAAAACTACATTCATGGAAATGACCATTAATTGATTTTTTTTTTATTTGCTAATTTTTTTTTTTTTTTTTTAGAAATATGATGTGTCCATCAAATAAACAATTTTTTACTTCTGGAGACCAGTTTTGGTTACTAAATTAGTAAAACGCAGATTTCTTTTTTTAAACATGGGACTAAGACATTCGAAAGGACAGATAACTCATTGCTCTTCCATCAATATGACGTAGTATACATAGGTGCCTGTTAGCTTTTTTTGATTAGGTAATAAATTGATTAATGAATAATAACATTCAAAAATGTAGTTTTTACTAATTTAATTTAAAAAAGTGTTTGAATGTTCCAGTGTTGTTTTAAATGCCTCAAATTTGCAGTTTGGTTAGCTTTTAATAAAAAAAAGTACAAAATTATATTTAAAAAATAGGTCCATCAATTATGGAGAGATATAAGTGTCAATGCAATATTTAAAAGAAAAATGACACCAAGGAAAAAAATGCCTATTTTTGAAAATATAAAAAAAATTCGAGACTTTCACGACAAACAGGTGTTAAACGACGTTTTTTCCCCTGTTTATTAGAGTTTTACCAATAGACAAAAAGTAGTTTTGGCCACAAGAATGTTTTATTTTTCCGGTAATTTAATATTTGGCAAATATTTCGAATTCTTGTAGAACATAAATAGCAAGCACATTATAAAATAAAGATTGTCCAAAAAATACGCAAATTGACTAATTTCAACTCTCTCCAGTTTTGTTTTGAAAATAAATGTTTTTTGTTTTGTTTCAATATGAAAAATCTTAAGAAAATTCGGCATGTAGAATATTGGCCTTTATAATTTTGAGAAGTTTTAAGTAGTATTCGACAGGATGATAAATTTTCTTTGCTGGCAAGATCATTGGTTCGACGGTACAATTTGAAAAAAAAGTTTACTCTTTAACAAGATCGATGAATTCCTTTTTGCTCCAACTTTTTTGAATATCCTACCTTGTTCAAGAAATCATCAGAAAATAAATAAATAAATTCATTTGTTGTTTTATAGCTTCTAAAGGTCAAGATCTAGTAAATGACTCTAGACTAACTTGTTGGTGCTAGATCCATTATGACGTCATAATCAATTTCAACTTTCTTTTTCCCGTACTTTACGGCTTTAGCAGAGTTATGAAGAAAATAGTGTAATTTCATGACATTCAATTTGAAATCATATGAAAAGTAAACCGGATACCTATATTAAATTTGATATTATTTTAAAGAAGAGGCCATGAACAAACAAATTACCCTTTTCTGAGAGACTGTGGGCAATCTGGATACATTTCCTTTGTCGAATATAATAAAAACTCCCATATTCATGACAGGTTTTCTTGATTTTGCATTGAAAATGACAGTTTTAAATACAGTTCTTCATCTTATTTACCTACAAATTATGCCCCGAAACACCTTATTTGACCAAGCTAAAGTTGTAAAGCATCAATAAAGGAATCTATTTCTCAAATTTGATAAATCTGTAGGCACCATTCATTCACTAGATCTTGACCTTGAAAGCTACATGGGATTTTTTTTTTTGGTAAACAGATATATGTTATAGGACAAGATTGTGTTTTCTTGTTATCAGATGGAAGAGGAAAAACAGTATCATTAGCAATTAAAAGAACACAGTTTCTTCAGGAGGGAGACACACAGTACTCTGATCAGAAAATAACCCGACTTACCTTAAGCTAAGGTTCCTTGTCTTTGTCTTTCAAACCAAAAGCAGCTCTTATAAATTAGAGCCCATTTATCAAGAAAGCGCACACTGTTAACTGCTTGCAAGGTTGCTCAAAGGACTTGAAAGACGGTTAAAGTCTACTTAATTGATGCACATGTATTCTGAATTTCCGCATTTTAATAGTTTTTCTTCATTGTGTAAACAATCAATTTTGGTTTCAAAGAAAATTTATAGTTTTTTATGTAAATGATGCAAGGCTGAAACAGTTTTCAGTGTAATTGTTTGTAAATCTTTTTTTGTTTGTATTAATTATGTGGATTCATTAAGTGCATGTTTTACATTGCCAATAATTTATACAAAAGAAGATGCATTCATTAGCTTATAAAGATTTCATTTAGATTCGAAACTGCTAATTTAACTGACATGTCTGATTAATTAAATATTATGTTGATATTCTACACGATAAATATACGACGACAAACTAGTGCTTTCACCATGTTAACATCAACATTCTACCTTCTCTTGATTCTTTTTTATTATATAGAAGTGAATAGGTATCTACTCGATGTGGCTTTATTATTGATTGAATGCTATGAAAATAATATATATATTTAAAACAACATCTTTAAATTCTTAAGTTTTCAAAAACTTCAGCTCAATCACAATACAGACATTGACACAACGTTGGTCATAAATTGTATAAATGTAGATGGGCCAATGTTGGGTCAAAGTAGGATATTGTACCGGTACACTTATTTGTAATATCGGGGTACATTGACCTCATGTTCTTTGGTAATGTTGGCCCAGTGTCTTTATTTTGAATGGTTATTTTTAATCTTATGTCGATACGATATTTAAAAGTGAGCTTGGAAGAAAAGATACCATCTAGTCTGACACATCTGACGAACTGTTTTATAATTAGATATTTTAACTGAAAGACGTTATTGGTAATCTTACAACCAAGTTTTACGATAAAGGTGACGACTTTATCTTTTTCTATCGTCATCTACCCTTACTTATGCAACAATAAATCTTCATTACCTGCATACGGATTTTATATCTCTCAACTGATTTGATACGCAAAGACATAATCTACGTAAGAATAGATTCTAAAACAAGGTTAATCATTGTCCGGCAAACTGATGAATCAAGAATATCAGCAGTTTAGTCATCATTTCGTAACTTCTATGGTTGATACGGGGACCTTGTCAGCAAATACATTTTATCATTAAATCAAATCCTAACTGACGTGTATATGCTTACTGTTGGGGCACTATTTATTGAATTCATTGAATTGACGACGGATTATTCGTTAATCCCGATAAGGACAAGAAAAATGCACACGGCAGGTGTGACAGATCGGCATGGGATGCTTACTCCTCCGTGGCATCTGATCTCAGCTCTGATGTTTAGAAGATCCGTGTTTGCTCTGCTCAAAATTTTCTATTTGTTTTAAATCGACTTTTTAAATTGAATACTGTTTGTTACTTATTTCCATATTTCACCTAATGCATGAAAAGTAATAATGTTTAATTTGTCTTAAATAGTTAAGTAAACGTTGGCTCAATCCATGATATTTTTACATTCATGGTGTAATTAAGAAAGCAAGAAACATGCACATATTGCATTTACGTTGACCTTAAGTTGATTAGTTTAAGAGTAATACAAACAGTTGCTGATTAGCAGTAGTTGGACCAATGTTGACCCATTGCTCTGCAATATCAAATTAATTACTGGTTTTATTTGGTTGTGCCTACGTTGGCCTATTGTTCAATGCATGATGCTGTATCATGATTGGACCAACTTTGGACCATTGCCTAGTAAATGATGTGTTGATTAAGTATTTGTGTCAATGGTACTTATTAGAATGTTGCTTTATAGCTATTGTATAAATGTTCGTGGATTATATTCTGTCCTTAATTTTATGAATTTAGCTATGTGGTTTTAATAAGTAATGTCTGACCGATATTTGCTTTTTACGAGATCGAGAGGTGTGTTAAATGTATTTTCAGATCTGCCCAACGTTAGGACACGGAAGCATATTGAGGAATCGTCTGTTTCTGAATTTTTCACGAAGCACATTGTTTGGCATAAAAATGTTTATAGTTAAGTCTATAGATCGCTTTTTGGCTGTCTCACCAAAAGTAAAATTAACAAAGGTGGGCCAATATAAGTCCGATATATATCTTATAATGCAATAATATTTTTTTTATTTAAACATTTACAATAAAAAAAATCAAATGTATTTTATGTATTTTATATTACCATACCTCATAATTATTATTCAACAAAACGCGTTATCTGATTGGTTCGAGACCAACACGCGATCGAGTCATAAAACTTCATATTTCACGGTCGTCGGCATGTTCCACTTCTTCGGATACCTAGTTCGTTTTCCCGCACTATAGTTATTGTTCGTTTACAGAAAACGCGAGAGAGTAGTACAGGTCACAATAGCCTTGTTTACGTCACAAAATTGCTAATAAGTGATGTGTCAAAGGATTTCAGTACTTTACGTTCAAAAGGAAAGTGAATTTGAGAGCGGTGCCGAATTTAAAAGTTTTTGCTTGTACCGGTATAAGAAATAATTCATTGCATGAATGATCGGGAAACATGAATATTTATTCTTCCAAGAAATATCATAATATCAAAATACATGTATGTTTTTTCTTGGCTGATTAAGTTATCATATTTCCCTCACTATTACAATTATGTGATATATGTATAATATTTTTTCCCACTAATACCTCTTACAACTAGTGAGATGTACTTTGTACAGTACCGGAATTATGCTGTCTGAATGTATAGGTTTTGTTTGATACTTTACACCGGAATTTGTTGGGACAACAGACGATTGGTACCAAACAGATGGGTACCAAAACTTTACCTAGTATTTTCTTGTGTATCAGATCATCTATAAAGTAAATCCTGTCTTTTTTTAGTATACTAGGATGTCAGTGCAGTGTAAAGTGCTTGAGAGCACGTCAAATATATTTTTAAGCTGTTACCTCGAGTCAAACCGCGTCTGATACGCTTATATCTGTCTTTGTGTCACACGCACTTTATTCTCCGTTTTTGCCGAAATGTGGAGTACAAATGAGAAACAGCTCCATGCATGAAAGAGATTTTGAAGTAACTTGGCTGGAAAGGAGAAATGGAGAGGAAACTTAAAGTGCGCTTAAGTAGACATCAAAGACGCGATATTGGGCCAACGTCCATGCAATCACAATGCAATGTTGAGCCAATGCAATGCCAATATATTTGCCCAAACAAGATCATCTTTGCACAGCGATGTTGATCCAATACTGACCTTCATTGTTAGGTTATCATATTGATGCTGACTCGAAGTTCTCATAAAATGTTTCTTGAGTCTAAATAAACTTAAAGATCCACAAATCTAAAAGTACCCTCTGTATATGGAACTCTACCAAGAAAACATTGATGTAACCATCAATTGTCGCGCGGGAAATAGATAAAGTAAAAAATGGAAATGAGTCTTGATCATTAAACCACTTCAACTTGTGTAAAAAATGCCTCTAGCTGATGGAAACGATAGTCGAAAATATTTTGAAAACGTAATGCCGGATGAAAATCGAACAACAACGATGCCCTTTTGAAAACTTTATCAATTCCACAAGTAAATGTTAGCTGCATAAAATATAAATTAAAACTAGACTCATGCAACACCTATTTTCAAAAATGTTTTTCATTTTAAGAATATTTCACACGAACAGTGTCGAGTACCTGTTTATACGATTAGAAAAAATCGATGTTCTACAAAACAAGGGACCTGTCGTTTTCTTGATAGTAAATGAGAAGCAGGTTTATATATTAAAAATCAAAAACATATATATTTCTACATATTCACTTTATGAAAGTAAATATATTATGTATCTTGTAATTCATAGAGGGAAAGAACATTCTGATTGATAATCTTTTTAATGTTTCGAAAACCTTTCTGAATAACTTCTCCCACCTCAATCCCCATACACCAACACTTAAACTTATATGTATAGAGTAACCACGATCCTCCAGGCTGGAATAAGGTTTTATACTGTTAAAAAGAGACAAGATTTAATCTTTTTTAATGTTTGGATTTAAAGGGGCTGGGGGTTGTGACCATTTTAGATTATGTTGATCTCCTTTAGAAGAAAGCTCCATATCAAGATATACAAAAATAATCAAATTTTAAAACTAAAATGTATGCAATTTTTCTTTGCCAAATGATAGTTGACAGCTTTAGTTATCATATCTAAAAAAAATGAAGATATATATGATGGTTTACTTGTTGACCCCCAGCGTCCTTAAAAATAATATACATAACACGTAACACGCTTTATCACGTTCTAGCTACTTTATTTTCAAAATTATAATTTTAATGAAAGATGTACAGAGGAACGATACGAATGGAAACCATTTTTAGTGTTTCTTGGAAAAAATCAGTTGATTAGATCACACGAACTTGAGGACCCCTTCTCACGTTTCCGCCTGTTACAATCCCAGATAAGGTTCGTGGTGACGAACGCCGGAAGTTGATGGGTGTGAGGAACGGAATTCGTATGTTTTGCGCATTTCCCGGAACAGTGGTCCCCCGTCTTCTTAGCATTTGTAAATACCTAGCGGAGAGGATTCTAAGCTGTCTGAGCAGGTAAACTTCTCTGGCCTGCATTCTGGAAAGTTCTTGTCTCAATTGATCATATGATGGCTGATTGGAGTCGAATGGGCGGGGAATCATAGGGGGCGCTGTACCAGAAGGTTGAGCAGATATCTCATTATTTCCCGCTTCTCTATTCAAATTTAAAATCGGATCTGCTGCTCCTGTGTTAAGTTCCATAGGGTTAACACCATTTTGTTGTGTCGACATTGTTCCGTCAATTTCTTTTTGAGCGTTCACATGTTCTTCCTTCTGTTTGTTAAGGATGGCATCGGTAAAATCAATAGAAATGACCTGAAACAATAATTGTTAGATTTTATAAAACTAGGATAAATTAATTGAAGCTGTAGAATAAGCAGCCTTAAAAAACCTTGAACATGTAATTTGAAGTCTTAGTATTTGTAAAGAAATATCTCTTATACGTAATAAAAGGGTTGCATGTATTTTAAAAAAGGAGGTTCATAAATTAGCAATATTAATACATGTTTAATATTTTTTTATCATAAATGTTAATAAGAATTATGCATTTCACGAATGGTTCATCAATTTTTTAGTATTCAGAATAAACATTCAACCTCCTCTTTTCCAGTCTCTGGATCCGTTATTGTTTTCATGATGGCTGCAATTCCCCCTTGTGAATAGTTTTCAAGCATTTGTTGGACTTCCTCAACTGTGATGTTATATGTGGACATTATCTCCTTCAAAGCGTAGTCAAACACAACCTGTGTAGGAGTTAATGAAATTGTAATTAATACAAAAAGTACGAATTAACCTTTGTGATAATTACTTAATTAAACTTTAGCAGATTGAAAGGAAACTCTCAATTAACTTGTAGATTCTTATTTCCACCATTCTGTATTTCAAATTTTACAAGTGTAATAAAGTGTTTTTGGGGGGAAAGAAATATAAAACTTCTGTTTCATGTTTATAGCTAAGGTAGACTAAAATGTAACATACATACGGAATGCATACAACAGAAGGAGAAACGTGGAGATGCTAATAATCATCAGGAATTGAATTTCAGGAGAGGCTGAGGGAAATGGTTTCTAAACCACGTGTCGTTTTAGAAAATATGCATTATATATACTGATTTTAAATATAGACACCAATAAGACATTGTATCTGAAAAGTAACACACCTGAAAATTCCCTATAGTTAGTGTTCCATCACTGGAGACAGAAGCCTCTTGCTGCTGTTCTTTCTGAATGCTTGGAGTCTCCACGGTTGGGTTTTTTGTTGGGTCCAGTTCCTGTCCTTTGAAGCCATCAGGTGTTTGGCCAGGAACAGTGTTAGCCAAACATAAAACAGCTGTCAGTAGTAGTAAGCCACCCATCCTAGTTAAGGATATAGGGAAATGTATTATGTATGGAAGACAAAAGTCTACGTAAAATCTAACGGAGGTTAAACTATACACAACCAATATTACCATATACACGAAGTAAAGAACCAAATAACCATATACAGAATGCATAGATTCTGAAGCTTAAAATAACCGGAAACAATGTATCTTTGCAAATGATACTCAAACTGCACTAAGAGATTTTTTATCGATTAGAGTCTCCTCTGAAGACCTCTACTGTAGCTGAAGACTACCTAACATTTTTGTGTATTTGCTGACTGAATAAATCTGTAAAACAACGTTACCTTTTTGGAAGGACTGTAATTTGCAAATTATGGCGAAAAAGGATTAACAAAATATTTAATTAAGGTTAAACATTACAAAATAAATAAAAAAGAAATTTATATCATTATAGCAACGGAAATGTTTTTCAAAAGTAATAGCCTAACCTGAGTGAGAAGATGAATTCCCCAAATGAATTGCTAAAACAATTAGTCGCCAAATAAAAATTTCAAGTTTATGTATCGTTCTCAGTTAAAACGACAATCATTCTATATCGATCAATTAGTCCTCTCTATCTTTCAGTAGACTGTGGTTTTGTCCATTGATTCATTGCTTTCAAATAATGGTCATTTCAGGGTCTTTCTAATTGATCAAAAAAGTTTGAAAAACGTAATTTTAAACCACAACAATGGAATCCGTTTACAAACTAGATATCATACATCACAGTCCAGCCACTTTTAATTCTGATTAAGAATGGGAATCAGAAAAATAGATTTTCTCCTTGTGATATAATATTGGCCCGATCAAAGGCTTTAGAAAGTTTTGCCAAGGAATGGTTTTTATTATTTAACTGGATTATATGTATTACAAAGGCTGAATGTGATAACTGATCCCTCGTAACCCCAAGGGTACCATGAATATTTTTTTCTGTCATTTTTTTCTGAGAGAATAATGTTCTATTTATGTAAATATTTTTACTTATATCCCTGATTTGAATTTTTGAAAGCCCAAAAAAGAAAAAAAAAACTTTAATTTCTTATAAATTTATTCAATGATTTCTTTGTATTTAGATCCTCCAATGTATATAAATATAAGTATAATAAACATTTTGCTTTAAAGAATTCCATATCTTTCGCATGCATTGTGTTGTCATATGATTTCCTGTTATGATCATTTTTTTTTAAATATCATTGATTAAAATTTAATTTTTACATTATTTTTATTTTCATTTACCTTTATGCTGCATTATTTTTGCAAAGTATAATTTCGAGACCTTTCCAATCTCCATGATTGAAATATTTTGCCTTTTTTTTTGAATTCGTAAAAATATAATTTTGTAAACGAAAAAAAAAGTTTTACTCTTATACGTCCCGTTTTAATTCCCAAACTTGCGACCCTATTGTAAGGGACAAGAACAAATCCCTGGGCTTAAAACATAGCATACAATATACATAGCATTTGGCAGGATATCTTTTCAATCTTAAACAAATGCCTTATTTTTTCATAGTGCAATAAGTAAAAAAAAACCCTGAAAACTGAAATAACTGAAATAAACTGAAATAAAGTTGATTTATTTAATGAAAAAAAGTACAAACCAATCAAACCTGAAAATAGTTTAATTTGATAAAACGCAGGGTCCTCAAAATTCCTGTGACAGGTAGGATCAGGTGCGTAAGACGACAGAACATCCCCTGTTGACTGGTCACACCCAACCTGACCCCTTCGTGTTAATCAAGTACACGGGATACTCTGTATTCAAATTAAATGAATAAGCCAAAGCTTAACAATTGGATTAAAAAAACGTTTACCTTAAAATTCAATATTCCTTGCACAAAAATGGATGCATTAATAAACAAGATAATTATACCGACCACACTTCTTTAAGTTTAAACAAACCGTGTAGCAATAACAAAATGACTCAGTTTAAAATTGACCGTACTTTGAACTAGCTCTTCAGTAAGAAAAAAGGGATTTGGAGACATAAGCAGATGATAGCGAAATATTTCCATTTCTAATTTTTTTTCTGTGATAACTCTTTGAAAGTTAGCGGAGTTGATTTCTTGATAATTCTACTGGAATGAAAATTTGGCAGGTCTATAGGTCAGGAGCTAAGGAATCCTAATATGCATGCAAACCTCGTGCGCATCTGTCTCTGTGTCTGACGCTTAGGAGGCCAAATTTGCATGAAAATCTCGTGCGGCTGCCTTTGTGTTTGACGTCAGTGGGCGAGAACTATTGAAATTGGCATGGGAGTCCTCGTGTAATTAAAAATTTATGTCTATATTTTAAAAGTCTAAATCTACAATTTTATTTCACAATAAAATGGAAATATAAGAAATCACTGTCTAGTTAGTATAGTAAGCCAGGGACATCAACGATAGTGGGAAACATGGGATCGCCCGTTATGCAAATTATTCCATGTTTCTCACTATAGTTGGTGCCCTGGCATACTATACTAAATAGACAGTGATTCCTTAAATATTACGTTACAGTAATAGAATCGGATATGAATTTATTATACTTTAAAAGACATAATCTCATAACTGCAATGGTGTGTGCAAACAAGTTGAATTAAGCGCTATGAAAATTTGTTTGCACACAACGTTGCAGTTATGATACTATATCTTTCAAAAAAAAAAAAAATAATGATATATTGCTTATATTTACATTTTTAACTAATATTGCCTTTCATTGCAAATGTGATTTATATTTCAAAATTCCTGTATTATCGTTCGGGTAAGATCCAGTTAATGGAATAGCCAAAGCAACCGCTCATGTTCAAAATGAGCTTGATATTTCATTTTCGCTTATGACATTGCTTTTCCACGGCGTTCAACGTTTGTGACGTCAAAATTAAACGTCATCTTTAATCTTTTGACTCCCTTTCCGTGTTATGGTGTTGTAACTGCAATAGATTTCCAATCACTTTATGCTAAACACATGTGTAATGTTAATATTGATAAATCACAAATTAGGTAATTTTATGATAGAAAAATTGTTTAACATACAATTCACATGTCCTTAGTCGTCTATTGTCGTAAATTTAATCAAGCAGAAAATAGAAGTGAAAGACATTGCAGTGTATCTTTTTATTTCAAATGCAGGGGGACATATAGAGTCGATGAATGGCAATTTATAATAGTTATTATTTAAACATCACCTGAAGCTCAAGCAGAATACCACAGGGAATGTTTTCTACTTTTTGTATTCTGATTGTACACACAAATTGTCTGAAGTTGACATACAAAAGATGCTTGCGTTTCTGATTAACAATATCTATGTCGTTTTCGGACTACAGGTCTTCCAACAATCTTTTGGAATACCCATGAATATATTCTTAACAGACCCAAATTTTTTTTTTCATATGAAGCAGCATTTGTACAGAATCAGATTGGTGAAAAGAAAAATCACTTGGTGTGGCTATCAACTCGACATTTACATATATTGACGACGTATTGTCAAATAAAATTGTTCTTTTCTTTCTAATGTCGATACGATATATCCCGACGATCTTGAGATAAAAGATACCACAGAGACTGACAAATCTGTTTCATGTTTGAATATTTTACTTGAAAAAAGACATTAATGGCAATCTAACAACCAAGCTTTATGATAAAAGAGATGACTTATATTTTCAATAGTCAAATCCCCTTACTAATTGAGCAATATACGTCCATTATGTGCATACGGAGTTTATATCTCTCCGTTCATTTCATATGCAAGAGCATGCTCTACGTTTGCACAATTTCTGAAAGGAGGTATATAATTGATAAACAAGTTGATGAGAAAAAGGATATCAGAATAATCGTTTAAAATCATCATGTCGTAAGTTTTATGGTTGATACAATGTCCTTGTCAGCAAATACAATTTATTATTGAGCCAAATGCCGACTGACATTTTTCATACCAATTGTTTATCCATTATTTATACACTGAATTGAAGACGGATTTTTTTAATCATGACAAGGATAACCCGGCAGATGTGACCGGTCAGCAGGGGATTCTCACTCCTCCATGGCACCTGATCCCATCTTTAGTGTTTCGGAGGTCCGTGTTTGCTCTACTCTTATTTTGGGCTTTAATACTCCTTATTTCCATATATTTCATTATACAGCTGTAGAAGTTATTCAATTAAATTCTTCTGAGATTATCAAAACAGGTAGACTTAATCGCTATAGAGGCAAGGATATACAACATAATGCTTTTAAGGAACCCATGGGGAAGGGGGCACAAGCATTTTCAGTTTGGGGGAGGGCTAGCAAGCTTATGACTTAATGATGACTTGTATTTGCTAACAATTCGAAATCTTCTTTGACCACGTAATTTGCGTACTGTTAATCACTTTTTGTTCACGAGAACTTAATTTTCGCGTAATTACGCGAGACGAAATTTCAATTTCGCCTATAATTGTATTCCCTCAGATTATAAAGATCAAAAACAACAATTTGTGAACATTTTGTCTCGCTAAAAAAAGGACAATAACTATCTCACGAAAATAAAGTTTCGCTGAAATTAAGTGATTTATACAGTATGAAAACAGCTAACACAAACCTTAAAAAAGTATGTTCTTAAACCCTCTATAAAACACTCTTCAAAGTTAATTGCGTAAGTTATCTCTACTAATGTCAACCCCGCGGCAGGTCACATATTCCTAAAAAGAAGTGTTACAATGCTTGTTTCATGTAAAGTTTTTAAAACTATTTGTAACGATTTGCAATTTGCCGATAGGCCTATATTTTAGGCAATAAAAAATCCTTATAATCACCTGGACGATAACGTGTTGATAAATGTAAAATAGAACTAGAATAAGCCGTAAATGGTAACCTAGCAACCAAAATTTATGATAAACGTGATTTCTTCAACTTTTCGATGGTCATCATCCTTACTCATTTAGTAATATTCCTTTAAGTATATTAACCTTAATATATCTCAAATGATTTAGTAGGCAAAAGCTGTTGCTACGAATGAACAAATTCTTAAACAAGGCAAGCTAATGACAAAAAAGTTGATGAAAGAAGCATCTTTAGAAATCGTCACTTGGCATGTTTTATGGTTGATACAATAAATCTTTCCCCAGCCAATAAAAGGAAAGAAAGATAAAAATAAAATTACCTATCAATGAGTCAAATGGTGATTGACGTGAATCGGTTCTCTTTCAAGGTGAACTTTCAAAATACAACTGTTTACAACTAATTTCTTATTACTTGAAAATACTTTTTAATCTTAGAAAATACTTTTTAATCTTTGTATTTTGATAAAGATAAACAATATCATAAAACAATATGTATGCCATGGAAATATGATATAATCACAATATAATATAGAGTTTGTTGTCTCGCTTCTTGTTCTTTTCTGGATATTTGTTTGTTGCCTATATAATCGTTTCTTCCCTGGATAATTGTTTGAAATCCGGATAATTGCTTGTTGTCTGGCTGATGACTCGTATTCTTGGATCCACGCTCATGTTTCCCCCGGTTACACTTCCGGTTAACATTCGTCGGTTAGTACGCTGAGGGGTACGGTTAAAATTAATCTGCCTTCTGATTGGTTGTCGCCTCAAAAGTGTATTTCTGGTAACAGGAAACCCCCGCCTACCAGAAAGGCTAGAAAATCTCCCAGATAATAGTCTTAGTTGTCTAAGTAAGTACAGCTCCCTGGCTCTCTTTCTAAGAACCTCTTGTCTAAGTGCCTCGTACGAAGGATCAGTTCCTGCAACGTCACCGGAAGTGGATAAGGAACGATCAATAGTGCTGGATCCCGATCCCGATTGATTATCAATCGGTAGTTTAGGCGTGTCTGGAATACTTCTGAGTATCTCAGCTAGAATTCTATTTTGCTCCTGCATAACTTGTATCTCTCTGTCCAGATCTGAGGCCGGTTCCCTGTTATCTGTGTTGCGGTTATTTTTTCGCATTTCTTCCCTTATTAATCGCTCTATCTCATGTAGAACGGTTCGAAGTTCTCTTTCTGTTTTCCGCCGCTCTTTTCTGTTTTCTATAGCGTTTTGGTTTCTTGTTAATAATGAGATATGTCCTGGAAAAGAACAAGAACGTCAAAATGAAAATATAATATACATTACAGGAAAACATTCTATGGGATACATGTAAATAAGCAAAATGTGGTCTCAAAACATTATTTACTTAATCCACTTCATCATACAATATAATGTTTTACATAATATGTTCTTGTTGACTCAAAAGATATCAGTATTCAGTCAAAATAATTAATATTTTTGGTAAAATTTACAGCAAAATGAAAAAGAAAATAAAATCAGACGTGTTTTTGTTTTGCATATTTCGATACATAAATATATGCAAATACATATTTCTTTTTAGCTAATTTACGGCGAAATTGATTACCTTGACGATAAGCAATATTCAAAGCTGGTAGCTGGGCGTCCAGATCTTTGATCCTCTCCCGTAAGTACGCCTCCGCTCCTCTGAGATCCGCCAATGTTTTTATCAGCAAGTTTTCTCTATTTGCCTGACTGTCAGGTTTCTGTCCCGGAAGTAGATTCTCTGTCGAAGTTACAGTTGAGGATGAACTTCCGTCATTTTTGGGAGTCGTAAATTGTTCAAAATCTAAGGTTATTATCTGTTGACGAAAAAAAATAAAACTGTAAACAAACCTTTATTCGACTTCGAGAAATAACAAATAATTTCTCGAGTCTATTTATTCGCCACGAACCCTTTTGGACTGTATTTGTAGAGAATATTTCCTCAGTAGTAGAATTTTGACTAGATTCAAAATTATACAAAACACGCGACTAATAAATGAGTTATGGTATCACAAATATCGGGAAAGCAGTACTGTATATTGTATCAGGATATTTTGCGAGGAACAAAATAAGAAGTTTATTTTAAATGCCAGGAGAGTTTTGGGTTGAAAATACTTTTAAGGATTTTTAAATTTCAAAAAAGATATATGAAACCACTGATACAAAATTTCTATATAGAATTGCTACATTACCCTGATTAGAAAACCTCCACTCATATCATGGTGGCCAAAGTGAATCATCGCAAAAAATTCTGCTTATAAATAATTTTAAAGAAATTGTCAAACTTAAATTCTTAACAATTGCGCGTGGAAAATCAGAAATTTCTCGTGTATTAATGAATTAAATGTGGTGATGATAAATGTTGAAATTTCTAGATATCATATTCTCTTCATGTATATTATTAACCAAATTTTCATTTGACATCTTTTGTTGTTCTTCTGTTTAAAATCATCCGCCAATAAAACTTTTGACAAAAGAAGAAACACTCTCATTAATATATGTCTGTACAATTAAATTACGTAATCGCAGAAAATTAATATGCAGGTGTCAAAATGCAATTGAAATTCATTTTAAGCATGGATTTTTTTCCCTACCTCTTGGAGTCCATTTTCTGGATTTATTCTTGTCCGGACGATTTCTGCATTACCTCCCTTGGCATACACCTCTAACATACGGCGTATATCCTCCACCGTAATGTTGTATTCACTCATAATAGACCTTAACTCGTCATTGTACACCACCTGGGAATCCGAAATTGAAAAGGAACAAAAAATTCTAACATAGGAAAAAAGGTTCTTGATGCATGTAAAGTAGTTTAAATAGCCACAGAAATGATCATTTAAGGCAAATCGTATGACAAGGACTGGTTGAAACAAGGTTTTATTTCGCATAATCACAATAAACACGGTACATGTAAATTCCTGGTTGTGAAATTCTTAAAACGATACATCTGATGATAATCAGTATCAAATTATAACATGCAATGTCATTTATGGCTATTGGATATTGCTTTGTATTTCTAATTTCAAGATACAGTTCTTGCTTTAGATAGATCTATATCAATGTTTTTAAAATGACATAGCAACCTTGAGCTCCGAAAAATGAATAAAATAGATTGAATTAAACCTAAAAAGTAATTTGCAAATGATGTACAGGTAATGTCACAGGTTTCCAATTTTCCCTTCACACTAAATAGTTCTCCAAAGATTACTGAAGTTTATCGCATGGCAGGGTTCTGCCATTTATAGTCTTTTTTTAAAATTCAGTGAACATTCAAATGACTGAATGATCGAGTTGCTTCTTGTGCGAATACTGTAAAATCACATATATTCAAGGGGTCAAATTTTCGTGGTTTCAGGAAAATATATTGATTTATTGGAGTTTGATTTAGTAGTTTAGGAATTGTTCAGTAGTAATATATGTGGAAAATTGCATTTAGCGGCAGATATAAATTCCGAAGTCTCTTCATACTTTGAAAAGCACGACGAAAATTATACCCCAAGAAAAGTAGAGATTTCACAGTAGTACAGTTATACTTGTCTAATCTGACCAACACTTTTTCCAAAGACATTATTCGGTTTGGACTATATTCCGGAGCAGGCAAAATATTAAACGTCATATAAAATAAGATTTCAGAATACAAAACATTCGGGCAAGTGAACTTTCACGGTAAATCAAATGTTACTAAAACATCAAATGTTATTTTGGATAATAACAACAAATAAAAGGTAAAAAAAAATCAATAAAAATAATAAAACAACCTGTAGTCCACCTGCAGATATTGATTCGGTTTCACCAGTTAATGCAGTTGTCTCTTGTTGCAGGGGATCTTGGGATATCATGACGTCATTTGCAGAGGGTAACTGTCCGAAAACTGTGCACATGAATCCAAGCAAAATGACGAAATGTAGCTTGGTTTTCATCCTGTTTTATGATTGAATGGAAATAATAATTTAATAAATTGAAAGAAAAACCTATATATTTTATACAAAACGAAACTGTGTTTCAATTTTCTTCCTTTTTATATTTTAACTAACTACAATTTTAGTCACCCCCTTTACCTCAACTCCCTTCCAGTCAATAAATAATACAAAATCCCTATATCCGATACAATTGAAAAATGTCTTTTTGAAAAATTGTATATAAAAGCATATATTTTTTTTAAAATAAAATAAACAAAAAAAGGGTTGGGGATGAAAAGAGGATAATATAAATGTATAGAAAACAATAAGCATAAAATCAAAAGTCAGAACCAGACCTGATTCTTGCGATTAACTCCTTACTGCGAATAGCCTTCAATTAAACATCAAGTTCGATGCCTATTTATTTGACTTTATTTCATTCTTTAATCGATATCGATCATTAATTTCCGTAGGTTAAGTTAACGCACTTTCCTGTTCTTTACGTCTCATTAAACCAGTGCAACTGTGCATTAAAATAATGGTTTGTTTTAGACCTCTTTCATTCATCAATGTTAATGATTCAATTAATTAAATGAGGAGCGTGTAATTTGTCTACGAACACGACGCAGATATAAAACAAAGGGCGAAAGGGAGCATTATTACAAAGAATATTAATACTAGTAAATCTAAAACTTAATTGAATTCAATTCTTATATTTACATTTTCTAATTTTTTCCTCTTCATAACTGTTTATTTTAGTAATCTTTAATGTGAGTTTAGCGCCCTTCAAAATCTTTGTACTTTATAGACATAGAAGTCGTTTCGACCGTGCAAAGTTAAGTAACGCAAACGAACATTGCGAGGAAAAAACTTACAAATAATAAACGCAGGTTTGTTGCATTTTCACGTTAATTCAACGGGGTTAATTCTTTCTAATGAAATTATGTCTAAACAATGTACAATTTGGTGTTCCTAGAGTATTGAAAATACATATAATTCCCACTGTGTATTCTAACGCGCGGTGACAGGGTTTTGCGTGTGTTACAGAGATATATATACATTTGTGGTATCTCTCTGCTATATAAACATACGGAGAACAAATATCTTCAATTCTGTATGAAGTTTGTCTGAGGTCAGAGGTCAATACGTGACCTAATCACACGGCGCAATAATATCTACCGGTGCATAAATATAAAATGACTTGCTCTACTTGCTTTTCATGTATAAAAATGAACAAAATATGCAAGTAAAATAATAATTATTTTATTTACAACCTTAACAAGTATTTCATACAGTTTTTTGGCTATTAATTTAACCTGTGTATACATGGAGAATATACCGATAGAAACTAGCTTTCCTTCACAAGTTTTATGTCACTTTTTTCAGCTGTACAGTTTATCATTATTTTTTTTGGAAGACTTTTAGTTAAATCTGCATGATAAACTAATTTTTTCAACAAATTCTACTCACGATAAATGTGTAAATCTGTTGGAAAATATCAAAGGACTGCAATCACGCCACGAACAGCTGACAAACACCTCGGCGCTGTCATAGTTCAATGTAAGCTTTCGCTAGTGTCCCCGTGTTCTGTTTACATCATAAATGTGCCTTTAGTTATAATTGATATCGTAGGTTAAATGTTTTTTTTATCTTAAATACTTGATTGCAAATTAACTGGCATGGTCAGGTGTTTCCATCCAACGGATCATCCATCCCTTTCTGGCGACCGAAATTCCTCCAACTTTTTATCATCGATCTTCGGACGTGTTTCTTGTGTCTTTTCAGCATTGATTATCAATTTTCACGAATAGAAATATTCCCAGATAACAATTTGTTCACCATTACTGATCACAAGTAGCCTTTCACAAAATAGTCCCTTAGAAATAAAACCCTTAGCCTGGTGAATTCGAAGCGTAACCGCTATTAAAGCCGATTTACACCTTGCGTCATTTTTCAAAATCTACGACGGACGGTTAGTGCAATAATTTATATTCGAAAGTATTCAATCGTCTGTCTCAAATGTATATATATGTAATAAATAACAAGTTTATAAACTTCAATGGGAATTGAAGTGGTCGGTACGTGATCAAATCTTCTGAGAAGGCCCTCGGCCTTCACAGGATTTGATCACGTGACCGACCCACTTCAATTCCCATTGAAGTTTATAAACTTGTTATTTATTTCTTAATTAAACGTCGTGGATTTTAAATGGATAACATAAAGAAAATTACACTGAATGTAACTATTCTATAGTTTAATATTCCTTCAATATTTCCAGATAAAACGATTTTTATTATACATCGTGTTTTCTTCTAAAATACTGTAGCAAGATATAGGTCATGTTGTACAGAAAGTCTGAGAACATATTGACTTCGTCTTTTAATCTGTTTCCTCCCCCTTTTAGTCAGATACTGACTGATTTTGATCATAGAAAATGTTCAGCCAATCTATAGATCCAGGGCGTTTATGGTTTTTGTCCTGTTTCTCTGTTTATCTATCTGTTGTCAACTTTAACCTTTGTCATAACTTTTGAACCTAGAGAAACAGAGACTTCATATTTGGTAGACATACTTCACTAATTAAGTTCATTTAAATGACACAGATGAGTTCATTGACCCTTTACCTTGGCTGTGACCTTTATGCTAAAAATAGCTTTTTTGAACTTTCGCCATAATTTTTTAACCATAAGAGATAGAGACTTCATGCATACTCCAATAATTAAGTTCTTTCAAATGACACAAAGGTCAATGACCTTGTGACATTGACTGCTACCTACCGGTATCTGCTAAAAATAGTTTTTCCAACTTTGTTGCCGCCGGGTGCATTTTGTTTAACAAACACATCTAATTAAACACTTCGACGTTTTTTTACGTTTTTTCTTGATATTGACTGTAAACACTGGGCGATTGTGACCATTTATCAGATGGTTACTTTTTCATAGTACCCGATACCACCTGTGATGATTTGGAGTTCTTTTTTTGCTCTTCTCCTGCTTTGCACTGTTTACAAAGACTTTTTATCTTGAACACTGTTCGATATGTCCATATTATTGTACTATGTAATATTGTATAGATTTGTTCTGGGGGGTTTTGACGGTGCAAAAATCAAATCTTGATTGCTTCATGTTTTGTGGATCCACTTTCAGAAGATGGACTAAGGTTTGGAATAACCTAGCACATAGTTGTTCTTTTACTAGCTGTTGTTCAATACAAATTCTCAAAATTTTCATATAGTTTGGCGTTAAGAAAACGTTCAACACACACATCTTGTAGAATAATTTACCTGATAAAAGACATAGCGTCCCTTTCGAGATATTTTGACTAATTGAGACACCACTAATTGCCGGTGGAGACCTTCAAATTCAGTCCAAGACTCTGGTGCTCCAGGTCAGTGACTACAGTAAGATATCTCATTTCTGTGAGCACCTACAGGGCCTAGTTATAGGTTATATAGTCACTTCCAAAGAATCCACGTTCCTTTGAAGGATTCTACTCTATTCCACGACAAAAAGATCTACTTCGTGAGTCAAGAGCAAACTCTTTGTCAACATGCATGCCGTGAAACTACTGCTATTGTAAATTAATATAAATGTTTGTTTAACAGTTGAAAAGTCAATTAATTCTTGCACAGATCTATCTTTGTTGTTTGCGTGTTCCCTCTTCGGTAAATCAAACGGCTTTAAATTTCGATTTTAAATATTAAGTTTCAATTTTCCCCTTACGAACTTCAAGACAAAAATAGGATAAAAAAAATCCTCAAGTACATTCCGTTTTATTAAATATCGTTTTGTTATGGAATGAGACTAGGCCCAGTAATGCGTCTGCGTCTATGTCTGCAAAATGCGACGTCAGTTCTGACGTCAGACATCATCATTGATTCCTTGGTAGATTCACCTGAAAAGGGAGGGGATTGGGAGGCTTTGTTGCTTATTTCTACACTCCTTGGTCGGCTTTTTGTTATGAAGTTCTCCAAATCAAGTGTAATTACCTGTCAGAAATATATAATCTTAGATTTACTGTTTCTCAATCAGCAGTAAAGATGAGCGGCTTTTTCTAATCACAAGTTTATTATCACATATGATAATGAAATAGGTCGAAATGTTTTAATCTAGAAAATCGTACATTTTATGCCTAGAAATTAGACATTCTAGTAGTTTTTCAATTATATTAATACACATTTTAGGGAGGCCAACATTAAAGAGAACGAGAAAAAGGAGAAAAATCTATAGAATACAAATTCAGTTTGAATTTGAAAGTGTATTTGAAAAAATGGAATAAAATAGATTAGATAACAAAAATATTGAATACAAAGCAAAGCATAGTTATCTCCATAGAAATAAAATCACGATTTAAGTCATTTAAGAAAACATTCTTTTAAAAGTGTTGAAAGTTATTGAATGACTGAATTGCAGAACTGTTCCGTTTAAACGTCAAATTCAGATGAGGCAGGATATATTCAAACTTTTATGCATGTGAAGAACACATGCTGTTGCATTTAACTTGCCTTTAGATATATAAACGTTGTAATATCCATTACTAATAGTTTTGGACACAATAAATTCAAGTGAGGTAGCCTAAAATTAGAGATACCAGAAAATTGTACTACAATAACAATGGTAACCGAACAACCAAATTTTATAATAATTAAAATGAGTACTTTAATTCTTCAGTTGTCAACATCCCTTACTTATGTTGCAATTTTTATGTATCAAATTGTTTTCCTTGTGAAAAAAGTTTTGAGAGTTAAACTTCTTGATAATTTAACCTGATTGTAAATTTCGCCTGGTAAAAATGTCAAGTATCTGATATTCATGTCAGTCTTGTGCGGCTGTTCACTATTCAGCGCAATAGTGCACTTGTCAGTATTCCTTGCAATAGTCCATTAGTCAGCGTTCCTTGCAGTAGCCTACTAGTCAGCGTTCCTAGCAATAGTACATTAGTCAGCGTTCCTCAAAATTGTCTACTAGTCAGCACTTCTTGCAATATTTTACTATTTAGCGCTCCTTGCAACAGTCTACTAGTCAGCGCTCCTTGCAAAAATCTACTAGTTCACTAGTCAGCGTTCCTCTCAATTGTCCAATGGTCAGCAATCCTAGCAATAGTCCATGCTAGTCAGCGCCCCTCGCAATAGTCCACTAGTCAGCGCTACTTGCAATAGTCCACTAGTCAGCGCTCCTTGCAATACCCTACTAGTCAGCGTTCCTCGCAATAGTCTATTAGTCAGCGTTCCTTCTAATAGTCCATTAGTCAGCGTTCCTTGCAATAGTCTACTATTTTGCGCTCCTTTCAATAGCCTACTAGTCAGCTTCCTTGCAATAGTCTACTAGTCAGCGCTCCTTGCAATAGTCTACTAGTCAGCGTTCCTTGTAATAGTCCACTAGGAACTATTAAGACATTTTTTGGATGCATTATTTCATAAGCTTTATTTGGTTTATTTGTATGACCCCTAATTTACCTCTTGAGCTCCGATATCATTGTGTCTCGTTTTAGTTATGGTGGCTTCTTCTCCTTGTGCGTATTTTTTCAGCATCTGTCTGATTTCTGCCGTTGCGATATCGTACGTTTTCATCGGGTTCCTGAGTTCCTCATTAACGACCACCTTGTATAGAGAATTAAAAAAAAAGCTGATGCAAACATTTCTTTTTTAAGCTGAAGCTTAAAGATAAGCTTTTTGGAGGCTTAAAAATATTCAAGTCGCCATTAAGCTACTTTAACCCCTTCCATGGCAAAGATTTTAAGCATTTCTAGACAAATTGATATTAAGATTTCAATTCATTTTTGAGGGTATGTTTTGTAAATTTTGTATATACGAATGTATATATATTCTGAAAGCAGGTATTGTTTATTTTCCGAAAATGATTAAAAAATATCATTTCAGTTGTCATGGCAACGAAATACACCATAATCATACTGGGATTTCCGTTTATTAAAGAATGAGTTTCATTCTAGTTATTTCCTTAGTTCAGTTTATTAAAAATATTTTATTGTGTTGAAAAATTTGAGCATGTTTTCTTGTGAAAGCTTTCAAGATTGTTATACCCAGATCCGCGTTCACAGCGACTACTTACATGTACAATGTATTAAATTCTTAACACTGTAAGCTTGTATTGTTTGTTGCTTAACGTCCCTCTTGAGATTTTCCCTCATATTACGTCGTTGGATAGCTACACATTTTGTCATATACTCGGCACTAAGGGCTATTGAGTAAGGAGGAATCCTTTTCGAGCCAGCATCTACTGCGACACGAGACCTCAGTTCATACGGTCTCATTCGAACAACCGGTTTCCAAGCCCCACAGTGGGATTGGAACCCGCGACGTAAGGGCGTTAGAGATTATGAAAGTGAAGTCAATTTACAATAGGCCTAGTAAAATTTAAAATCTATAAACATATTAATCGATCCGTTAGTCAGTTGTAACTTGTATGTAACGTATTGCTATTTGTCGATCCATTAAAAAGCGAGTAATCTGTATGTTGCTTTTTGTTATTGGTCGATCCGTTACTTAGACAGTAAGCTGTTTGTTACTTAATGTTATTAAATTATTATTATAATGGTATTTTTTCGATTACTGGAATTACTTACATGGAAATCGCCTACTTTGTTCACGTTAGCAAGTGGCTGTACAATTGATCCTTTTTCCTGCATTTGGCTGTCCATTTGCCGTTCATCCAATGGCAGTTGTAACTGGTCTTTTGGATGCTCAAAAGGATGTTTACGTCGCTCCACCAATAGTTGCTCTACCACATGCTGCTTTTGCTTTATTTCGGGTGTCATGAGTGTTTGTTCTTGTCGAGGTCGCTGTATTGGGATACCACGGGCTTCCTGTAACATAAAGTCCGCCATTTTGATGTTTCGTCCAACGGTGCACGCTATCATCATTAGACTTGTAAGAACTGCTCCTATGTCCATCCTTTTAAAAAACCCAAATATTTCGAAGTTAAAAGTAATAGAAAACATAGAAGTAAAGGTAAACAAATTATGGTAGAATTTCATTTTTTCCCAAAACAGGAAATATTTCTCAACGTAAATATTTATTATTTATTTATACAATCAAATATTATTTAAGAGAATATGTTGATTTACTATTGAAATAATTATTCACTTTATAGCCGTAGAGTCGGATGCTAAACATCATTTAGTCAATCAATTAATAAATGCACATTGACAATCTTTTTTATTCACACAAATATAAAATACTTTGAAGATTACCTTTCAACACAAGTAATGTTTCCATTTTTCAATTTATTTTTTCATTATATAGGCATGATGCATATTTTATTTATACCTCAAAACTTCACTTTTTTAATGAAGATTCTACGAAGCATCATTCGGGAATCGATAATGATTCAATCTAAATAGAAACGCAATATAGAGATAATGAACAGTACTTAAACATGTTAAACTCAAAAGTCAATTTAAACAAGAAACATTAAAAAAAATAACTGAATGTTAGGTTGATTTTGCTGACAAGATAATTTAAATAGTGAAGAGATATGGTGACCTTTAATAATTGATATCCTTGTCGCTTGTCTTGTTTTAAAATTGTTCTTGCAGAGAACATGCTACTGCGTATCGAATCAAGGTTAAATGCCCAAATCTATGGTGTCCTGTTAGGGCTATTTGCTAAAGCTCAATAACGCGTTCAGGAAAATGCGCTGTCGCGCTAACACACAACTCGCTGTCTATCACAACATTGAACAATATGTTCTTACTCTAACACGAGTTCGCACAACACGTTGTCATTCTAACACACAACACGATGTCACGATAACACAAGTTCGCACAACACGCTTTTGCGCTGTTTCAAATCGTGTTGGCGCGATGGAGTATTGTGATAGCGCAACATTCTGTTGTGCTCACTCTTGATAGCGTAACATAATGTTGCGTGTTAGCGCGACGGCGTGTTGTGCGAATTCCTTTTAGCGTGACAACATGCTTCGTGTTTTCGTAAGAGCGTGTTGTTCAGTGTTGTGATAACGCGACGGGTAGTCGTGTGTTGGTGTGACGGCGTGTTTTTCTGCACACGCTGTTCAGCTTTTAGTAAATGGCCGTATCCGGACACCAAATATACTCCATCTGTAGGTGTATGCATAATTTACTAAATATGTAAAAGAAAAATTATGTTTTTTTTGAAAAGTGTACTTTTTGTTTTCCTATTTGTCGATTTTAAAAATCTTTTTCGACCATCATTTGTTTTAAAAAAAAGGATTTGAAATGGTCTTTAAAGAATAAAATACTATTCATTTTCATTCTGCATGAGCTTAAAGAAAAGGAAATATATTATTAGTAGAATGTATTCAATAAAGTTTTAATATTTAGATACACTGAGAAAATTGTAGTCAATTTTATCTTACCTGAATTGTATGATATATCCCTAGAATTAATTGTGTTGTACAGTTCGGTAACAGGAGCTTGTGACTTTTTATATTGTGTGTCTCTGGGAATTTTTTTTTAAAATTACATCAAATATCAATTAGCAAATTTAAATAAATCCAAAAATGAGCCGTATAAAGTAAGGCAATATACAGGAGTCGGGGATATATATTTTGTGTGTGTGTGGAAATTTTTTTTCCAAATGTCCATCAGATGATATCAATCAACAGTTTTTCCCAAGCATAACAAATCTTTTTACTTTTTTTTTATATCTAATTAATTCCACAATTCCAGTTTTTCGCTCATTCGTTTAACGAATGACCTGCGTGTAATTTTTCAAAATTCCTATTTAATCTTATGTAATGTCTTTTTTTTCATTTAGAAAACGATCAAATTAAAATTCCGTCTAATATACCTAATCTGAGGATTTTTTTGTGTGAAAAGGATTTTTTTACAACAGAAATTCATTCCACAAAATATGCATGTAAATAAATTTAAAGCAATATGAACTGCAACTTTAATGTTGGAAAAATATGTTATATTTTTGTAATTTAGTATTACGATATCATGATAAAGAACATATACGAGGGTTTGTCGAAAAGTTCGTGGATGATGACAATCTTCATTATACCGGTCATACTTTGAAGAAATTTTGAATAAGCTCAATATCCTGTGTAAAAATATTTGTTTTGTTGATGTTTAAAGTTTCATTTCATTCGATTCAATAGAAATCTATTTACTTCAATTTAAAATCAACATTTTTGTATCAGCGGCGCACACTTAAAGACAAATGCTAATGGGTATATGTAAATCCCAGGGGAAATGTTATTGATAAAGTTCCGTTGTTTGAAGTAATTAAATTTAAAAATATTTATATTTTTTTTAATCATGGGACACTTATATTTTCAATTTAAATCAACATAAGAATTTACAAACAACTCTTTTTAGCATGTTTTATGGTGGATTGATTGATTGATTGTATACTGTTTAACGTCCCTCTCCAGAATATTTCACTGTTATGGAGACGTCACCATTGCCGGTGAAGGGCTGCAAATTTAGGCCTATGCTCGGCACTTATGGCCTTTGAGCAGGGAGGGATCTTTATCGTGCCACACCTGCTGTGACACTGGGCCTCGGTTTATACGGTCTCATCCGAAAGACCGCCCCATTTAGTCGCCTTTTACGACAAGCAAGGGGGGTACTGAGGACCTATTCTAACCCGGATCCCCACGGGGCTTTTATGGTGGATGATAAAGCCTTATTATGATTACGATAAACCTATATTTTTAAAAAATGAAATGTAGTTTACACGGCTTTCTTTTCATTAAAAAGATTGGATCTTAGGGATGAATGGATCAAGTTGTATTTGGTTGTTACAGGATTTTTATTTTAATTAACACATACACAAACATCTAAAATAATCTTTATTTTAATATTTGAATTTATAGTTTGATATAATACTTTTTGAATGGGTTGATACGGTTTCAAATATTCAAAAATAAATCAATATAACTAATTAAAAATTCTCTCAAAATCCACAACACACATAAAGTTTGGGATATATCACTCTGTTGTTACGAGATTTTTTTAAATTAACACATACACAAACATCTAAAATAATCTTTATTTTAATATTTGGTATTTGTGTGCATGAATATTGTTGTTTTACTCTGTTAAATTGAACAAAGGGATTGTCGAAATGGGGAAAAAGGCTCCACGAGTTGTAATGTATTTTTGCTTCAAAATATGGGAATCATCACTAGCGACATTTTCGTTAATCAATCAGACTTACAGAATAAAGAATGTAGATAAGAGACATCTTAATAGATGGTTTCAGCAAATATTGGTCACTGAAAAATAAATAGGTGAATATAATTTACGTTGTCAAAAAAACCTTAATTTTACTACAAGAAAAAAAAATTAAAAATTCTCTAAAAAACATTGAAAAATCCATATGACGTTATAACACACATAAAGTTTTTAAAATCGGATATTTTAAAAAGTATACATTATATTCTTTTGAATTTTTCAGGTCTGATTTAAATTAAATAAAGCTTTTATCATGTTTAATTTTGTTGCTTTACGTCGATTTGCAGCAATTTTATCAACGTTGTGACATAACTTTTGGACCAACCCTCGTATATGGATTAGGGGACAGATGACAACGGGTAGACTGCTAGCCCGCAAGGCATTCACACCTGTACAAAATAAGCCCCTCCCGCACCTGGAATTTACCACCCGGTAAAAAATCTCTGCCTTTAAGGCCGATGTAACGTCAAAAAATAGCGTCAAAAATGTCTTAAAAGTACTATCCCTGTATATTTGAATAGTTTAGTTTATTAATTATTATTAATTAGTTTATTAATCACTTATTAAACATCATTTTGTCTAACAATTGTTCTCGTCGTACCTTTTTTTTTTTACATTTTATAATTTTTCCTCTTATAATTGATTATTATTTTGGTAATCTTTAATGTTAATTTAGCGCCCTTCAAAACTGGTATGCTTTATAGATCTAGGAGCTGTTTGTAAAGTTGCAAAGTTAAACATCGCAAACGAGCATTGCGAAGAAAAAAGTGACAAATCATCAACGCACATTTGTTGCATTTTTACGTTAATTCAACAGGGTAAATTTTTTTTTTTTTGAAATTATATCAAAAAAATGTTCATTTTGGTGTTCCTAGAGTATTGAAAAATGCATTTAGTTCCTACTGTGTATTCTAACGCGCGGTGACAAGCTTTGCATGTGTTACAGAGATTTGAACGTCGTGGCTTTTAAATGAATAACATAAAGAAAAGTACACTGAATGTAAATATTCTGGATTATAGTTTTGATATTCTTTCAATATTTCCAGATAAACGATTTTTTATGCATCGTATTTCCTTTTAAAATGCTTTAGCAAGATACATGTATAGGTCATGGTGTACAGAAAGTCTGAGAACATATTGACTTCGTCTTTTAATTTATTTCCTCGCCCCTTTTAGTCAGATACTGACATACTTTGTTCATTGAAAATGTTCAGTTAATCTATCGATCCGGGGCGTATATTGTTTTTGTCCTGTTTTTCTGTTTATCTGTCTGTCGCCAACTTTAACCTTCGTAATAACTTTTTAACCTTGAGAGACAGAGACTTCATATTCGGTAGACATACTTCACTGATCAAACAGTTTAAATAGCACCAAGTTCATTGACCCTGCTACCTTGGCTGTGACCTTTTTTCTAAAAGATAGATTTTTTGAACTTTGTCCATAACATTTGAACCATAGGAGATAGAGACTTCGTATTTAATGTGCATACTCCAAGAATTAAGTTCAATCAAATGGCAACAAGGTCAATAACCTTTTGACATTGACTGTGACATATCTGCTTAAAATAGAATTTTTAGAACTTTGTCGCCGGGCGCATAGTGTTTCACAAAAAATCTTGTTAAACTCTAAACTGTCGACGGATTTTTGCGTTATTTCCCGATCCTGACAATAAACACTGGGCGATTGTGACCAGGTGGCAGATGGTTACTTTTTCATGGTACCTGATACGAGCTGTGATGATTCGGAGGTCTTTATTTGCTCTTCTCTTTCTTTACACGATTTGAATGGACTTTTGCAAAAATCAAATCTTGATTGCTTTATGTGTTGTGGATCCGCTTTCAGAAATTGGACTAAGGTTTGGAATAACCTAGAGCATAATTGTTCTTTTACTAGCTCTTGCTCAATACAAATTCTCAAAATTTTCATAGTTGTGGCGTTAAGAAAACACCTATATCTCGGAATATATTTTTACCTGATAAAAGACATATTTTGTATGTATATTTGTTAGTTTGTTTAGCGTTCCCTTCGAGATCTTTTGACTAACCTAGACACTACTAATTGCCGGTGGAGAAGAACAAATTAAGTTCAAGACTATGGCACGCACGGTCAGTGAACAGCGAGGGATCTCATTTCTGCGAGCACATACAGAGCCTAGGTTTATACATGTATAATCACTTCCAAAGAGCCGACTCTCTTGTCCCCTTGTAGGATTCTACTCTACTCCACAATAAAAAGAGCAACTTCGTAAGTCAATAGCAAACTATCTTACAACATGAAATCTGAGAAACTATTGGTTTTGTAAATTAAAACGAATGTTTGTTTAATATTTAAAAAAAAATAATTAAGTCTTGCAAAGATATATCTTCTTTGTTTGTATTTTCACTCTATAATACATCAAACGGCTTTAAATTTTGATTTTCAAATTCTAAGTTTGAATTTTACGAACTTCAAGACAAAATATCATTATACAATATTCATGTACATTTTGTTTTATTAAATATCGTTTCGGTATGCATTGAGACTAGCTTGAAGGAGGGCTTGGCGGTATCTTAACCACTCAAGAAGGAATGTTCTTGTGTCTATTTGTTGCCTTTGTCTTGGTTTTGCAGATCTTATGACGTCAGTTCTGACGTCAGACATCATTGATCTCTGGGTAGATTCCCCGGGAAAGGGAGAGGCTTTGTTGTTTATTACTGCACTCCTCGGTCGGCTTTTTGTTATGAAGTTCTCCAAATCAAGTGTAATTACCTGTCAGAAGTATACATATAACCATAGATTAAATGTCTCTCAATTAACAATAAAGTTAAGCGGCTTTTTATAAACACTAGTTTATTATTATATATTAAGATGAAAAAGGACGAAATGTTTAATCTAGAAAATCGTACATTTAATGTCACTAGGCATTCTAGTACTTTTTTAAATTATTGATAAATTCAGTCTGAATTTGACTGTGTATTTCAAAAATGGAATAAAATGGATGAGATAACAAATATACGAGGGCCCTTCAAAACTTACACTGACTTGTTGCACAGAAAAAATATTTGACGACATTATAGGGCCAAATGTAACACATAATTTAAAAGAATTATTACTTATATGGCATTTAAAATTTCATATCAAAATGTTGTGAATTGGTATCAATTTTGAGTGATTTATCAGGACATATCATTGAGTCACGGAGCAGCAAAATCTTCGACGTCACAGTCAATATAAAATATGATTGAGCTTTCATTTTCTCAACATTTTCCAAGAGTACCTGTACAGTGTGAGCTACCTTATCTACTCAACACAAAATCTACGAAACAAGTAAAGAATATTCTTTTTTTGTTTTAAAGACAAAAACTGCAGGTATTTATGAGATATAGTGTGATATTGGTGACTCTCAATCACGGTCTTTACAGTCCGGATAAAGTTTTCGTCGATAATCTTCTTCCCGTCCTCCCGTAGAGCTTTTTACAGAAGACTAACGGTCTAAAATTTCATTTTGCTATTTGTGGTCGAATGTCACGAATAAAAAGTTTTAAACATGTTTTATTATGCATATTTTGGATCTATGTTGGCGATATCTCGAGCATTACACATAATTCAACAAAAGCGTGGTGCGCCGTCAATTCAGGAGACGTCATTTTCACAGTCGTTTTGACGACAATTGCATCGGAGAAAAATCACTATATTTTTGTTAGTACTTAAAATATCATGTCAAAAAAATCTAAATACATGATTATAGATCAATTTAAAGATATATCTGAGAAAATTGTTGATAAGTATCGCCAATTTTAGAAAACTGATTAGTTAAAGTTTGGACTCCGCATGCTTTTGCTTCAATTTTTTTTTTGTCATGCTCCGTACCTCTCCATCAGCAATATCAACATACCGATAATTTTCGCAGAATTTTTCTAAGATACAGATATTTTGCCCAAAATTTATTTGAATCTTAAAGATACATATTTCTGTGGTTTTCAAACAAATTTTGCCCTGTGAATTTCTAAAAAATGAAACTGGTGTAAAAGTTGAAAGCTTATGCTTTTTAAATAATTTAAATTCAATGCAGAAAAATCATACTAGTCATTTTTCTCACATGTGTTTTTAAATGCTAATTATGAATTCATTAACGTGTATTTTCCCGTATTTTCTTTAAAAGTTGCAGAAGACACCAATTTTCAATGGAATTTTCTTTCAGATAACATTGTCCACAGGCATCGCCTGATCTTGAGATATGTGATTGTTTATTGAATTTTGCACGAAATATCAAATAATTAACGTAGGCGACGGCTGTGAACACTATTTTCTAAACGAAAATTACCCTTGAAATTGGCTTATTTGAGGCTTTTTCTGTAATAAAATACAGACATGCATCAAATTTATGACGTCATATTTGCAGAATGGTAATCCTTTTAGCCATATTCTTTCCTGATTTATCAAAGTCATAAACTTAACTAATATTTAAGACAGTTTCAAAACTTTTTGATGATATTACATTTTTAGGGCACAATAAAGCTAAAACCATACCTTCTTCTTTCATAACTATATGACGTCTGTAAGATTAAATAATAGCACAGTCCGCGTAATTTTTGAACGGCCCTCGTATTGAATATAAAGCATATTTATCTCTATAGAAATAAATTGTGCTTTTAGTTATTTATGAAAACATTCGTTTAAAGGTATCAAAAGTTATTGAATGGCTGAATTGCAGAACTGTTTCATTTAAAAGTCATATTCATATGAAGCCGGTTTTATTCAATATTTTGCATGTGAAGAACACTTACTGTGGTATTTTACCTGACATTTAGATATATTAATTGCGTAATACCCATTACCAATAATTTTGGACACAATCAATTCAAGTGGGCTAGCCTAAAATTAAAGATGCCACATAGTCTAACACATCTGTATCATAATTGAATATTTTACTACAATAATACTTAATGGTAACCAATCAAACAAGCTTTATGACAAAAATGATGACTTTAATTTTTCAATAGTCAACCTCCCTTACCTATGTTGCAATATTTATGTTTCAAATTGTTTTCGTTTTGAAAAAGTTTTGAGAATTAAATTTCTTGATAATTCAACCTGATTGTAAATTTGGGCTGGTAAATGTATAGTGTTTGATATACATGTCAGTCTTAACTGTGTGTATTGTGTTTGACATACGTGTCAGTCTTGTGTGTGACATACGTTTCAGTCTATTGTGTGTATTACATGTATATAATAAAGGAGTTATTGAACTTAAATTGGTGAATATTGGCACTCTTTGGCTGTACAGTTGCACTCGCAAGCCAACTTGTATTCACTAATACAAGTTCAGTAACCCTATAATATATGTATATTAATATAAATGATAATTTGTAAATGATGCTTTTACACCTTTTAGCTTTTCATCCTAGTTTAAAAGTAAGGCGTCAATTGTAAACGTCAACGTTTCTATCAATAATCCAATAGTCAGCGTTCCTTGCAATAGTCTACTAGTCAGCGCTCCTTACAATAACTTACTAGTCAGTGTTCCTTGTAATAGTCCATTAGTCAGCGTTCCTTGCAACAGTCAAATAGTCAGCATTCCTTGCAATAGTCTACTAGTCAGCGCTCCTTGCAATAGTCTACTAGTCGGCGCTCCTTGTAATAGTCCGTTAGGAACTATTAAGACATTTTTTGGATACCTTATTCCATAAGCTTTATTTGGTTTATTTGTATGACCCTAATTTACCTCTTGAGCTCCGATATCATTGTGTCTCGTTTTAGTTATGGTGGCTTCTTCTCCTTGTGCGTATTTTTTCAGCATCTGTCTGATTTCTTCCGTTGCGATATCGTACGTTTTCATCAGGTTCCTGAGTTCCTCATTAACGACTACCTCTGAATAAGGAATTTTAAAACAAATGTTTGTTGCAAAAATTGCTCCTCTTTTCCTCAGCTGAGGTAAGATTAAGCTATTTTAGGGGGGGGGGGCTTAAAAAATGTTTAAGTTTCCATATGCATTAAGCTACCTTAGAGGTGTCTTCTAGAGAAAACTTTCAACATAGTTGTACACAGATCCGCGTTCACAGCGACTAATTACAGTGTATCAATTTCTTAACACTGTATGATTGTATTTTGTATTGTTTAACGTCCCTCTCGAGATTTTCCCTCCCATAATGCGACGTTAGGACGTTAGAAATTATATACACAATAATAGAAGTGATGAAGAAAGTGAAGTCAATTTACGATAGGCCTAGTAAAAGTCAAAATCTATAAACATATTAATCGATCCGTTAGTCATTTTTAGCTTGTATATAACGTATTGTTAATTGTCGATCCATTAAATAGCGAGTAATCTGTATGTTGCTTTTTGTTATTGGTCTATTCATTACTTAGAAAGTAACCTGTTTGTTACTTATTTTCAGTGGTCTATTCGAGAGTTACTTATTGCTACTGGGCAATCCATCAGTTAGACCGTTACCTGCATGTTACATGTACTTGTTTTTATTCGATTATCCGCTAATTTGATGAAATTATTTGTGAATTTGTGATTTTGTTAAATTATTGCATCTCATTTGCTATTTCGATCCGTTTGTTAGTTAAAAACTACCTGTTTTGAAAAGTTAGAAAATGCTATCTTATTCTTTTGATTACTTGGCTTTACCTACTTGGAAATTTCCTACTTTAATCACGTCAGCAAATGGCTGTACAGTTGAACCATGTTGCTGCAGTTGTCTATCCATTTGTGTTGTCTTTAACATAATGTCCGGCATTTGGACGTTTCGTCCAATTTGGCCATTAACCGTGCATGATATCATCAATAAAATTGTAAGAACTGCTCTTCTGTTCATTCTGAAAACAACAAACATTCCGCAGTTAAAATCAATTTAAAAAATAATAAAAGTAAACGTATAGAATATTATGGTAGAATTTTTTTCACAAACATGAGATATTTCTCCGTAGATATTTATCAGATACAACATCAAATATGATGAAGAGAATATGTTGATTTACTTTTGATATTCATTTTATAGACAGAGTTGGATGCTAAACATCATTTAGTCATTAAAATCATATAGGCCAATTGACTCTCTTTTTTTTATTCATACAAATATAAAATAATTGGAGGATTACCTTTCAACACAAGTAATGTTTCCTTTTTTCAATTTATGTTTTATTAAACGGGCATAATACACATTTTATATATCGAATAATAAAAATTTTTAATGAGGATTTTATAGACATAATTCAGGAATCGATAATTATTCAATCTGAATAGGAATACAATATACTGAACAGTACTCAAACTCAAAAGTCAATTTAAACAAGACGAATTAAAAATTTTAACTGAATGTTAGGTTGATTTAATGACAAAATAATTTGATTGGTGAAGAGAAAAAGAAATGATGACCTTCAATACCGTATATCCTTTTTTCGCGTGTTGGAACCTTTGCGAAATGGGGTAGATTTGTAAAGTTTTTTGCGTTTAAAAGTGATTTTTTTACGATTAATGATATTTTTTTGTTTGAAAAATGATAATGTTTTTATGTCATATTATGCTGACATAATATCTGTGTGTTTTATATTTTGCGAATATAAAAATGATCTAAGAAAAAGCGAAAAAAGCATAGCCAGAAAACATGCAAATTCAAAGAATTATAGTTACCTGCTTTCGGTATCTTTCTTTAGATGCAAATTAAGTATATTTATACCTGAAATACGGTCTTCTCACAAAAAATACAACTGTAAAATACGAAATTTGTAGCATCACCTCTTCAAAAGTTTTAATTGCCCTAGCCCTTACCATTAAAAATTCCAAGGTTAAATTTTATTTTATAACTACGAAATTTCCAAGGTTAGGATCAAAAGGTCAAAGTCGTTGGTTTCAAATGATAGATCTTACCACAAATAATACAAATGTGAAATATAAAAGTCCTGATATCTACAATTCAAAAGTTTTGGCCAAGGTTAAAGTATTTAAAAAGTAGGTCAAACTCTTAAGTCAAGTTCAAAGGGTCAAAGTTCTATCCAATGAAAGGTTCAGCCACAAGGATTAAATGTGTTAAGTATAAATGCTCAATGGCCCTGACCCTTCAAAATTAATGATCAAGTAGGTCAAGGTCAACTCTAAAGTCAAGGTCAAAGGGTCAAAGTTCTTTGTATCAGATGAAATGTCTTTTCACAAGAATTACATATGTGAAGTACGAAAGTCCTAGTTTTTACCGTTCAAGAGTTATGGCCAAGGTTAAAGATTTTCATAAAGACGGAAATCTCCAAGGTCCAGGTCAAAAGGTCAGAGTGCTTGTCAACCAATGAAGATCTTGCCACAAAAAATGCATAAATGAAATATGAAAGTCCTAGTGTCTACAGTTCAAAACTTATGGTCAAAGTAAAAGTTCTGAATGTTTGTGTAAAAGTTGGTCAAACTCCAAGGGCAAGATCAAAAGGTCAAATTTGAGGTACCCAAAGAAAGGTCTTGTCAGAAGGATTACACATGTGAAGCATGAAAGCCATAGCTCCACTTAATCAAAAGTTATAGGCAAGGTTAAAGTTTATGTGACGGACGGACAGCTGGACAGACTGACGAACAGACGGAGAGACAGACAGACGAATGAGATTAAATGTCCCCTCGCTTTCGCTAAAGCAGGGGACAAAACACGGATATTCAAAAATTGTTGCTTTTTCTTTATTGTTTTGTTTTAGAATTGTTCTTGCATAAAACATGCTAAATCTTAAAGTGTTCGGATAGGGCCATTTGCTAAAGCTCAACAGTGGGTTTAGAAAAACACGACGTCGCGCAATCAGAAGATTGAAAAATACGCTGTTACTCTAACACGAGTTTGCATAACACGCTTTCGCCCTAACACACAACATGCTGTTGATCACGCTAACACGAGTTCGCACAATACGCTGTTGTTCTAACAAAAAACAAGATGTCACAATAACACAAGTTAGCAATACAGGCCTTTGTGCTGATTCAATGCGAGTTCGCGCGACGGCGTGTTGTGCGAACTCTTGTTCGCGTGACAGCATGTTGTGTGTAAGCGCGACAGTATATTGTGTTAGCACAACAGTGTGTTGAGCAAACTCTTTTAGCGTGACACCATGTTCTGTGTTAGCGTGTCAGCCTGTTGATGGAACTTATATTAGCAAAACAGAGTGTTGTTCAATGTTGTGACAGCAAGTTGTGTGTTAGCGTGACGGCGGGTTTGAAGAACGCGTTGTTGAGCTTTTAGTAAAGGCCCTATCCGGACACCATATGAACTCCAAATGTCATTTTTTTTTCTTATTCGCGCATCGTTTGTTAAAAAAGAGAGGATTTAAGATCTTTTAAGAATAAATTTCTATTCAGTTTCATTCTTCATGAGCTTATAGAAAAGAAAATATTTTAAGATTTAGAAACAATGAGAAAATTGTAGTCAATGTTATCTTACCTGAATTGAATGATATATCCCTGGAAATAATTGTTCAGTACCGTCGGAAAACTGAGCCTTTGACTTTTTATTGTATGTGTCTCTGGGGTTTTTGTTTTCAAATTCCCTTCACATGATATCAATCAACAGTTTTAAATAAAAAAATGAGCCGTATATATTTAGTAAGTAAACAGGAGTCGGTATATTATTTTTGTGGAAATTTTGCTTTCAAATTTCCATCAAATGCTTTCAATCAACAGTTTTGAATAAATTTAACAATGAGCCGTATATAATAAGCAAATAAACAGGAGTCGATGAATATACATTTTGTGTATGTGTGTGGAAATTTTGCTTTCAAATTTTCCTCAAATAATACCAATTAACAGTATTTCCAAACATAACAAATCTTTGTAATTTTCTTTTGGAGATTTTCGCTCATTCATTTAACGAATGAGCTGCAAGTAATTTTTCAAAATTACTCTTTAATCTTATGTACTGTCTCTTTTCGACATTTAGAAAACGGTCAGGTCAAAATTCAGGATGATGTTTGGGGGTTTTTTGTGGGAAAAGGATTTTCTTTTAAGGCAGAAATTCATCCCACAAAATTTGCATTTGAATTAATTTAAAGCAATATGAGCTGCAACTTTGATGCCGGGAATTTTTGTTATAATATTGTTATTTATTATTACAATATCATTAAAAAAGAACATTAATAAATTTTAGTCGTTCCTATACATATTTGCAGTACAAGAACTACTTAAATTCTAAATGAAAGCAAAATTACATTATTAATATTGTCATCATGCACAATATCAATTCCGTATATAAAATATTGTAATATTACATATTCCATTGTAGAGGTTTATTTTCTGCAGAAAAAAATTTATAGTTTGCATCAAAATGTTAAAACCAGTTAATTGTTACAAAACGAATCTGAATTATGTACTTCAGACAATAAAGTCAAGACAAAGGAGAAAATTTGGTGCTTTTCGAACATCAATTTTCCTTAATTTGTTATTTATGTAAAAATAAATGGTAAACTCTTGCGTAAGTGTGATGTTAACGTCTTCCAACCTTTTACTTTCATATAAGAGCTAGCCCTTAATTTGATAATTTTTTATGAGCTGGGTACTGACAGGTAAGTTGAAGTTACAGGGATTTCAACAAACTCAATAAAATTCGAAATGCTTCGTAATAAAAAAAATGGCTTATCATGACTTTCTTGTATTTGAAAAGAAAAAGAGGTATTCTTTATTACAAAAGATTTGACCTATATGTACATGTATAGGGTAGAATCAATTTCCGGAGAAAGTCACATTTGAAGTCAGTTCTTCAGTTGTTTTTCATCGTATTATTGTCTAATTTTTTTTTAAATGCATTTCAACGCAATTTTTCTTTATTTCAATTTTACAACTAACCATCAAAGTTCGTCAAAGCAGCATTTTTGTTCGTTTAATCATTGATTTTTGGTGAATTTGATGGCTTAGAATTCCTTCAGGGCAGGCTTGTCACTTTTTGAAAATACGAATCTTTGATATTTTTGTTTTAAGGAATAAAAAGACTTATTTTAAGGGCACTCCTGCCCTAGGGTCGAAATTCGTTAACAAAAATACAATATTGCGAAAACCTATTTCTATCATATAGGTCTTTGTTTAAGACATAGGTTTCCAGGATCAATATAGCTCAGAAGAATGGTCCACATACTCTTATCATAAAATTTGAGTGTCCTGGTTCGAATCCAACTGTTTGCACACTTCATTTTTTCAAACCGATATCGGTAATACGTGTCAATGCATATAGTTTCCTAGAATTGTTCCTTTTTATGATATATTCTTTTGACCGTCTGGTGCTTCAGTTGATGTCATTGTTGGGGTAGATTTACTTTCCTCTACCTGAAAATGCTTCTGAATAAATTTGAACAATCTCTGTTGTTCTTGAGAAAAAACATACAAAGCATTTTTCATTTGCATTTTTATCGCATATTGTGGGCGCAATATTGTGGGGAAAAAGATTGAGGCGGTCACAAGATAAATTCCTAGGAAAGCTGAAAGAGTTGATACATGTAACAACCAATCAAATAAATCTTTAAGCTTTATTTTGCATTTGTTTATCCAATTTTGAACTAAATAACAAGATCTTAATAAATATATATTAGGACCCATCGTGCATGCTTTATGATATTTTTTTAATGTTTTATATAATAATGAAATGATTTTTATCTTTTGTTTATAATAGGAAATTCATGTATGTATTTAAAACTAGTGACGAATAACGTTTGTGTTTAGCAAATATTTTTTTTTCAAAAGGAAAAAAGTTGTTAATTTTAATTGCGCAGTTCTAGGAATCGTGTAGCAGAACAAAGACTAGATTGCAGGTATTTTATTTGCAACAAATGGCTTGCTAAGCTATACATGTATACAGAGTTGAGGTGAAATGAAGAATGTCATGAACTTATTCCGGTCCGTGGATAAAGGTTTGTTTACATAACACGCATTCGAGGATCTTGTATCATACCGCCATTAACACTTCCAGATAACGTGCGTCGACCATTGAAAGAAGGTCCTCCGCCATTAAAAGTAATCCGTCTGTTTAACGTCGGCCGCCTGGTCAGACTGCTACTCGAGATCGGTAATCGACCTCTGTTTACCAGCTGAGAGTATCTTGATGATAACAATCTCAAACGTCTTAAAATGTCCATTTCCCTGGCTCGTATTCTCAAGAGTTCTTCTCGAAGCAATCCGTATGGCGGGCGCCCGGTAGCAAAGCGATCCGAATCCAAATCATTTCGCATTGAATTTCCCAATTCTCTTCGGGTAGGTTCATTCATTAAACTTCTTCGTTGCAGATCCCGAAGGCGCATTAATAAACGTCTGTTTTCTTCCTCAATACGACGAATATTGTTTTCCATTCTTCTAGAGGGTCCATCGCCTGGGAATGCAGTTTCTTGAAACGGTCGCATTCGGCTGATATCATTCCCAGGCTGTCGAGGGCCAAAATCCCTATCCCCCGGCCGATCTGTGGGTCGCAAATTTCCTTCCATTGGGCCTATAGGTCCATCAGGTCCCGGGACCTCTCTTGGCGGCAGTACTCTCCGGCCTTGAGGTGTCATCCGGCTGATTTCCTGCTGGATCGTCCTGAGGTCTCTCTCTGCCTCTCGTCGCTCCTGTCTGTTTGTGATGGCGTTCTCGTTTCTGGTCATTCTCGTCAGCTGCCCTGTTTAAAGTATAAGAATATAAGTCTTAAAGAAAGATCTTACTACTTTTTTATACATCACAATTTCTCAAACTTTTTATTTTGTAATGTTTACAAAATTGTTTTTTTTTTCAAAGAAATAAATCATCGTATTTATTTTTGATTAATGTTAATTATAATTTAGAGGTTTATACTAATAATGAAAAAAAAACATTTTATTCGTGATCGGTTGCTCGTTCTAGTTTAACTTTCTCTCTCTCTCTCTCTCTCTCTCTCTCTCTCTCTGTCTGTCTGTCTGTCTGTCTGTCTCTCTATGTCTCTCTCTCTCGCAGTCTCCCTCTCTTTCTCTCTTTTCTTTTTAAAACAAATTACCATTTCTGTAAGCACTGTCTAGAGCTAGTAATTGAGCATCGAGATCCATGATCTTCTGCTTCAGAAATGATTCCGCGTCCATTAGCTGCTCCAGCCTCGGTTCTGCTGGGCTGGTGACGTCAGGACCATCTCCTGGTTTTAATAATGGTTCTGGTTGTCCCCCGGGGAGTGGACCGGCGTCAGGGGTTATTATAGGAACCTGCGTGCCTCCAGGTCGATTTGTAAACTGCTCAAAGTCTAAAGTGACTACCTGTCGGAGAAATATAAATTATGATTAAAGTAATAATTGATAAGTTAAACTGCTTGTTTGCTTAATATGTAATAATGATAACACTCATGTGTGCATTCACTTATTTGAACGTTTTATTATTGTTTGGATCTTTAAATCTTAGGGTTAATTTCTTATCTTTAGCCTCAACCTAGATAATTCCTGGATTATTTTTGAGTAATATGAAAATATACTTTTAGCAGTTGGGAAATATGTTTTTGAACGTTTTAAAAAGAGGTAAAACTATACTCTACGATAAGATTAATAATATAAAATACTCTTTTACATTTCTTTTTATGCATATTTTCAGCTCGTGTAACATCCGTTGATCAATGTTTAAAAACTAATGTTTTACGTTTGTCGCAATATATTTAATGTACACACCAGAAAATATATTACTACATGTACTTTGAAATGATTGTAATTAATAGTAAGCAAATCATAAAAATCCTAAATTAAATTCTGTCTTCTTAACTTGTTAAGCGTAAATAAGTTTATTTTATACCTAATGTGTATCACTCAATTTTACTGCTGATTTTACGCAATCACGTGACGTTGTGATCCGCGCCTGTCAACTCCACGTGATACGACCCTTCGGATCAAGTTACTGTTATAATAACATATATTTACCTCCTGAGCCCCTGTGTCGGGATTCCTCCGGGTCTTGGTAATGGTTGCACTCCCCCCTCTTGCGTACATCTCCAGCATCTTCCTGATCTCCTCCACTGTGATGTCATACGTCCTCATCATGTTCCTCAGCTCGTCATTATAAACCACCTGTCAAAATATAATAAGTTTATCAGAGGTGAATGTGTTCTCTTTGAAATAGTTCACACTTATTATACCTGTCCGCTTATCACAACGGTTGGAATTTCATTTTCATTTTGAAAAAGAGGATTTGATTAAAATGATATTTTTCCAATATTGAATTTTTTGCAATTATTGTTTTTAGCAGCCTATGTATTCTTACATGTATATTACCTGCTTTTATAAGTATACAATCTTACCTAAATGTATACTGTTGTTATTGGTCTGTCTGTTGGTAGTACATTTTTACCTTAATGTTTCCTGCTGATATCGGTGTTCCTGATGGTAGTACATTTTTACCTTAATGTTTCCTGCTGATATCGGTGTTCCTGATGGTAGTACATTTTTACCTTAATGTTTCCTGCTGATATCGGTGTGTCTGTTGGTAGTAAATTTTTACCTATAATGTTTCGGTGTGTCTGTTGCTGATACCTGTAAGTTTCCTGCAGTTATCGGTGTGTCTGTTTGTAGTAAATTTTTACCTGTAAGTTTCCTGCTGATATCGGTGTGTCTGTTGGTAGTAAATTTTTACCTGTAAGTTTCCTGCTGATATCGGTGTGTCTGTTGGTAGTACATTTTTACCTGTAAGTTTCTTGCTGATATCGGTGTGTCTGTTGATAGTAAATTTTTACCTATATGTTTCCTGCTGTTATCGGTGTGTCTGTTGGTAGTACATTTTTACCTATATGTTTCCTTCTGTTATCGGTGTGTCTGTTGGTAGTACATTTTTACCTGTAAGTTTCCTGCAGTTATCGGTGTGTCTGTTGGTAGTACATTTTTACCTGTAAGTTTCCTGCTGTTATCGGTGTGTCTGTTGGTAGTACATTTTTACCTGTAAGTTACCTGCGGTTATCGGTGTGTCTGTTGGTAGTACATTTTTTTTACCTGTATGTTTCCTGCTGTTATCGGTGTGTCTGTTGGTAGTACATTTGAGCCTCTTTGCTCTCTACGTTGATTAATCAGTTGTTGCTCTATCAGACGCTGTTGATCTCTTCGCTGTTGTCCTTCCACGATTTGTTGCTGAGCAATTTGTTGTTCCTGAAGCTCTCTCTGCTGATCTATAATCTGTTGTTGCGCTTCTGCTTGTTGTTGCTGCATTATTCGTTGATCCTGCGTTAATTTTTGTATTTGTTGTTGCTGCACCATTTGCTGTTCCTGTTGTATTTGTTGAACTTGTTGTTGCTGTCTTATTTGTTCATCCTGTTGTCTTTGTTGCATTTGTTGTGCTTGTTGTTGCTGCCTTAGTTGTTCATCCTGTTGTCTTTGTTGTATTTGTTGTCTTTGTTGTTGATCAATTATTTGTTGATCCTGTTGTCTAAGCTGTTCTTGTCGTCGTTGTATTTTTTGGACGTCTTCTATCATGATGTCGTTTACGTTTGGTAAGCCTGGCATTTGGTTGTTTTCTCCCACTTGTCCATACACTGAATATGCTAAACTTACCAAAGCTATGAAGAGATGCTTTGGACCCATCCTACAAAAATACATTATAGACTCTAAACGTTTTGTTTATATGTTGTTTACCTTCACTCTCGATAATTTTTCACCCATACGTAGAGGCCATAATTTGATGTTTGAAAGCGGCAAATTATGTCCTATGCTCGGCATTCAAGGCCATTGAGCAGTGTGGAATCTTTTCCGTGCGAGCACATACTGTGACACGGAACCTCGGGTTATACGGTCTCATCACAAGGAACCGTCCTCATGTTCCAAAGTGGGCGATGTAAGAATCAAATCCTTATTTCGTGACTTTAGAGCAGACTCTCTAACCAATGCGCCACAAGACCGACTGTTCTAAAGGTTAAACTGGGCGATTAAATATAAATTTACTGGGAATGGGGTAGAGGGTAGTACAATTTTACAAAATAAAAGAAGATAAGGTCATTTGTGGTTGCATAGAGGGAGTAACTCCAAAATAAATAATTTCTTATTCTTTGTCAGCAAATACAGTTAATGAGTGAATCAAATGCTGATTGAGGTTTTTCATACTGATTGTTAGCCATTATTTACACTCTGAATTTACGACAGATTTTCCCGTTATTTCCTGATCATGACAAGGAACACACGCTGGATATGACCGGTCGGCAGGGGATGCTCATTCCTACATGACACCTGATCCCACCTTTGATGTGTGGAGGACCGTGATTGCTCTGTCCCTGAATTATATTGTTTTATAAACTTTTGAGCTGGAATTCTGTTTGTTGTTTCAATATATTACAGCTTTAATTCGCAATCTGTGCAACCTTCCGATTCCTATCTGGTATATGTAATAGTATTAAATGGTAAATTGAGAATATCTTCTACATGTGCATGCACTTATCTTCTATATATCCTCTCAATATGAAGATTTAAAAGAGAAGTACCTTCAAAAAACCTTTTTCCGTATAAACTCATTTTTGTTTCGAGGCATTTAAACGTGAAATTTACCCAAGAGAAAAAAAAGTCAAACAAAAGTTTACTTTCTTTCTATCAGCATATGTTTGTATTCTACGGAATTTTTTTTTCTAAAAAATTGCCTATATCAGTGCCCTCTTTTTTTTCTTCTCGAAAAAGTTACAATGGAGTTATTTATATCCTGATAGAGTTCTTTTCTTTCTTTATCTATTGGCTAATTTTACAGTTATTGTTTTAGTAGCCCGCGTGGTCCAGTGGTAAAATATTTACTCTAAAGTCGCGGAGGAATGAGTTGACCCTTACGTCACGGGTTGGAATTCCACTGCTGGGCGTGAAAGCCGATATTTCGGACGACTGTTAAAACAGAGGTCCCGCGTAGAAAGTGGTACAACGAAAAAAATCATTTACTTTTCAACTGTCCTGATTTCAGAGAAAATATTTGAATTTGTAGCTCTACGTCGTCAGATGGTGGCGTGTGCATATGAATGAAAAATTGTTGAGAGGGATTTAAAGCAACAAATTAACAAGCAAACAATGATTCTTTTCATATACTGTACTTGTACTAAATTTGGCGTTTTTAAAATTTAGCGGAATCACTAAATATGGAGTTCTTGATGTAATAATTAATTAGCGCTATGCATTATCGTACCATGCATTGTATTTATAAATAAAGATGAAGCTGTATTCATGAATTAGCGCATTAATGTCCACGACAAATCCGCTATAATATGAAGCCCGCTTTTTTAGTGCACATACAATATGTTTAGTTAAATTCGTAAATAAGCAACATATATGGCATGCTTTGTCCAAGAAAGAAAATATAATGAAAAAATACAAATCATATAAACTAATAAAAGTCGCTATCCTCAAACCTTAATGATGTGATAAGTCCCGAAATGAATTGTCCAGTACAATTAATGGACAAGATGTGTTCTATGTGTATTTATTGGGTTTTGTTCACTTTTCAATCATTGATATCAATCAATAGTGTCCCACTACATTCCAAATAGTTCATCATTTGTTAGTTCCGTTCAATTAAATTCCTCTTATTTACGCATTCTTACCATTATGAATGTTAACAGAAAACATGTGTAGACGACAATACTAGTTTGTAAAAAGACTAATACAGAACCTTGTACTAAGATTTTCTTTTTATGATTTTAAGAAATTTCATTTGTTTCTATCTCCGTGTTTCCTTATTTACTTGATTTCGTTCTTTGTATTTTCTTTACTTTCTAATTATACCAGAAAGAAACATTCGACCTCTGAACACATCAATGAATTATAAATTATTTTATATCACGTTACAAGGAGAACTTCCTATGATATATATATAACGTATGATTCAAATTTAAGAAGGGCGAGGTGAATATTTCTTCGAAGATGGCTAAATCATTATATTGACCGAAAAAAACAGCAATAATTGTTTTATTATATGATTCACTGATAAAATGATACAGCTCATTACTTGTTTGCATTTAATTAAGTCCTAGCCAAATACAAGAGAGAAGACTTAAAATATAGATAAACCTAACAGTCGTTCAATTTGAAATGTTTTTTTTTTTTTTTTATCAATTTTAGTTACCATAATATATATATATATATATATATATATATATATATATATATATATATATATATATATATATATATATATATATATATATATATATATATATATATATATATATATATATATATATATTGTCAGTCTTTTTTATAGTATAGATTTTTAAAGAAAGGAGTATTATTAGGGAAAACTGACTGCCAAAAAGCAAAAATTGTTGTTCAGTAAAAGTGTTGGAGGGTGGTCCTGCATCCCGTCTTACCACCCTAATCCGAAAAAATATATTCGCTTATGTTGTGTTCACATGTAAAAAAAAAAAAGTCATAGTCGTTTAAATAGCTTTCCAAAACAATTTGTATCAATTTGGAATTTCCCGATCTATTTTTAGATCAATGTAAAAATAAATCCGTTTATGTCACGTGCAGGTCAATACAAAGTAGTATTTTTCTAACATAGTTTGATCTCAGCCAATCAGAGAGATGGAAATCATTCAATCATATAATAAAACGTATGATTCAAATTTAAGAATGTTCTTATGATATGTTTGGTACAGCGTACGGTATAGACAATTGCAAAACTTTTTTGTCTTTGTCTTGGAAAGTACTAACAGTAAGACTATAATCAAAATGTACTAATGTTTGAATTTCTATTGGCTTCAAAGGAGATTTTTTTTTCATTTTTGTATAATAAGAATAACCGTTTATGCTGCGTTTATGATCTAAAATTAGATGATGATTTTTATCACAAACACAAATAATATGCCCGAAGTTTAATAATGTAGGAGCGAATATATTATTACGTTGATTCAACCATTTACTTATTTGATAATAAAACCCAATGACCTGTGCATACGAAATTTTTCAAATAGGTCATAGATTGTTACAATTTAGAATATTTTTTTTAAACAGAAGGCATTTGACATAGATATTGAGAAAAACATTGTGCCTCTTTATTCTGGAAAATTTTACGTATCGTGTATCTTGTGTCATTTATCATGCATCTTATCAACCCTTTTCCTAATCAAGCATATATTCTGAATATAAAGTAAAGCTCTTAATGAACGAAAGAAGAGTATTTTCCGAATAAGACATAATATTTTGTACATTTGACCTTTAAATCAATAGAAAATTTACAATGATTTTCGTTTTATATATTACTTTAGACTTTGACTTTAAAGCAATTTATTCTTATGATATTGATTGAAATATTTGTTTTAATTTTCCAATATTGTTTTTTTTTCTAAAAATGACTCGGAACATGGACTCGATAAAGGTGATCAGCTTCTGTAGGATATGCATTATTCTATGGTTAAAGATTTTTATAACGGATCTGAGAAAACGTCATTAAATACAGTTTTTGTTGAATATATATGGATTATTAACATTCCCAAATGACTTATTCAGCAAACAGAAAACTAAGCTGACAGGAATTTATCATAAGCAAGAGCAATCCAAAGATTAACATGTGTTTCGAAAGAAGACCTTTACCTACGTTACATTTTTATGTGTTTACCTATATATTTATTAATACATGTACCTATAAAAGTGATTTTTCCTTCTTATTGTACATGTTGTACACTAATCACAGACTGCTTTTGATTGATTTTACCGATATTAAAAAAAATATTCAAGGATTTCTGTGAGAGGGAGGCTTACACTAGGACTTCACTTCCGGCATACAATCTTAATGTGTCATCTCCCGAGGGAGATGACAATAAGAACATGTGTTTGAGAATCGTTTATGTGTTTACTTCTCTAGACTTTTCCCTGATTCTTTTTTAAAAAATATTATCCATCCAAAAAATCGATGCATAACTTTTAAAGTAGAAAGAAACTTCAAAAAATTTATTCAAATCAAAAGTTTTTTTTCAGTTTTTGTAAAAAAAAATTTATACACAATTTACACAACAATTGGACTCCAGAACATTCCCTGATGGCACAAATAAAGTTTATGAACTACATGCACAAATTGTGTTCAATTAATTTAGACTGCGCAAGCGTATGAATACATCAGTGCGTAGTAATCGGTCAAGAGATCTGTCACAATTAGTCCGTATTGGCTGACGTCTCGACAGGTGCGACAGTGCTATTAGAGACAGATTGACATTTTCTGTATTTGCACGGAAGGATCTGTAAGCTAATTAATTATTTCTACTGTAATCGAAAGGCAGTTCTATTTGTGAAGACACACACTCACTTCAGTAATTAGAACAGGCCTGCATTTAACTTGTTTAAGAATGGTTATTTATAAAGCATTTAATTAACTCGAGGTTATTTTAGTTCATCTAAATTCTTCTTTGAAACTTTTATTGAACTCGGATGGACTTAAGTTAACTTATTATTCTATTCTTTTTTTAAACTTAGTTTACTTATTCTAGATCTTTATACTTAAACTTAACTTATTCTAATTAAAAAAAAATAAAATAAGTTAACTTAATAGACCCTATGCTTATAATTATATATGATATGAAGTCCATCCGAGTTCAATAAAAGCTTCAAAGAAGAATTTAAATGAACTTAAATGACCTCGAGCTAATTAAATGCTTTATAAATAACGCTTCTTAAACAAATTAAATGCAGGCCTGTTCTAATTACTACAGTGAGTGTATGTCTTCACAAATAGAACAGCCTTAAAATTACAGTAGAAATAATTAATTCTCATGTAACACTCAAGTTCATCAATAACTATAAAAACATAATGGTCACTATAAAGAAACTGGAAGACGCAGGAAAAAAACGTAAAGGTAACTGAAAAATAATTAAATCGACGCCATTAAATGTCGAGTCAAATGGACATTCAATTCACTTTATTACGTAAGACATATATCTTATTGTATACAATGTAAATTTATAACATGTAAACAGTAAAGCATAGCGCGGGTATTTTTTTTAACAGTCAGCATAATAATTCTACAATCAGTATTATGATGATGGAGAATGTACAAACCATTTTTTAAAATTTGTTTATAAAGCAGTATGACATTCATTACGTAAGTTAAAAGCATGGTACAAATACTTTCCCAAATTACAAAGGTCCTTAACATTATGTGCACATAACAAATGTATAAACAAGGATGGTTTTTCCCAGTAGAATTTTTTAATATATTTTACTCGTAAACCCTTGTATCGTGGAAACTTTAAAACAAAATGGAATTCGTCTTCAATTTCAGAACTACAGACTTCACATATTCGGTTTTCGCGCAAAATATTTCTATGGCGTCCACTTTCAATAGCTATATTATGTGATGACAATCTTATCTTGCTAATTTGATTTTGATGGAATAGGTTTTACCAAATAATATTGCAGTGTGAAGTGGTCAATAATGTACTTAAATAACATACATCTAGATGAACTATTGATATCAGCAAGGAGATTTTGTACATAATTGTCAATAATTCTTTGCTTTATAATTGAGAAATGGCTGTTAAAACTAATTCTTTCTTGGTCCGTCCACATATATTCTAGACCAATTTCGAATAATTTATCTTTAATATTAGAAGCCCAGTTCGTGATCTTGTTCATTGGTTGTTCAATTTCCTCTAACAGTTTCTCATAACATGATCTCAAAATACAGTTCTTACTTTGTAATATTTTGAACCAAAATTTAAAAATTCGGAAAAGTCGTATAGTCTTCATAGGCAGTCTACCTGTTTTGAAATATATCATAGACGTATTTGTGTTTTTTCGAACATATAAAACATTCTTAATGAATTCTAAATGTATCTTCTCAATATCACATGCATTGTGGCTTTCCCAAACTTCACAACCATAGTTCAGTATGCTACTGACATATGTATCAAAAAGTGAGAACATTGTTTCAGTATTTAAACTCAATTGACTAACCTTAGATTTTAGCCAGAACATTGCTTTTCTACCTTGACAGGTCAATTGTTTTTGAGTTACATTAAAATTTCCATTGTAGTTCAATAATAATAAATTCGTCTACAACTTCTATTTGCTCATTATGTATATGCCACTTTTCATTATCATGCACTTTCCCCCTATTTCTAAAAACAACAATTTAAGTTTTATCAAAATTAATGGTCAGGTCCCATTTCGAAGCATAATCATACAAAGTATTCAACATTTGTTGTAGTTCTTGTACAGATTCAGCAAAACAGACCATGTCATCTGCATACATCAAGGTAAAAAGATTCAATTCTTGCAGTTCAAGGGGATCATTACCGTTTTTTATGAACTCAAGCCAGGCCAAAAAACAGGAGGTTGTCGCGCATACTACGACACTGCAAATCAGGCATTGTTTTTTCAATGTCTTTCTGTGTTTTTTCTAAGCTCTGGATATGACACAACACATCCTCGTTGACATTGGTAGAACGTGATCGATCTATATCCTGAACTCGATCTCTGTTTTCAAGCCTTTTGGTACGCATAACAATAGAGTCAATTGTTTGTGCCAGTTTATCTATGTCGACTTTGTGGACTCCAAGTTCAAGGTCAATATCTGCCTTTATTGCCTTAAATTTCTCGTCTATACTAGCTATAAAGTCATTTTTGAATTTATCTAATTTACTTTCAACCATGGATTGCAAGGGATTGTTGACCTACTTGCAGTTTTTGGACGGCCTCCGCAATGACAGTTATTTTGTCCACCATATCATCTAAAGTAGTGTCCGCCATTTTCACAGTCTTTATTGATGGTTTTGGGATATTCCCATCAGAAGATTGTCGACGCTTTCCGTCGGGTTTGTCCGTTTTAGGCATCAATGCAATACAGAGATATTGAAATATCTAAACATACCTGCTTTTCCAAGCTTTACACTTTAAAGTAGTACCAAATTACTCACAAAAATTACTGCTAAAATTCACACGTCCATGTCTACCCACGCAGGCGCAACGAATTTTTCGTAAATTCGACATAAATCTTGACTTAAAAGGTCACTGTAAGGCACATTCCATTAAAAGACTGAATTGTCACTGAACAGCCCGTTATCTTAAGTTTTAAAAAACTTTTTTCATGTGGATATAAAAGTTATTTTAAAAATTCAAAATTTAGAGTTATGATTTAATTCATGATTTCTTTTCTTTTGTTTTGTACATGTAAATAAAATAAATCAATGATCAAATGTACGTCTACATGAACATGTATGAGGTGTGCACGGATCATGGATTTTGAGTTTTAATTTGTTTATGTCCGGAAAAGGTATATTTTCATGTAGAATGATACTTTGATAGTGTGATTGATATTATTGAGATGCCGGAAGTGAAGATGTTTGACTACTTGAGCAATGTGTAAAGTTTCCAAATCAGCTGCGGATATTTAAAAACTCTAGAGAACCATAATACACTTTTAAATCGTGTTTTTGTCAAATATCAATGACATCAAAACTTTCCTTTTTTCTACACTTTAAACATCAATTTCTCAGGATAAATTTAAACTCTAGATTTTTAATATCGTTAATGTTTGCTTATTCAATGAAAAGGGAATTTGGAAATTTTCCTATTTTGTGATTTGTTTTCAACAAATTTGCTTTGTTAAAAGCTATTGAAATTGTAAACAAGGTACCCTGAATGTGAAATAAAAAGGATGCTTAAGTTACTCATTTGAGAACATTTATATCGTCTTCGAACAGACTTTTGATGTTGTGAGGGGACATTGATTGATCTTTTTTATGGGCTGACCCGTTTTTTTTTTAAGGTTCCATTATATAACACTTTATGACAAGGAGCACACGGGAGATATAACCGGTATGCAGGGGATGCTCACTTCTCCATGGCATCTGATCTCACCTCAGATGTTTTGGAGGTCCATGTTTGCTCTGCTCCTATTTTTTATAGTTTTATTGACTTTGATATTGAATACTGATGCTCGTTATATACATATCCTTCATTGATATCTTCGTCAATGCGACCTTCTGATATATCAAGCTATCAATAGATAATAGTTATTTTCATGTTTACATAATCCAAGAGAAGTTGAAATTAAAAACAACATAGATTTCTATTTTGTCACATCTATTTCATACATGTTTTACTGAATATTGACGACGATGGTCTTCCAACAACGAAGTTGACAACAAAATGGATTCTTTCCATTTTCTCCATCTTCAGCTTTCCTAAATCATTTATTTTGTAATATTGCACTATCACCTACTTAGTGTGATTACATGTATGTTTCCAATCTTACTGGCTACTAAAAACCTTGATAATGAGAATAATTAATTTTTGAAGCGAGGCATGTTACACACTGATAAGATGTTGTAGGGAATTCAACAACCTCGTTTAAATCAGCTCTTTGGAAATTCTATGGTCGTTATAACGATTCTGTTAGTAAATATGACCTATCACTGAATCGTATTTTCGCTGTCTTGATTCATTTGAATTATTAGCTAAAATTAAAAGCTGACTTGGGTTTTTCATACCAATTCTTATCGATCATGACAAGGAATACAGAGGGATGTGATTGGTAAGAAGGGAATTCTCACTCCTCCATGGCACCTGACCCCACCTCTGATGTTTCGGAGGTCCGTGTTTGCTCTGCTCTTGTTTTGTATTGTTTTATGGACTTTTAATCTTGAAAACTGTTTGTTTTTCTCCATATGTTTCACCTTGTTTTTTATACTAAAAGTGAAAACGGATTGATCCGTCTGATAATTAGAAAGAACTCAGGGCGGCTGTGAACGGTCAATAGCAGATGTTTTTCTTCTCTAAGGCTCCTGATCCAATCTCTGGAATTCTAGTCATTCGTGTTTTAAGCCTTCTTTACATATTTGAATTTTTTATACATTTTTGAGATCGTTCATTGTCATTTTTAAATCTAACCTCCCACAATATTTAGAACAGATTAAAATGATCAACAAACCGAGCAGTGATCTATGACGTATTTTTTACATGTACTTAATCATGATTCATGATAATTGATGTAAATATTTTAGTACTGTTCACACACAGAACTCAGATTTACTGTTACACTTGAAAGTTTTCCTAAGTTTATTTTCTTAAAATTATGTTGAGCTATAGAAGGGAAGTTATTATTCATATTAGAAGCAATTATATCTCCTCTGGTTTTTAGATTGCTGAGAATTAAGCATTCGCGGTTTATAAAGCGTAAACTGCCCCAAGTTATGTTATATCGTATAACATAAGTTGAAATTAGCTTCATTCCTTATAGAATAATTTCAATTTAGAGAATGAGACAATTTTTTCCATTTTTTCCTCGGAAAAAGGCTTCAAATATAGCATATTTCAAAAGTTAACGTCAAGCGGAGTAATATGTTTTTGACTTAACTCATTGTGACGTAGGCAAGTTATGTCATACAAAATGGATAAAACCAATCATATGACGTGTTACAAATAAAATTAAATTATTTACTAAATAGACATAAAAATGAAAAGAAAATATGTTAAAGGTCACGATACATTGGAACATTGATTCATCTAAAAAAAAAAATCAATAAACAACACATGTTACGAGAGCATGAAACAAGGACTGTCGGAAATTCCAGGGGTAGGGTCAGGTGTTTAGGAATATGAATCTTTAATCAGAAATTTTTTTATTTTAGAAGCATTGTCACAATTCTTTCTTTAACCTAATTGTAACACATGTTAATAAGTGTAAAAAGACAGCACGCGATTCAAAAAAGAAATTCTACAAACTTTTAAAGAACTAGTTTATAAAGTCAATTTTTTGTCAGCTTAGAAAGAAAACATTCAAACAAAAATAAGACATAGTTCTTTATATCTCATTACATTTTTTTCATTTTTCTATCCTAATAAATGTGTACAATGTATTTTATCTTAAGTTTTTTTTTCATATCAGATATAAAACATGTGAAAACACCTTTTGATGTTTTCATGTAAAATCATTTTAACACATAGTTTTTTTTCAAGGAGAACATCTTTCTTAAAAAAAATATTTCTAAAAAAAAAAAAATTCTTGACTCAACTTATTTGCGCAGTCTATTGCACATTGAGGTAATAATTGTGGATATGCTAGACACAAATGCTGCTTCTTTAATGTGTTCAATTGATACAAACATCTATAGTCCACTTAGTAAAGGAATATTACAGACATTTGAAAAATTACACTCTTTATTTCATATAGTTTCTCATATATAGCAAAACAACAAGGTAATTTAAGTCAATAGATAATAAAAAAAAAACGATAAACAATACGAAAAATTACAATATGGATTTTCTATTTGAATAACAACTGAAAATAAACTGGAGTCATTAATGATATTTTTCTATTAGTATCTTCGACACAAAGGTGTATATGTTGGTTCGATATATACTCCAGTATTACATTTGCAAACATTGAAGATTCGTAAGAAGATATTATTGATTATTTTTGTGTTTAAAACTTTGTTATGTGATAAACATCTTCAGTAAGTTGGAAAAATTTTTCTCCTGGACACATACAAGTATGAACAATTGTTTTTCAGCCCATTACAAAGTTTTTTATAGTCTTAACATATCATATTAATAAACAAATACGATGTGTTCTTGATGACGTCACAGTTACTGCTACACGCGTTGCATTGCATTTCCTTAGGAACATCGAGAATATGTCTCAAAATATCAGTAATAAAGTTTTGTAACCACCGTAAACTTGAGCCCATTTCAAGAAACATATAACCTTTTGTCAGTGAAAAAAGATAGTTATATGCAAATTATTCTCTTTTCACAGTATCATCACATGTACAATTAAAATATTCGCGTCGAAAATGAGGTTCTCCTTTGTGGTCTGAAAAACCGTACTGTTCGTCGATTTCCAATATTGCCAACAGGCAGAGTTCTGAATGTTTCTGGGAAATCATCGCTTGGAAAGTTTCTAAAGGAAACAGAACCAAATCCTGTTGCCCCCCTCATGAGTTGAGCAACTTGTCTATTGAAGTCTGGAAAATCTTCATAAGTTTGGGCTACAAATCCTTGGGGTTCTCGTCCTCGATTTCTGATTTCCAGAGACTGTGTGTCACCAACTTGTCCTGGAGGGGCATCGTCATCGAGATCCACTGGTGATGAAGGCAATGGCGTTCTGTCGAATCTAGGAGGTAAACGAGTCCTCAAAAACGAAGAAGTAGTCGTGGAAAATGGTGCTATTTGTCTTGTTCCACGAGGAGATTGCAACAAATTCTGTCTAGCCCGAGATCTATCAATACTCGATTCCCGTAAATCATCAGATATGAATGAGCGTTCTAAAGCATTTGGTTCATTAAAACTCAGGGAAGTAGGTGCACTAGACGGTAATGTATCGACAAAACTATTTCTGAAGTCAATAGACAAAGGAGTCGCCCTTTGTGTGTCACCAACAACAGGCCCGATTCTGGTATTTGTCAAGCTAGATAATCGACGGCGGTTTTGGAATCCAAGAACACGAGGATCTATATCGTCAATTTCGGAGAAAGTATCAGTAGTCACTCTTCTAGGAATTTGTATATTTCTTGTTTGTGAAGATGGAATGGTTCTTCTGGTGTTTTGTTGTCTAAGACGACCTAACCCCAATAAAGGAAAGGAACCATCATCAGTGGATGATCCTATAATACGTCCACCTCCCTCGATAGTTGTTCCCTGTGGAGATCTTAACGGGTTCCTGCCTTCGTTTAATTCAAAGTTTAGCAATCTTCCTGGTAGTCGATTATCATCATCACCGGTGCCTGTAAGTCTTGTGTTTCGAGGCGTTGGAAGGATACCTCGAATATCTCCAATTGATTGAATGTCATCATTACTTAATCTAGAGAGCTGATCTTGTAGCAATTGTCTTTGTGCCAGTAATGCATTCAATTCTTGCTGCTGTGAGGAAGACAGAATACCATCGTTCCGCGTTTGCCGAGATGTATCAGTCATTAAACCTTGCCCCGGCATTATATATGGATCATTCCTCAGTGCTTCTGCAATTCGTGCTGAAGCACTATTTACTTGAGTTCGAGTTGCTATTTCTGTTGAAGGTGGAGGAATCCTAATTCCGTCATCATCCGTAAATCTCTGACGAATATTGTCGGGGGCATTTACTCGTCCGGCTTGCGCAAGCGCATCAAAGATCCGGTTATTTTGTAAACTCTCAGAATCAGTTATGATATCACGACCAACACCAATGCTGTTACCAATGAGTGGGGAGCTAACTGAAGAAATATCGTCAATAGAATTTCCAAATTCATCGAAGAAATTCATCTGTCCTCTTGCAGCGCGGTTGATGTTTCTGAAAGGTGCTCTCCTTGTAGTTAGTGGATTTGGAGCAGGAGAATTCAAAGTAATCTGTTCCTGCTCTCTCAGACGTCGCTGCAGTTCACGCCTCTGCTCTAATAAAGTCGCCAGCCGTTTAGCTTGATCACTGTCAAATCCATCGTCAAGAGAAGTGCCGCTCACAGTCGATATGAACTCGTCTCCTAAATCAGAGGGAGGAGTGTCTACCTGTAAGTTCCCCTCTAAATCACGAATCACGGCTGAAACAGAATTCAGATTATTAGCTGGAGGTAATGTTGGTTGTCTTAGATCTGGTAATTGGGTTTCTGCCGATGTTCTTAGGAAATCTTCCTCTAATGTGTTGAGTTCCTTGTTAAGTTCGGTTGTATCAAATGAAGGAAAATCGGAAAAGGGGGTCTCTGGTGTAGGTTCAATGCTGTTAACAGTTGGAACTGGGACATCGGGACTAGGTATGGGTATGTCTACTATTGGAGCCGAGGCATCGGGAGTAGGTATAGGTGTTTCAGTTAATTGATTTCGTTCCCTATCAGCATTATTCTGAATGCCTTCTAATAACCTATCAATCTGCTGATCTATTGATCCACTCTCTGGCACTCCAAATGTACTGTCTGGTATTTGATTTATCCTTGAATCTGGGACAACGTCTTCAAAAGGAGTTCCAGGATTGGAAGTTGGAGGTATAGGAAGGTTATCCATAAAGGGACCTTCTTTAGCCACTGTGTTTAAGAATTTGTCAAGAAGAGAATTTAGTTTTTCTGGTTCCACATTTGCCAAAGAGCTAAGATCAATGTTACTATCGACAAGTTTTCGTGCAATGAGCTCATTCGGTAAGCCCGGGTCAGCAATAGGCGGTGGAAGCGGTGGGGGTGGTGAATCAATAATTGGATCTTCATCCACGATGATGATAGTTTGGCCCTGTGGAGAAACTATATCAGAAGGAGGGATATCTGTACGAATGTCTGATGGCCTCTCAATTGGCAGGTCAGGTGTATCACAATTAACCGAAAATGCGCACAATACACAAGTCATCAGGAAGAGAAGTTTCATCTTTTAAGCCCTTTCAACCCTTCACCTACAAAACAGAATTCAGAGATATAATATTAATTATCTACATGTATTTATTTTCTTTGGGAAAAAAGAGGACATCTTACAAAATTATGAAATAATTTGCTTAATCCACGGTAAAGTAAAACGTACAAAAACATGCAAATACATCATGTTTTACGAATTTTATCAATAGTTTGATCATTTTACAAAAGAAAAACTAATAATAGAATTTGAAAAGACAATTCATGGGCTCTTTAAAACAATGAAAGAAAAATAAGGAAAGAAAAATGACAGATGCGTCTTTCTTTCACTACATAGCATCTATATTATATCGGGTTTGTATTTCATCAATTGATCCCTAAGCCCGTGCTATTCATACCATTCAATTTATAGTCTTTTTAAGTTCTCAACCTTTAAAATAATGCATAGATATGTCATTTTCTCTTAGTTTTATCAATTATTTATCTCAAAAATGACCAAATGCTAACAATTCGGTTGCGACGACCGTTGCAATATATACAACGATCTATGTAATGCATTCAACTATCACCAAACAGTAACTTCTGTGTCCACTATAAATCCTATGACACCACTAATTTGGGCACTTTTCGCATTACATCACTGTCTCTATTTAGATGGGGACTTCATTAAACATCTAGGATGTTTAAGAAATGACTCTAATTGTTGGTCAAGTTATCGATTAAAACCTGGTTTGGGTCATTTTACGCTTTATAATCTGCGAAGCGGATTATAAAAAAACGTAAACTGACCTAAAACAGGCAATACTCAATAATTTGGCCAAGATTTAGAGTCATTCCTTATAATTTAATTTTGAAATAATTAAACAACTGTATATGTAAAATTGTGTGGCTTTTTATGAGTTCAAATTCTCTGTTCAATAATACAACCGTTGTAACGGAAATGATGGGTAGCGAGGGGAGGTAATAACTGATACGATAAATAACTTTTTATTCGCGAAAACTTTATTTAGCGTAATTACGCGAGACAATGCGTTCGTGAAAATTTAATTCTCGCGTATAAAAGAATTCCTTATGATTATATAGAGGAATAACAACTATTCGTGAAAATTATGTCTCGCTTACAAAGAGTCAATGACAAATCGCAAAAAGTTTACCGATCTACAGTACATACACCTAGCAGCCATGATATTTGTTTACACAAGGTAAGATCGAGCTACTGTTTGAAGTTTAAGATACATTTATTAAATCTGGAATTTTCCATGAATCCGGAGGACTGGGAATGAGGGGATTGATGGATACGGATGATTAAAGTACAATGATACTCTGATAAGAGAGATAACTCTTAATGACACAAATATCTATTATTCCTTTATAAATTTGTCAAGTTTAAGTGCCTTTTTGTCAAATTTTGCCTCGCAAGCCATGCTATAATTGTTTGTATTTTATTCAGCATATACATTTCCTTTGAAAAATCATAAAAGTTAAAGAAAAATTTCATATGAGTGAGCAGAGGGTTTATGAACCTTAAGCTAGTTGTCAAGGAGATATGTCCCCATATCAAACCAGATTATACACAACGATCTCTATTAATGTATCTACAATACCTGGCCATAATTCGGTCATAAAAATGGCTGCCGAAATACAAAACTCAGGAAAAAAGCTTTTTTTTCATTTGCATCGGAAAATAAATCACTCTAGACTTGCCACTATTGCAAAGTTCCTTTCCTAAGAGTCAATACATTTATTTAATGACGTCATTTTATGAAAGTTATATTTTATCTGTCAAAGTAGAAAGAATGTAAACAAATGGTAACCCTATAAAAAAAATAACTATGTCTGAGAGTGGAGGGGATATACGAAGCTAGACATTGCTTTTATTTTTTCCGTAAACCATTATGGGATTTCTAACTTTCTTAAGCAATACAAGACTTGCAGATTCAGTTACCATTCCACTGTGGAATTCGAACCTGCGATATAAGGATCAACGCCTTGCTTTGCGCTAACTACTGAACCATGCAATCGACGTTTGTATTGCTGGTATGAACTTATTTTTTTGAATACCGTTTTTTTTTTCCACTCTTGAGGCATTCCATCCTTAATAGCAACAGATTTAATGAAATGTGTAGGTGTTGAAGTAAACTTCAGTATATTTAGACATATTTTCCATTTATTACTTTTATCACGTAAGGGTGGGGATGTATCCTAATTTGTGACCTTGAATTTTGGGACAAGTTATATCCCTGTGTCTTAATGAATAAAAAAAATCTAAATTTTTCAATCGTCATTCTATTTTGTTTAAATGCATCATTTCAACCGTCTTTTAATGATATTCTTATCATCTGAATTTTTATATTTGAAAAATCACTTTTCCCTATACGCTCAATTGCAATCTTTGTTACTTATCTACTGCTTAGTTTAATACATTTTTAAAACTTCCTTTCTGTTGATCTTTTTCTATTATAAAATGCTTTACCTTTAATATCAGAGTATAATGTATTTAATTGATATATTAGAATAGAGTGTTTGACCCTGTAAGAATGAATAGCATGCCATACTTATTAAATGTTGCGCCACACCTAATGATGCATTAATGTTATATACACACACTCATCTTAAATTTTCTTTCTAACCTAGCGTCTAAAAGTGCTCGCAATGCAGCTAAAGTACCCATCAGACAAAAGAAGATTTAAATAGATCTGTAGGGCAAATATTAGGTATGATGAAAGTCCATGGAATTAAAAAATATGTTTTAAAGATAAACCAATTCATCATTACACATTTTAGCCTTAATTATACTTATTCGTCTTTGTTCTAAGATAAATTACACACATCTTAAATAAAGAAGTCAATGTTTACATACAATGAATCATTTATGCTTGGCTTATTTTCATCATTTTTGAGATTTTCGGGAATATTCTGTCTGTTTTGATCACTTAACATTTTAGATATTTTATTTCTTAATTAGGATTGGTAGTTTTAACCTTACGCTTGTTGTTTAACAATCTAGTTTTTGAATACTGTATAGCACTTTTAAAAAAATAAGAGAAAGTCTGCATCTCTCTCTCTCTCTCTCTCTGTCTCTCTCTCTCTCTCTCTCTCTCTCTCTCTCTTCTAGGCTATGGTAATCAGTGACCATAATTTGATATTAGTTGACTGATGTAAAAGATGGCCAGTCAGAATTAATTTACAATTGTAATGATGTCTTTTTTAAAAAATGAATAATCCCTTTTTATCGTCTTATAGTATAAAATATTAAACAAGAGGCATAGTTAGATTAGGAAAAGTTGTTTTCACTAGTTTTTTTTTCATAATAATAACAAAATCTTAAAACAACAAATATTTATGATTTGTTTGCTCAAAAATTATTTTATATTTAAAAATTTACAATTTGAAAACTATTTTTTACCATTTTTTTTTATTTATAAAAACATTTGAACATTCTGACATATATGTATTCCATAAAATTTTCATATATTACGCAACCTTTTATTCAAAATGATAATTTGTTTTCATCTGCCTCTCTTTGTTCATTCCTTAAAAAGCTAAATAAGCTTAACATGTATTTCGCATGGTCCAGTTTCATTTGGAATGTTTGTATTAGTTTGTACCAGCGCGATAAAATGGTTAAAAAGGTAGGATCAAAGGGGAAGATTCAAACTTTATGGATATAAATCTTATGTATATGGGGAGACATTCTTTGATTGGAATTGCATAAATAGAAGATTCCTGTCGATAGAATTGCTGCGACATGTCTTTTACTGTACAGTGAAAAGAAGATGGGAGTAATACTTAACTGTTCAGTGAACGAAGAAGAAGTGAGTACAGTTTTCACCCTCCAGTAAAAATTTTTCAAAATAGACGTTAAGCCAAAAATTAATAAAAAAAAACTATAACAAAAGTTGTTGAATTGAAAACAAACAAAAGTTAACGAATTACAAACAAGAAGACTTAAACTTTTTTCAAACAAACAAACGTTTTAACGTTTCACAATATAACAAATGAGCTCTATTGTATTATATGATATGAAATTTTAAAAAGGAACACCTTCGAGAACATGTTAATGCCAGATTTGAAGCAGTTAATTTTTTTTCTTGCTTTTATTTTGAATTAATGTATAACATTTTTATTTTATCTCCTTACTACCTAATATATTCTTTAAAAGTACTTAAAAAATAATGTATAAAATGATTTTTTTTAAAATAACTTACTTAAAACAAATAGAAGTCCCTTTAGAATGTGCACAGAAATGAAAAAGAAAACGGAAATGTAATGTTTTAATTGAGTACTTTAATGGGTTCTTATAAATACATACGCAAGCCCCCATCATCCATCATTAACTTGTTTTATAAAGAGACGCCAAGCCCCACTGAATCCGGAAAAAGGCATTGTCATGTAGACTGCTTTTGTAAAAAAAAAAAGTTCTTCTAAAGAAAGCTTTTTCTGACTCAATTACATGTAAATGCAGTGTAAAACTTGCAAGACTGTAGAAAACAGTTCAAACAGACTCTTCTTCATAAACAGAGAACAGATTTCAGTCAAGATTTCAAACCAAATTAACTTTTGAAATAATTTTAGAACGAAATAAAATTTTCAGCATATCAATTGAATTCAAATGTCATACATTACAAAAACATATTAAAAATAAAAAAAAATGATAATTGAGTATGTTAAGTATTTGATCAGTTTATGATCTTGGGGTCAGATTTCATAGTCGTTTATTATACAGTTTATTTACATGTTACAGTATTTAACTTGACCATGAACGCTGATAAAAATTACCGGCATTTTTTATGCAAGCAAATTTTATCCGCATAATATGATGAAGATATTCTTCAATTATTTGGAGTGCGCTAAAAACATGTACGCATACGAACTGGGCAAATGCTAAAAGCTGCTTTGTTTATTTTATTCTTAAAATGTACAGATTTTCTTTTTTTTTTATTTTCTGCTTTGACCTGAATCAAAACGACTGTTACTACAAATTTTCTTAGCAATGCAGAAGAAAACATTAATTTTACAAGTTGCAGCTCCAAAATTACATCTTTTATGAAAGTCAAGTTTAAAATAAAGGTTCAGCCTAATAAAGGAAAAATATGAATAAAAAGTGGCGCCGAGATACAGGAGAAATATCAACAATAAGGGGATTTTAAAAATACAGGAATATAATTTGGAGTTCAAAGAAAGTCTTCAAAAATTCACAAGAAGGGTTATACGAAACAACGGTAAAATTTACATTAAGTTTCGCCAAAAGTACAAGAGAAGTATTTGAAATAAGTGCTTTTAGAACACAGGATAAATATTGACAATTAGGTTGTCCAAAAATTTCATGAGAAAGAAATTACAGTAAGGATTGTTGTAATTACAAGAGTGAAATTGGAATTACAAGAGTGAAATTCAAAAGGGTCATTATGATAGCGGTATTTAGCGTGAGAAATGCATGCCTCTGGTATTTTTTTCCCAAAAGGATTCAGTAGAAATGGAGGAGTAAATACGAAGAAATTAGATATACAGAAGTTGGCCACACATCTGCAAAAAGAAAATGTGTAAAACTAAAACGGGGCCTCTAGAAATAAAGATAAGAAATATACAAAAAAAACTTTCACTAATTATTACACGATTTTAATTTGCAGGAAGTTTTCCTACAATTACAACAACACATATTAGAAGAAGGATAGTAAAAATTTCTAGAATTACAAGAACACAGATTACAATTAGGATAGTGAAAGTTTCTAGAATTACAACAAGATGATAAAGAGAAGGGTAGTAAAAATTTCTAGAGTTAGAAGAACACAGATTACAGTTAGGATAGTGAAAGTTTCTAGAATTACAACAAGATGATAAAAAGAAGGATAGTAAAAATTTCTAGAATTGCAAGAACACAGATTACAATTAGGATAGTGAAAGTTTCTAGAATTACAACAAGATGATATAAAAATTTCAAATTTAAAGTAACAGATTACAATTAGGATAGTGAAAGGAATTACAACAAATGATAAAGAGAAGGGTGGTAAAAAAAAGAATTGCGAACACAGATTACAATTAGGATAGTGAAAAAATTACAACAAGATGATAAAGAGAAGGGGATTTTAAAAATACAGGAATATAATTTGGAGTTCAAGAAACAGACAGGATAGTGAAAGTTTCTAGAATTCAAAAATTCACAACAAGGAGGTGTACAAAAGAAAGGTAAAATTTAGAACACAGATTACAAAGATATGAAAGTTTCTAGAAAAACGAGAACACAGAAGGTATTTCTAGAATTACAACAAGATGATAAAGAGAAGTGCTTCTAGTATTACAGTTAGGATAAATATTGACAATTAGGTTGTCAAAAAATATCATGAGAAAAAATTACAATAAGGGTTGTTGGAATATTAAGAGTGAAATTGGAATTACAAGAGCGAAATTCAAAAGGGTCATTATGATACATGTAGCAGTATTTAGTGTGGTAAATGCATGAACACAGATTACAATTAGGATAGTGAAAGTTTTTTACCAAAAGGATTAGAGTAGAAATGGAGGAGTAAATAAAGAGAAGGGTGGTAAATACGAAAAAATTAGATATACAGAAGTTGGATTAACAAGAAACATAAAAAAAAAACAGGAAAAAATGTATTCGAAAGAGTAGATATTTAAATTTTCTATGTAAAACTAAAATTGCAGGGATACAATTTATAAATAGCGTCTCTAAAAATAAAGGTAAGAAATATACAAAAATTACTTTTGCTAATTATTACACTATTTTAATTTGAAGGAAGTTTTTCTACAGTTACAACAACACATATTAAAAGAAGGATAGTAAAAATTTCTAGAATTACAACAAGATTATGATAAGAAGGATAGTAAAAATTACTAGAATTACAACAGACATTACATTTGGAATAGTGAATGTTTGTAGAATTACAACAAGATTGTAACGAGAAGGATAGTAAAAGTTTCTACAATTACAACAAGATTAGTAAAAGAAGAATAGTAAAAATTTCTAGAATTACAAGAACACAGATTACAATTAGGATAGTGAAAGTTTCTAGAATTACAACAAGATGATAAAGAGAAGGGTGGTAAAAATTTCTAGAATTGCAAGAACACAGATTACAATTAGGATAGTGAAAGTTTCTAGAATTACAACAAGATGATAAAGAGAAGGGTGGTAAAAATTTCTAGAATTACAACAAGATGATAAAAAGGATAGTAAAAATTCTTTTCCCACAAAATACTGACTTCCTCTGACGTTCTTCCTTCCTTTAATATTTCCAAAAATATCTTTACCATGTCACTGTCATTTATAAATAATTTTTTCTGTTATCTATCATTCTTACGATACTGGGTCTTTAATTAAAGGTGTTTATATTTTTGTATCTGAACTGATTTGTGACAAATGATTTTATAATATATACAGTCTTTCATTTGTTCTCATTTGAATTGCATTTGACACAGCTCCTTCATTCAATGACCTAATTATAAAACGATCAATTAACTATTTGGGACTTGTCTCGCTGTATCCTTTAAAAGGAACTTGTTGAACAGTATTTCACTTGGTCACCAAACCTTTCAAATTTTCAAATTCATCCCTAGCCACGTGCGAGGGTTGCCCGTAAACTTCATGGACAAGCTGAAATTCAGAAATAGTTCATGTAACATATCAGTTATATCAAAATATTATCTGTTTTATACAAACAAACAGTTTTCAACACGTCTTGTTCTATAACATCCAGTGCAAGAAGTAAATGCTCCATTTATCTAAGGAAGACAACAATATTTAGATAGATTTTAGCATTTAACATTTCTATTTTTAGTTTCTAGAATAGCCACTTAAACCTATAATTGTTTGATAAACACAATGATATTTCTGATGCTTTAAATTTGGTGTTTAATTTCCTAGTGCTAAATCATGAAAACATATTATACATATAACATTATTTTCTGTTTTTGTGTTCGATTTTTTTTTCAATATTCCGAACAAAAGGAATTAATATTGAATGTTAAACGTTTATTGTAATATTGTTAAATGCAATTTGAAGAACATTTCCATCTCTTATGAAAATAAAAATACTAGAGAATCAACACAGTTTTCATCTACCATCTTGCAGGTAAAAGGAAGCATGAACCGTTAGCAAGCTCAGGCATTGATTGTAACATTGACTTTATGGAGATACTGTACAGTAATGAAGATCAACAGTCGATTAAACAATACAAAACACAGACCTCCAAAACATCAGAGATAGGGCTAGGTGTCATGAAGAAGTAAGCATCTCTTGTCGACCTGTCAAATTTCTGTGTACTTCTTGTTATGATCGGGGAAATAACGGGATATTCCGTCGTCAATTCAGTGTATATATAATAGACAAATAATTAGTACAATGTACAAACATCAGTTGGCATTTGACTTAATGAAGTATTGTATTTCCTGAGAGGTTATATGTATCGACCATAGAACTTAAAAAATGAAGATTTTAACGGGGACTGCTGATTTTCCTCATTCATTGACTTAAGATGCTCAAAATTATACAACTTTGTTAGTTACAATAATCTGTAAGACATCGTTAATGTGGTTTTTAATTAGAATTTTGTTTTAAAACTTAAATACAGATGTTGTTACATGTAATTGTACTGTGTTAGGCAATTATTTAAACAGAAAAATCTCGACGGATTTTCCCGTTTTTTTTTCGGATCATGACAAGGAGCTCCAGGCGGGTGTGACCGGCCAGAGGGGATCCTCCCACCTATCAGCAGAGGATCCTCCCACCTATTTGGCACTTGATCCCACCTCTGATGTTTAAGAGGTCAATGTTTGCTCTGCTGCTATTGTGTATTGTTATATGGACTTTGGGGCTTGGAAAGTATTCGTTATCTGTATATATTACAGTACAAGGAAATACTGTGTAGTCTGTGGAGTATAGCAAAAACGTCAACGACATCACTGACAGCTTAGAAACAAGGGATAATTTATGCATAACAACCATTTCCAGTTATTGTTTAGGCACTGATATACCCCATAAATATAATTCTTTAGTAACCAAGCTCAGGGCAAACAAGGGCCATAAAAATATCATAGGCTTGAGCAGAGAAGCATATGTTTTCAAAAGCACTCTTCTTTATAGTTTAATGAGTTAAATTCGTCTAACAGAGGTTGTATGTCTATGATAAAATAACTTTCATGGCTCAAATAAAAGATTCTTAAAGAAATACATATAACATCACTTTGAATCACCATGTACTATAAAAGGATACAGTGTGTATGTGTCTCAATTTATTTAAACAACATGGCAGCCATTATCCAATTTATTTTATTTCATTTTATTGCCTGATTTGATAATGAGTACAAAAGCTTGTATCAAATTGTAAATTGTGAAATATTTTTTTAATGAATTCATATTTTTGGATGTTGTCGGTCTTATAACACACGTGGCCAAACCGACTAATTGAATACTGCACGTTAGCGCTGCATGATAATTTGTTTCAATGTACTTCTGACAAGTTTGTATAATATATAATGTATATATAATGTCTAGCGCGCAGTTCCTGCACTGCTAGGAGACAGATTCCGAAGGTCGAGAGTACAACCCCGGGCTGGGGCGGAAGTGGGTATCCATGTAAAAGTGAATTTCTTTGTTCTTTCTATATTAATATTTCTTCACTTAGGGCAGTTATGTTAGTTTAAGAGTTGTTGTAAAATGTGCTTTATAAATAATAATTAGTTTCATTACAACATGTATTGGTAACAATCCTCTGTTAAAACTAATGTCCAAATAACTGTATCTCACTTCTATTCTCAATGACCGTGTAGTGTAGGGCAGCGCGGCGAGAATTCCATCGGCATCGAAAGCAAGTTTTTAGACTTGCCTAGATAGCCGAGCGGTCTAGCGCGCTGTTCCTGCACTGCTAGGAGACAGATTCCGAAGGTCGAGAGTTCAACCCCGGGCTGGGGCGGAAGTGGGTATCCATGTAAAAGTGAATTTCTTTGTGCTTTCTATATTAATATTTCTTCACTTAGGGCAGTTATGTTAGTTTAAGAGTTGTTGTAAAATGTGCTTTATAAATAATAATTAATTTCATTACAACATGTATTGGTAACAATCCTCTGTTAAAACTAATGTCCAAATAACTGTATCTCACTTCTATTCTCAATGACCGTGTAGTGTAGGGCAGTGCCGCGAGAATTCCATCGGCATCGAAAGCAAGTTTTTAGACTTGCCTAGATAGCCGAGCGGTCTAGCGCGCTGTTCCTGCACTGCTAGGAGACAGATTCCGAAGGTCGAGAGTTCAACCCCGGGCTGGGGCGGAAGTGGGTATCCATGTAAAAGTGAATTTCTTTGTGCTTTCTATATATATATATATATATATATATATATATATATATATATGTTCTTTTAACCCATGTACCGTACCTACCGTGTTTTGAGTGAATAAAATGAACTTGAACTTTTAGGCACGGCCAGGTGTGTTACATGTACATGATGTATATGACCGACTACATCCAAAAATACGAATTAAACGTTATATTTACTTTCTCTTATTTTCCAACTTTATAATTGTTTATTTCGTTAATCTTTATTGTGAATTTAGCTACCTTCAAAACTGGTGTGCTTAATAGACGTAAGAGTCGTTTGTGACGTAACAAAGTTAAATATTGCAAACAAATATTGCGAGGGAAAAAATAACAAACTAATTTTGAACGCACCTTTGTTGTAATTACACATCAGTTTAACAGGGTTATATTTTTTCATGAAATTTAGTCAAACAATGTACATTTTGGTGTTCCTAGAGTATTGGAAATGCATATAGTTCTTCCTATATATTCTAATGCGCGTTTCGAGTGTGTTATGAAGATTTGAACGTCGAAGATTTCTAACCGATTTCATAAAGAAAATAACACTGAATGTATTTAATATTTTTTATTGTGAAAATCAAATTAATTCCTAGTCATAAAGAAACCTTTTTATCTCTCTCTCTCTCTCTCTCTCTCTCTCTCTCTCTCTCTCTCTCTCTCTCTCTCTCTCTCTCTCTCTCTCTCTCTCTCTCTCTCTCTCTCTCTCTCTCTCTCTCTCTCTCTGAAATAGCACACAGACTAGAAATTTTATAATCATTCACTGAATGACTAAAATAGATGAAATAACAATGGAGTCAAGATTAATGAATCTTCTTACACCGGAATGTCCCCACATAATCCACCAATAATCTGTTTTAAAGCTCATTACAAATGATGAATGGCTCTTTATTGATTGAAACGCAATTCGGAAACGTATCCCAAATTAGGTCATTCCAGGTAAAATAAAGGTGTTTGTGTTAACACTATGAACCTTAAAAATTAACAGTCTAAGATTTATGGTTTTATTGACTCCTTTTCTATGGCTTGGTTGTTTGTTTGTTGGTCTCTGGATAGTAAATCAACGAGGTAACTAAAGAAGATTAACACGGTAATCCTCAAAAATAGTCGGTAAAACTCGGTGTTACTCGGTAGTACTCGGTAAATCACGAAGATTTGTTAGCTCTATAACTAAAGTAGAAAATGTTGGTCTATTACTGGGTTTCATTTTCCAGCATGATTTCATAATATCATAAAACCTGCAAAAAGAAAATTAAAATAATTAATTAAAAAAAAAAGCTTCCCAGACAATTTTTTTTTACAGATTTGTAAAGTATTTTATAAAAGGTAACACCACAAAATTTAAAGAAAAGAAATTGATGTGTCGATTGTCATGATCAATGCAGCCTGTCCAGGTAAAACTGTATGCATGTATTTTTTCAGTATGAAATATATTTTGAAAAAATCAACAAAAGCCATTAGGTAATTATAAGGATAAGTATATCTTTTTTCTTTTCTTTTTACAAACAATATATTAACAGACCGATGCATTTACGCTAAATATCAAGGTTTTCTATATATGAAAAATGCTAATGTCAGAAGATAAAAAAATAAATGGATTTTTTGTATAAAAATATTGAGAAAACAAAAAGTGTGCAGGTAAACTTCTTCATTTGAACTACAAAAAATTAATGAAGCAGATTATTTTTTAATATTTTTTTCAGGATCAGCACCGTAATGATTAATGATTTTGATGGAGACATCACCAAGTACTATAATTTTAAATTGTTCAAATTATGTCCTATGAAATTTAGTGGATCAATTTCCATACGTAAGTTTAGAATAAAAAAATCAAATATATTGAGATAACGAACAGCTAACGATCGGTATCTAATCTCAAAAGTCCATTAAACATTACAAAAAAAGGAGCAGAACTCGGACCTCCAAAACGTTAGACAATCAAATTATCTTCTCATAAAGAACAACAAAATTCCTACAATTAGTTTCATACATACAGACGCAGGATACGCAGTGTAAATTCATATCATATCTCCTGACCACTCAGTCTTTAGCACTGGTACATATATAGGTAACATACGTGTGAATATTCCCTCTAAAATAGTAGAGATGATACTTGTCATATATGTGAGATATTATCTTCAGGTCTTGTTGATTCAGATGTGTTAACGCCAAATGGAAAATGGGTACATTGCCGGATATAACACTGGTAACTTAAAACTAAATTTGTTCAACGTATTACGCCTGGTGTAGTGGGACGGGGTCACAATGAGCTTCCATGTCCCTCCCGAGATAAGTGGGGGATCTCTTCTCAATAATCAAATTGACGACGGATTTTCCATTATTTCCTGATCATGACAAGGAGCACATGGCGGGTACGAACAGTCAGCAGGGGATGCTTACTCCTCCCTGGCACCTGATCCCACCTCTGATGTTTTGGAGGTCCGTGTTTGTTCTTGTCTTATTTTGTATTGATTTATAGACTTTGAGATTGAATACTGTCCGTTATCAATATTTCTTTGCTTTTGATTTTAGACAAAGTGGTTGAAGGATGTGGCCTAACTACGTCTCCTTTTCTTTATAAGACGATTTTACCTGGAATCAGCGTATGTCGGCTTACGCAGACGAAACCCTTCTTTTAACAAGTCTATTAATTCTCTGTTGTTGTAGTTAATGTAAGGTAGATCACCTATAAATGAAGACAAACAATGATCACTAATGAATAAAAAAAAACAATGAAATGTACATTGAAGGTTCAAGGTAACAAAGAGAGAAAATTACCTTGAATAAAAACTTCAAAACAATCCCTTTTTATTTATGTTTATCTAAGTCAGATCACTTTTAATTACAAGTAAACGTAAAAAAATAATCAAATTTAAAAAAAAAAAGTAATAGTCTCAAAAATCTTCGATTTTTTCACCGTTTTATCGCAATCTTAACACTACTAATAGATATAATTATGGGCATATAAAAAACATAAAATAAGGGAAATGAAATAAATTGATGACTTGTTACGTTCAATTCACTTGTAAATCTGTGGGATTTGGAGACCTTTCCGTCAGATTAGAAAAGCAAGGTCCCTTGTTGCATTAGGTACTATCACGAAAAAGATCACTGAATGTCAAGCAAAGGCCTTATTTATCAGCTCCCCTCCAGCAAGAGGTGGTGTCTCCATATAATAATAAAGCGCGAGGGACGTTAAACAATAAACCAACAAATAAACAAAATCTACACAAGAACACAGTAATCAAACCAGACATACCTAATGTAAATATCTCCCATACAGTCACCCCAAACGACCACACATCGCTTTCAGTAGAATACGTATTCATCTCAGCAAGACTCTCAGGAGCAAACCACTGGATAGGCATTCTCTCCTGTGGATAGAAACCGTCAAAAAATTAGCATCGGCAGTCCCTAAAATCCTTTATAAATAATTTGAATTAAGTTTGAGATGGATACAAAAGCGCATTACTAAGACAGATAGGGTCATCATTCTCTTCAAATATCAATACCTCATCAGGATTTTGATTGAGATGGATAAAAAGACTTAAAAAAAAAAGCACGATCAACACAAAAGTAGGTCTAATGCAGATCAACAGAACAGATAATGACAAACAGGTTATTGAAATATTTGGAGAAATAAAAAGTATTCAAACAAGAATTACAATCAGAAACAAGGTTTTTTTTTATATTGCTTGGAGAAAATAAGAAACATTTTATTCCTAAGTTTTTTTATAACGTCCTTGGTTCCAGCATTCTACAGACTTATATAAATTAAGTAAAAAATAAATACTAAGTAGGCCATTCAGAGCTTTTAAATTCAGATATATACATTTTGTATAATTTCTAATGGAAACTAGCATAGAGAAAAGATCAGTAGGTTAATATGATAGTTGCTTTACAGAAAACAAAATCTAATTTTTCTAAGAATGTTACCCTTTGAAAATGATGAGAAATTTTGTCTTTGTGTCTTGGTCCAAAACATCCGACCTTTGCTTGTAAGACGCTGTTTAACAGCACATTTCTAGCAGCTAGGCGTTTATGTACTATCTGCATCATCAAAAGTGTTAATAATAAATCAATTATCCATAAATGGTTACCTTTAAAATTAATGAATGCAATCAATTAAATTTTTGTTTGCAATCCAGTACCCTAGAAGCATTTGATAATTGCACATTCCTTTGATATTATATAAATGTTACTAGCATATTCGTATACCATTTGAATTTTTGAAGAAAAACAAGAGGCCCATGGGCCACATCGCTCACCTGAGAAGCTTTGACCATTCTGTTCTTTACTAGATTTCCCCCATGTAATACATATTGTGACCCCACCCTACCCCACTGATCATAATTAAGACAATTTGAAATCTACCCTACCTCAGGATGCTTCCACATAAGTTTCAGCTTTTCTGGGCCAGTGGTTCTTGGGAAGAAGATTTTCAAAGATATTTCCTATACATTTCTATGTAAAACTTTGATTCCCCATTGAGGCCCCGCCCAATCCCCGGGGGTCATGATTTGAACAATTTAAAATCTACACTACCCAAGGATGCTTTCACAAAAGTTTCAGCTTTTCTGGCCCAGTGGTTATTAAGAAGAAGATTTTCAAAGATTTTTCCTATATATTTCTATTTAAAACTTTGATTCCCCATTGTTGCCCGCCCAATCCCCGGGGGTCATGATTTGAACAATTTAGAATCTACACTACCCAAGGATGCTTTCACATAAGTTTCAGCTTTTCTGGCCCAGTGGTTCTTGAGAAGAAGATTTTCAAAGATTTTTCCTATATATTTCTATGTAAAACTTTGATTCCCCATTGTGGCCCCGCCCAATCCCCGGGGGTCATGATTTGAACAATTTAGAATTTACACTACCACAGAATGCTTTCACTTAAGTTTCAGCTTTTCTGGCACAGTGGGTCTTGAGAAGAAGATTTTTAAAGATTTTTCCTATATATATCTATGTAAAACTTTGATTCCCCATTGTAGCCCCGCCCAATCCCCGGGGGTCATGATTTTAACAATTTAAAATCTACAATACCCCAGGATGCTTCCACATAAGTTTCAGCTTTTCTGGCCCAGTGGTTCTTGAGAAGAAGATTTTTTAATGACCCCACCCTATTTTTGTCTTTTCTTGATTATCTCCCCTTGTGAAGGGATTTGGCCCTTCATTTTAACAATTTAAATTTCCCTTTACCCAAGCATGCTTTGTACCAAGTTTGGTCAAAACTGGCCCAGTGGTTCTTGAGAGGAAGTCGAAAATGTGAAAAGTTTACGGACGGACAGACGGACGGACGGACGGACGGACGGACGGACGACGGACACAATGTGATCAGAAAAGCTCACTTGAGCCTTCGGCTCAGGTGAGCTAAAAAAAGATTACGATGCGGGTGCCATTTCACTATTATAGGAAAAAATATATTATTTTAAAGGTATTTTCCTGATCAGTAAGTAAAAAGTAACTTGCTTTTTGGTCAGAGAGATACCTCATCCCCTTCGCTATTTGGAGAGGAAATTCAGTCATCTGTAACAGGGTGTCCTTGTTCAGTGGAGCACGGCAATCCTCCAACCATTCCCTGACTGATCGTCGACAGAGTTCAAAAAGCATGCACGGTCCATCTAACAATAAACCAGAATCTTATTATAGATGTATGAAACCCTGAAAACCATTCTATAGCTATCGTCGACATGACTCAACAGGCATGCATGGGCCATCTAAATTTTAACCAGCATCTTATTATAGATATATAAAACATTCTTTAAAAGATCGACGATATAGCTCAAAAGGCATGCACGGTCCATCTTAAAATTAATCAGTATCTTATCACCTTGGAAATCATTCTCCAAAATATTGTGAATATATCTCAAAGAGCATGCTCGGTTCATTTTTAAGCCAGTATATTATCACTGATGCACATGTAAGAGACCTGTATATTTTAAAGTCAACAGGTACAAAAAATAAGTCTTTCACTTAAAGAGCGCAGTGATCAAAACTAACAGTGACTATTTTAGGGAAGGGAACCCACAAAGTAAACCTACATTTTTCATCATCCTTTATCGCACCTATGAATTTGACAACGTTCGGGTGATCCAGCTTCCTTGTTGAGAAGAAGCGAATCTTGGCATTCATCAGACGATAATCTTTATCGGAGACACCTTCTAAAAGAGAGAAAGAGAGAAGTTTAGGGTGCTGACTTAAAATTTAAATGTTTATTCATAAAAGCCATGATACTCTAACTGTTGGATTAAACAACGTTTTTTTTTTTTAAAAAAACCCTACATTTTTGCCTACAATCAATTTACTACTGCGGCTAGTCAACAACGGATGCTTTTTCCTCTTAGGCATCCGATCTTGACTAAGTTTCAGAGAGTCTATGTTTTATACTCTTCATACGTACATGTAGTTTTGTCTTGTTTTCAGTTTTAATAAGAACTATACTGTTGTTATATTGACCTTTGTTTTTTTTTTCCATTTCATGTTTGTCTTAAAATAAAAACAAATGGGGGTTAATTTTTATACTTAAATACACCAAATATTGTACGACTTGAACAGAGGATTCAGCTAAAAAAAAAAAGGCTAAATGAAACATATGGAGACAACGAACAGTATTCAAGATCAAAAGTCTATTAAATAATACAAAATAGGAGCAGAGCAAACACGTACCTCCAAATCATCAGAGGTGGGATCAGGTGCCATATATTAAATATACAATTGTCTTAATTTTTCTTGATTTTTTAATTTATATTCTTACTTACTTAGTATATCTAATTTCATCTATTTCTAATATTAGTACATACCAGAATGTTCATGTAATATGATTTATTAACAACTTCTAGAAAATTGTAGATTTATAATAATGTATAAATACCCTGTAAAGTGCAAGCATAAAAGAACATTGGCGTATATCATTTGGTTTACAAGTAAGACTGGCGTACAAAGAGAGCGGAATAGGATTCTCTCACTGGGACATAGTGTGCAGTAATTTACACTGTTTTCTTGCTGTAAGTTTGTACTTTTTAATTCGTATATGTTACTGTAAATAAATTATTGTTAAAGCTGCTTCATCCGAAACAGGCACATATTATCTTAAACAATAAAAGTATGTCATTACATAGATAATATATAAAAATTAATTATAAGATTGATTTAACAGTTTATTACAACAATCCTTACATGGAAAACATAGACTAAAAACCTTGTTCCTGACGGGAAGTTAAGATCTGTTTTGAAGTCACCTTTGAAAATAATACTTTTATCGGTTATATCTAATTATGAAGAGAATTCAAACCCGAGTATTTTTTTTTCCATTAGTAGAATCCTAAGTCATGATATATCTTCTTTTAAAAATCAAGAAATTAATTGAATATTATCCACAGTAATTTTTATATTGTTATGCATATTTACAGAATAAAGGAAAATCAGATATTTTTAAAGATTTTTTAAAAAGGGAGTATAGTAACGAGAGAGAATATTGCCCGTGTACACTTTGTTTTGGAAAAAATGCTCGGGTTTGTTCTTCATGAGTTATACATGTAAGCGATAAATTTAATTTTTCGAAGGTGATTTCACGCAATGTTAACAAATGTCAACAAAGGATTATTTTTTCTGTGACCTAACAAAAATTATTTTTTTAACTTTTGAATTTTGATATCTTTAAAAAGAAAAAGACTTTGGGGATATAATTTGACAAAAGCTGAAATAATTTATGGACAATTATTTTTCAAAAAGAAAAACGAATATATATTCTTAGAGATTAGAATCGGACGAACGGCTTTAAGTTTTAATTGTGAGATTAATCTTTGCTGGCATTTTGGGTTATTTTGACCCATAACAGAATAATTTGAAAAACTTCACCAGAAACTAAATAAAGTCTAAAAACAATGCAATATGAAAATGACATAGAACACGTATCTCCCGGAACACCCAAGCAATTGCATGTAATGTAAAATCAAAAATTTTCTTTGCGTAAAATTTATGTGGTTTGAGGGAAAAAAAATGTGATCGTGGTTATTTGATTTCTTGGATGAAGAATTATTGAGTAGCAATTTCTGTGAAAAATTACATTTCATAATGGACATAAATTCGTTGGTCTCTGCACACCTCAAAAACCACGAAAATCAACCCCAAATGAAAAGTAATGATTTCATAGTATATTACAATATTTACATGCCTTGAAGCATTTTCAGAGCGACAATCTTGGACACTCCCTCGTCCACAAGTCTAGCCTTGAAGACCCGGACTGTTCTCCCGATCTCGATGAGTTGTCCTATCTTGACGTCTTTCATTGACACCTCACTTTGTACCAGACGTTTTATAATAGACATGGGATCCATGTTGATTTGTCCGAGGGTGCCCCACTATAAAAAGTTTTATGTTTCTAATTAGTTATTGAACTGTATTTGTACACAGGCGGATTAAGAGCCCCAACCCCCCAACCCCCTTTGTGTCCAAAATATATATTCGATTTAATAAATCAATAGTTTTGGTATGGTACTCGGTCCCTACCCAGTTGCAAACCCAACTGCCCCCTCTCCTTTTTATGATTCATTGATCCGCCACTGTTGTATGCATGTCTTTCTTTCAGATTTTCGTTCTATTATTTTTATACCCGCACTTTCGAAAGAAAGTTCGGGTATATTGTTGTTACTCATGTCCGTCCGTCCGTCCGTCCGTCTGTCACACTTTTCTTCCCTGAACTCCTCCTACATTTTTCACAGTAGCTTAATCATCCTTTGGGAGATGGTAGGTGGTGTCATGTAGATGTGCAGTAAGGTTTCGGAATCTTTATTTTGCCCCGGGGGATCAAATGGGGGTCGAAAAATGACGTTTTTTTTATACAAAAAGCCCCTTCTTCCCTGAACTCCTCCTACATTTTTCACAGTAGCTTAATCATCCTTTGGGAGATGGTTGGGGGTGTCATGTAGATGTGCAGTAAGGTTTCGGAATTTTTATTTTGCCCCGGGGGATCAAATGGGGGTCGAAAAATGACGTTTTTTATACAAAAAGCCCTTTCTTCCCTGAACTCCTCCTACATTTTTCACAGTAGCTTAATCATCCTTTGGGAGATGGTTGGGGGTGTCATGTAGATGTGCAGTAAGGTTTCGGAATTTTGATTTTGCCCCGGGGGATCAAATGGGGGTCGAAAAATGACGTTTTTTATACAAAAAGCCCCTTCTTCCCTGAACTCCTCCTACATTTTTCACAGTAGCTTTATCATCCTTTGGGAGATGGTTGGGGGTGTCATGTAGATGTGCAGTAAGGTTTCGGAATTTTGATTTTGCCCCGGGGGATCAAATGGGGGTCGAAAAATGACGTTTTTTATACAAAAAGCCCCTTCTTCCCTGAACTCCTTCTACATTTTACTCAGCAGCCTAATCATCTTTTGAGAGATGGTAGGTGGTGTCATGTAGATGTGCAGTAATGTTTCGGAATTTTGATTTTGCCCCGGTGGATCAAATGGGGGTCGAAAAATGACGTTTTTTATACAAAAAGCCCCTTCTTCCCTGTACTCCTTCTACATTTTACTCAGCAGCCTAATCCTCTTTTGAGAGATGGTTGGTGATTTCATGTAGATGTGCAGTAAGGTTTCGGAATTTTGATTTTGCCCCGGGGGATCAAATGGGGGTCGAAAAATGATGTTTTTTATACAAAAAGCCCCTTCTTCCCTGAACTCCTTCTACATTTTACTCAGCAGCCTAATCATCTTTTGAGAGATGGTTGGGGGTGTCATGTAGATGTGCAGTAATGTTTCGGAATTTTGATTTTGCCCCGGGGGATCCAATGGGGGTCGAAAAATGACGTTTTTTATACAAAAAGCCCCTTCTTCCCTGAACTCCTTCTACATTTTACTCAGCAGCCTAATCCTCTTTTGAGAGATGGTTGGTGGTGTCATGTAGATGTGCAGTAAGGTTTCGGAATTTTGATTTTGCCCCGGGGGATCAAATGGGGGTCGAAAAATGATGTTTTTTATACAAAAAGCCCCTTCTTCCCTGAACTCCTTCTACATTTTACTCAGCAGCCTAATCATCTTTTGAGAGATGGTTGGGGGTGTCATGTAGATGTGCAGTAATGTTTCGGAATTTTGATTTTGCCCCGGGGGATCAAATGGGGGTCGAAAAATGACGTTTTTTATACAAAAAGCCCCTTCTTCCCTGAACTCCTTCTATATTTTACTCAGCAGCCTTATCATCTTTTGAGAGATGGTTGGTGGTGTCATGTAGATGTGCAGTAAGGTTTGGGAATTTTGATTTTGCCACGGGGGATCAAATGGGGGAATGGTTTTTTATACAAAAAGGATCTACATTTTACTCAGCAGCCTTATCATCTTTTAAGAGATGGTTGGTGGTGTTTTTATATATTTTTTTTTTTTACGAGGTAGAATTTTTATATATTTTTTTTTTACATATATTTGACATGTTTAATCACCCTGATTTCAAGAACTTCCCTAATATCTTATGCTGCAATAGCTTTAAACCATGATCATTTAGAAAATGATTGGTTTGTTTTGTGTATGTGTAAAATGGTTTCAAAATTTGAATTTTCATATGGATGGCAAAAAGGGGCTGGAAAAATATGGCACCTCCCTAACCCTGGTGGTCATGATTTGTACAAACTTGAATCTACACCTCTTGAGAATATTTCCATATTAATCATGCTCTTGGTGTTCCTGAAAAGAAGAACTTTAAAGATGTGTTTCCTTTTATTCCTAAAATGATTTGTACAAATTTGAATCTACACTACCTGAAGATGCTTCCATATAAATATGATGAATTATGGATTTGTCATTCTTGAGAAGAAGATTTTTAAAGATTTTTCCTATATATTTCTATGTAAAACTTTGGTCAGCCATTTTGGCCCCGCCCTAACCCCAGGGTCATGATTTGAACAAACTTGAATCTACACTATCTGAGGATGTTACTCCATAAGTTTCATCTTTCCTGGCACAGTGGTTCTTGAGAAGAAGATTTTTAAAGAATTTTCCAATATATTTCTATATAAAACTTTGGTCGGCCATTTTGGCCCTGCCCTATCCCCGGGGGTCATGATTTGAACACATTTGAATATTCACTACCTGAGGATGTTACAGTGGCTGGAACGTTATTGTTGACAACTTACACGAACGATCACGTTCATCGATTAACGCACGATTAAACCTGTTACACGCATCTTTCAGTGATTCTACACGTTACACGATCTTGCACGATTGTTAACGTAAACGCACGTTTCTTCCCTCAAAATAGTTCAAAATATTTAGGAATTGATATTTTCAAAACGAAATAAAGCTTAATACTTATTTAAGATTTCAAAGAATTATCAATATTATTTCATAGACTTTGAAAAAAAAATGGAAAATGATATTTCTGTAACTAAATATATGCAAGACTTAATATTTCAGATTAAGAATAATTATTTCTAAGGTAATTCCCCAAAGAAAACGGATTTTGTTCACCCAAGGATGTACATTATGTGGGTCTTATAATTTGATTGAATTGGATATCATGATATGCAGAAGAAGATTCCACAAAAAAATTGAATGACTTAAATTAAAATTACAAATTTGATCCTTATGTTTCCATTTATTCGATGTCTGATAAACTTGCTAATTATTCAACTTTTTTATTTGCAGAAATTTTAAATTAATTCGTTACAAATAAATTCAAGAGATAAACACAGATAACCAAAACTCCCGAAAATCATGCCGTGTGCATGTATATTTGTCGACTAACTGCAATGTAGCTATGTAAACACTAAAAACTAAAAAAAAATTTTTTTTGTGTGATTTAAAGTTTGATGTAAATAATAATTAAATCAGATTTTTAAACAGTTTTTTTATCAGAATTGAAATTTAAAATATAAATAAATTGCTTGTTTGGATATAGTTCGTTCTGTATTCTATTATGTAAATCGCTTTTTCAAATTATGATTTTAATAAATTTAGAAAAACATAAAAATGTTTTAAATTATTTCGATAAAAACTTACAAAACGAAATTTACACGATTCTAAAAATACATATTAAAAACGCACACGAGGGAGGTCAAGGTCACGTTAAAGGATCATGTGCAAGATCTAAGTTTTTGATGCAGCCACTGTAACCCATAAGTTTCATCTCCTGGCACACTGAGAAGAAGATTTTTACATGCCACCAAATTTTCATTAAGCTTATTATGTTTGATAAAAATATCTTCACCCAAGAATGATTGTGGCAATGAAATGGCCCAGTGGTTCTTAGACCCTCAAAAATGTGAAAAGTTTACAGACAGCTAAAGAGAAGTCAAAGGAAAGGTTGTGGTAAAAACTAAAATTTGTATTTGTGTATAAAGTTTGATGAAAATATCTTAAACAGTTTTTTTTGAATTGAAACTAAAATATAAATAAATTTTGATAAAAATATAATTAATGTATAAGTGCATGTTAAACATAAAAACACATTATTTTTAAAAAGCAAAATTCATATTAAAGAGAAAATTCAAGGAATGTGCAAAATGAAGTTTTTAATGCAATAATAGCTCTCATCAATACATATTAGCATATTATGTTTGATTAATATATCTTGAACTGTTTATTCAAAACTGATTTAGTCTAAGAGAAGTCAAAGGTAAACAAGTCAAAATGTGTTTGTGAAAGCTTACATCAGTGTGAATTTACTATTATCATATGAATTTTGATAAAAATATAATTAATGGTTTAAAAAATAAACACATTTTTAAAAAGTATTGGTCAAAGAAAATTCAAGGTCACAAGGTCAATGCAATAATAGCTCTCATTTGAATAGAAGTTTAATAATATATCTTGAACTGTTTATTCAAAACTGAAGTCTAAGACAGTGATAAACTATGGTTTTAAAAGTTATGGCCAAAAGTGTAAAAAGCTATTTTTAGCATATAGGTCACAGTCAAGGTCAAGGTTGACCATGGTGTCATTTGAAAGAATTTAATCAGTGGAGTATGCATCCTAAATATGAAGTTCCTATCTCCTATGGTTAAAAAGTAATGGCAAAAAGTGTAAAAAGCTATTTTTAGCATCTAGGTCACAGTCAAGGTCACAAGGTCATTGACCATGGTGTCATTTGAAAGAACTTAATCAGTGGAGTATGCATCCCAAATATGAGGTTCCTATCTCTTATGGTTAAAAAGTTATGGCAAAAAGTGTAAAAAGCTATTTTTAGCATCTAGGTCACAGTCAAGGTCACAAGATCATTGACCTTGTTGTCAACTGAAAGGGCTTTATTAAAGGAGTATGCATACCAAATATCAAGTCCGTATCTCCTATGGTTAAAAAGGTATGACAAACAGTGGAAAAAGCTATTTTTAGCACATAGGTCACAGTCAAGGTCACAAGGTCATTGACCTTGATGTCATTTGAAAGGACTTTAATAGTGGAGTATGCATACCAAATATGAAGTCTCTATCTCTTATTGTTCAAAAGTTATGGCCAAGGTTAAAGTTGACAACAGACAAACAGACAAACAGATAAACAGACAAACAGACAGACAGACAGGACAAAAACAATATATGCCCGGGATCTATCAATCCGGGCGCATAAAAAATATTGCCACAGTTGGATAGTTTACATCAGTATATGCATCAGCATATGAACTTTGATAAAATATCTAGAAAGTAATTTCTTTGAGCTCGATGGAAAGACAGATGGAAGGGTGGAGGACGGACATGACAAAAACTAATACATGTATTCCTAATCATGGTGTAGCATAAAAAACTTGAATATACATTATATGAGGATGTTTCCATATCAAGATTATACATGCAAATTCAAAGAATTGTGGTCCTTTGCTTTCTGTGTTTAAGTGAATGGGATGCCATAATTTATGGCAGATTGTGTATCAAATATGCATCCCTATCATATGTCACTTTATGAAAATTAGGTCAAAGGGGGGAAATCATCGCATTCTCGAAATATTTTGTTGCAGGTAAAATACATGTCAAATATGAAAGACCCATCTCTTTTCAATCAAAAGTTATATATATATATAAATATATAATAAAATATTTTTGAAAAGTAGGTTAAACTTCTAGGTCAAGATCAGAAAGTCAAAAGTCATGATATATTTAAAAAAGTCTTTTCACAAGTAATATACATGTATAATTTAAATGCCATATCTTTTCTCTTTCAAAATGATTAATTTATTAAAATGTTATTTTTTGGAAAGTAGGTAAAATTTTGTGGTCAAGGTCTCACTTGGGTTAAAAAATCATAGTACATTTAGAAAGTTTTGTGGTAATGTACATGTGAAATATGAAAGCCCTATCTCATATTATTCAAAAGTTATGATCAAGGTTAAATCTATTGTGACAGATGCACATACTGTCAAAGATGGCCAGACTGACAGACAAATAAGATTTAATGTTCCCTCCCTTTCCCCCAAAACGGGGGACAATAATGCCCTTGCTGTTCTTGAGAAGAAGATTTATGATGGAAAAAATCCCCTGCATATTTCTTAACGCAAATCAATATTGTGTTTTTATGTCATTTAATTGTTTGTTTGTTGTTAAACATCCCTCTCAGGAATTTTTCACTCAAATGGAGACACCCCCACTTGAAAAATAATGGGGACAAGTCGGATTTGAGGTCAACATTCATTTTAGGAGTTTTCAACCATTAAGACGTAAAGAGACAGGAACTCGATCCTTCCCCTCACCCCATCCCAGACCCCTGTTTATATTCATTACATGTATGCAAACTACTGCTTGTTTTACATTTTTAAAAAAATATGTTAATAGCCTATATACAAATACTTTAATGTGGTCCATCTCTTTGAATGATTTTCATTCCTAATTCTAGGAGGATAGGTAGTGAATGAAATGTCAAGCAATCTTATCATTGATGCACTTTTATTTCATTTAATGCAGTCATATTGTGAACATTTCCAGTTAGAATCATTAGGAGAGTGGGGATGACCTCCAGGGGGTTCAAAACCTTTATACCATTAAATTTACATAACATAATAACACAAAAAGCGCAAAATTATGTATGGTCTAATGGAAAAAGTTTCCCACTATTTAGGAGTCACATGATCATTTGCCATTACTGTTTACAGGGACTGGAAGTGTATCTTGAGATCGAGATCCCCCCCCCCGAATTTGCAGGACTATAATATAAAAAAGACTTTGGATGCCCTCCACCCTAGAAAACAGACACCACCATAACTTCTCCTTTTATTTGCTTCTCAGGAAATTCTTGTCTGGAAGTCCCCCCTCCCTCTCAGAAAAAAATTCTGTATTTTGTAACTGAATGTAACGTCGATAACGGGCGATAACTCTTTAGAATGTGAAATTCGTCTTATTGCAGCATCGGATGACCTTTGATCCTTTAAACTTTAACCTAACCAGTTGCATTTCAGACTATTTTACCCAAATCTATACCAAAACGTGTACTTACCGACTGCCATAGCTCCAACTTCATGAAATATAATCCAATTAAACACAAAATAATTCCAACTGACATACATGCAATGATGTGTACACAACACTAGGCCTAGTACTGCACGTGCAGTGCTATCTAAAAATGATAATGGTAAAACTAGTACTTAAGTTACGTACGTGACGCAAGCCCAATGTGATGCAGGTCTTCAGATACATTTACAGTATAAGAACAAATTTAAAATTATTATTTACAAAAGATGTTTTATCTTAACTTTGCCATCTAGGCCTATTTCCAAAAACAGGAAAATAGGGTGTGTTTGCGTGTGTGTGTGTTGATGGGAGAAGGGTGGGGGTTGACTAAATTGATTGGGTATACATGGTATATGGCAGTTTTCAAGGTGTTTCTGCATAATCAAGTATAAAAAAGTTTGTACATTTTGGAAAAAATCATCAAAAACGCTTTAAACTAATTTGAATAATATTTGTTGTTGATCTATATGAGAAAATAGATTTAAAAAGTTCCAATTATGGGCCAAAAATTTACCCCCCCCCCCTTGTTTCAAACCTAATTTACATCATTAATTGAATTCTGTTGTTTAATTTCAGACTGGTAATGAATTATGAATATGAAATACATGTACCTATAAGATCGAGGCCCATGAATCACATGTTCACTTGAGAATATTAAGCTCAATTTGATGAATACATGGAGGCCCTATTATGTTAATTATTAAATTATATTGACTTTTTCTTTGGTAAAGCCTAATTTTAGAGGAGTGTGCATTTAGAGGCAAACACCTTAGTGCGGGTATTACTGTCTCATGACAGCATTTAGTTTTTTTTGTTAGTGCAGGATATTTTTACTGCAGTATGAGATAATGAGAATGTAATATTGACAGAATTTTAAAGTATACAATAAAGTATAATACTTTGTTTAATGTTTGGCGTTAAATTGTACTACAGTGTGAATTATAGCTTTATAATTTCGTGCTAAATAATGTCGTAAGACGAATTTAAATATAAAGTTTAACATACACTCAGTTGGATGTTATGCATTTTATTACTCATAGCGCAAACTTTTCCACCTGTGAATATTCACACAAAAACCAAAACAAAATGAAATACAAAAACAAATAAATAAGAAAAATACTTTAGAATTCTTGAAACGTTCGGCTTTATACAATATCTCTATAACCGGACCGAGTTCATATAAAATTATTTACTGTAGACTCCTAAATATACTCATGGAATTAATTATCGCGTATTTCCTCGAGACGAACCACTCGCAAATTAAGATTACTCTCCTTTATTCTTATGGTGCTGAAATCTATGTACAATTTCCTAATCAACCGTCTATTTGCGAATAACTATCTCACAATTTGACGTTGAAGAGCCTAGTTGCAATAATAGTTACTTGTGAAATGTCAAACTCACCTGAACTTGGGGCTCTTCAGCATTTTCAATCTCAAATGTTGAGTCATTTGCAATAATTTTTATGTTTTCTCTCCAGATGCGAAATTTCTTCCAGGCATACAGCAATGGCACAAACAATATATAACACACAACTGTAACAAGATTTTGTTTCTAAAAACTTATCTTCTAGCATTAATATTTAAAACTTCGTGTCTATTTACATGTTACAGAAATATAGGTGTTTCCAAAATGTGTGATATATTTTTTTTTTCGTTTTGTTAAAGATGAATAAGTTACAATTACATTTACATTTAAATGTTTAGATAACACCAAAAGACAATAAATTATTAATATTTTTAGAATAAATATCTTTAAAAAGTGGCCATACTTGTACATACCTATTATTACACCAAGCTTTTCCGTTGGCGTTATGTTATCGTCTGGGTCTATAAAATTGAGATTAAAAAATACATTTAGTTAATTAGGCATCTTTAATTCTTTATGAATACAATCATAAGTGAATTCTGCATTTAGAACAATTTCAATTAAAAGACGTTGACGAGTAATAAATTGACCTTATTAATATTATTTTAAACTTGCTGACCCTGTTTGTATCGATAACAACACAGAATGAAAAATGTTAATGTAAAAGACAAAAAAAAAAAAACACTTGATACTATGCTCCGTACACAAAAAAGGGAGTAAAAACAGTTATTATATCAAGGAATCTACAACTACTGTCAAATCACTAATTTCCGTGGGTTAATTTTCGTCGTTTTCAAGGTATGCAGAGAATCAGGAAGTTACCGGGTATGTCCACCACGAAATGCAATTTTTCACATAATTTATATTACTACTTAAAAAATTTTCAACCACGAAATTAAATTCTCATGAACCGATATATATTTTCCTCAAAACCACGAAAATTTGACCCCTAAAAAATATGTGATTTTACAGTCATAGAAACCTTTTACCAGGCCTAGAACAGGAGCCCCGGAAATCCCAGAGTTAGCCCAGAGGGAGAAACATCTAATTACAATACAGACAACTCGTTATCTCTATGTATTGATTCCACAGAAACGCTGCTTCGCGATTTTTCTTTGCGTGTACCATATTCATTATGACTGATCTTATCATAAAAAAAATGTTCATTTATAGAGCTAAATAATTTTGAATTGTGATATTTCACAGAAAAGAGTAATCTAAGAGTTATTCAAACAATATCAATCTTTTTTCAATCTTAAGACAGCAACTGTTCTCTCAAGACATAAAATTAGGTAAGGACTCGTTCTGGTCATCTTTAAAATAATGTTTGCTTGCCCTCTCCCGACTAAGTGTAAAATTATTGGGTCGGAAGGTGGGTATGAAAAGTTTTTTTTCAGAAAACTTTGACATATTTTTGACGTGATGAGAAGAATAATCAGAAAAAATACTGTGTCCTGGAATGTAAAAAAAAAAGGATTTGAGTCGGGCCATTTTAGTCCGTAGGTCGGAAGAGGACAACCAAACAATCTGTAAAGGTGGCCTCATCATGAAATATTGTCTGGATTGATAAATTATTATTTGAATACATGTATAAATCCTTTGTATGTTGATCTTTTTCTTTTCTTACCTCTTGTAATGTTAAACTTATTCACTTCAGTGGTTGTGAACATGCTGTGTATCTGAGAATAAACAATTTACATTTTGAATAGAAACAGGAAAATAAATGTTATCATTTTCTATAAATTAAGATTTGATACATGTATCGGTTGAGACTAGAAGTGAAGGACGATTGTGACAAGAACATTTACAAAGATACCAAACGACAAGTATCCTCGGAGACACACTGTCTACCAGCAGAGATAATGTTCGGTGGTTAAAAATGATGGATATGGAGATAAAGAACAGTGTTCAAAATCAAAGTCATAAAACAATACTGAATAGGAGTAGAGAAAACACGGACTCCCAAAACATTAGACGCGGGATCAGGTGCCATGGAGGAGTGAACAACCCACGCCTACCGGTCACATCCACCGTGTGCTCCTTGTCATAATCGGGAAGTAAATACTTGATCCCACCTCTTATGTTTTGAAGGTCTGTGTTTGCTCAGCTTGTCATTTGTATTTTCTAATTAGATGTTTGAGCTTTACTGTATTTTGTTAGCACCATTATTTACTATAAATAGTATGAAAAAATATTAATATTTACTAATAAAAAGTTAAATTAATGCAATGCTGAGAAAAGCAAGTAAAATATGTTATTTTTGTCAATGACTTTTATCATTATCATTATATAACGAGAAGCAAAATATTAATTAAATACTTAGATGTAATTCAATGTAGCACTGAACTTTATCGCTATAATGCACCATGTCGGAGAGAAATACTTTCCATTTTACATATTATCAAATCCTTAGAAATATAATAGGTTGATGTAGGAAAACAGGTCCAACATTACTAAGTAGTTCTTCATGACACCTGAGAAACTTCAGCTCTCTCTTGAGGGGTTCAGACAAAATATTAATATCAACCGATATAAAAATATTATCCATGAAAATTAATTAGGTAATTTTATTGAATGTGTACATCAGCACGACCAGGGAATTATCCTTAAACAATAATTAATTATCGATAAAATGCTTTGAGAGGATAGAGCGACCACAGATTCAATCATCTCGCAAATGATGCCTTAAGCTTTTAACTCTGAAAATGAATCGCTGGTATCGTGTGCAATTTTTTATATCTTTCCTTTTTTGCAATGTTTTATCAAAAATTCATTTTGACCGATATCTCGTTTCGGATTCACATTTTCGTAGAAGAGAACTTGAAGACATAACTAAAGACAATGCTATTACGATTTATAAGGACATCAGTACGCTAAGTGAATGTGCTTTAAGGTCTTTATCAAACCGAGCTCCAGCTTTTTACTACAATAAGAATGAAAAACGATGCATACTGATAAAGAATTCGAACTTTCCACATGGTGAAAACATACCAGGATATAATCGATATATTTCAGATGGTAAAGGTAATGCTCAAAACTAAATATAATAATTCTTTCAAGTGGTAACAAATATAAATATCACACTTTTTGTTTGTAGTTCATACTTTTATTTTTTTAAAAATCATTAAAATTTTATCTATTTTGATGTTAATAAAATTGTTTCTTCAAGCATCTGAACTTATTTTGTCATTATATTTTCCCAAGTCTTTATATGAACATCACATGATCAAATATTCCTTAAAATATTAATTATGATTATACTTTATGAATGTATCCACGTCTCATTTGTTTGATGAATCATAAGTAACTTATTGTAAGAAATTGTAATCCATGAGTTTAACATCTATTTCCCATATAAAGCATGTTAAAGAGGCCTGGGGGGGGATCAACAAATTAACCACAAATTAACCATCAGATTTAACTTTTATATATATATACGGTATCTTAAGCTGTCAACTATCATTTGGCATAGGAAAAATTCATACATTTTAGTTTTAAAATTTGATCATTTTTGTATATTTGCATATCCACTGCTCTCTCCCACTATGAACATGCAGTTATCAACTGCGTTCATAGGACTATAGACGCAACTGCTCCTGCTATGAATGCAATTGCTCTATCACACTCGTGTAGAACAAGCTCTCCCACACTTTTAAACAGTAGAAAGTATATATATATATTTTTAAAAATAAGTTTTTAGTAATATTCTTTGGAAAAAAAGAAATTCAGAATATCTAAAATTGCTGATTTATATCTTTAAAAATTTAATTTTGGTCAATGTATTTAATTGTATCATAAAACTTTTTAAAAATTGAGAGAACTGCCAAATTTTAATTTTTTTCTCTCTCTCTCTCTCTCTCTCTCTCTCTCTCTCTCTCTCTCTCTCTCTCTCTCTCTCTCTCTCTCAGACATTATTTCAGCTATTAAAAAAATAAATAGAGAAACTAAAAAAAATCATAGAAAAGCATTCTGGAGTAATAATCATTATAAAAGCATTATCATTTTTCATCATAGTGTTAAATTATTGATTTTTGTCTGTAACGTTGATTGATGACGTCACAACTGTATCAAAACAAAAATTAAGAGAATGTGATGACGGCGCTTGTATCCAGATAATATAGGAAAATACTTTATAAATTGTTTGTGATTTATTTGAGAAAAAATTGATCAGGTGTACTGATTTCAAAGCCGTATGTTTTTCTTTACTGAAGACAAGAAGCCGTGTCCTTATGTAAGTCAGGATTTCCTCTGATATTCTTGAAAAAAAAATCAAAGTATGCAAATATAAGTAATAATTTAATTATTCACTTGAACATGGCATTATGAATAGCAATAGCTCTGCTGGCATATTTTCCATGATGCGCTAGCGCGCATCATGGAATATGTCAGCAGAGCAATTGCTATTCATAACGCCATGTTCACTGAATAACGTTGTTTATTTCTTAAATATTTTTATATGGAGCTCTTCTTTTAAAGGAGATCGAAATTGTCTGAAAATAGCCCCCCCCCCCAGCCCCTTTAAAAAGAAACATTATTTATTTTTTATGATTGTTCCTTTTCAGAAAGAAGTCCAAAACGATGCTTTTACAAACTATTGGATAAAAGTGAGAGTTATTTTACCGAGGCAAAGGTACATGTACGCTCTCTCTCTCTCTCTCTCTCTCTCTCTCTCTCTCTCTCTCTCTCTCTCTCTCTCTCTCTCACACACACACACACACACACACATCTCTCCCCGTGGGGATTTGGGTTAGAATAGGTCCTCAGTACCCCCGTGCTTGTCGTAAAAGGCGAAATGGGGCGGTTTGATCCGTATAAACCGAGGCCCCGTGTCACAGCAGGTGTGGCACGATAAAGATCCCTCCCTGCTCAAAGGCCGTAAATGCCTAAATTTTCAGCCCTTCACCGGCAATGGTGACGTCTCCATATCAGTGAAATATTCTGGAGAGGGACGTTAAACAGTATACAATCAATCAATCAATCTCTTACATCTCCTACTTATAAAAACCAAGAAATCAAGTTCAAAAGATATATTAAATGTATTTAAAAAATGAAATTGCTACGATTTCTTCAAATATAATATGAAAAGCAAAAACAATGTGGAATACATGAAATATATGAAAATAATAATGACCAGTATTCAAGCTAAAAAGTCCATTAAACAATAAAAGAAAAATTTGCTGCTAGACAAAATTCAAGTATATAGAAATTTGTCATTTTTTGCCGGTAAATTTGATTATTATATGTAAATGAATTATGCCTTAAATATTAAAGACTGCTTTATTGTGGTTATATAAATTTAATTTGTAAGCGGAAGTGTGAAATCCAAGGAGGATATGTTCTAAAAATAAACTCGGAACAAGAAGCTGAATTTGTGAAAGAAATGTTTCAAGGTAAGCATTATTATTTGGGATATTACGCCAAGTTTTTAAAGTTGAAATGTTATCTTAAATGGCATTTTTTCGAATATTTTCTACAAGTGGAAGTTTATGTCATAGTGCCAAACAAAGACGAGGGCCCTATGAGTTATTATTTAATTTTAAGATATCTGGTGAATGTGATCAACTGATGAGGAATCATCAATGCAAAAGGCGTTATATTTACTTTAAATTTCTAACATGTCTAATGCACAGTCGAATATAAAATATTTATATGAATAAATTTCATCGAAATTTGCAGGTTTCACAATTTTGGTCGGAGACGAGGTACAAAATATTACTTACCCTATGGGTCAGCAGAGTGACCTACAGCAGTATGACGGGGATTACTATGAGTCGGCCGTGGCCCCGTCCTCTCTCCACGATAACTGTGTAAACCTCACCACAAACGGAAGGATAAGTCAGCACTGCGGAGTACTTCCTTTTCATGTTCTTTGTGAATTCGACAAATGCATTTATTAATTCCGGATGACAAACATACAAGTGGAGGTGTACTAATATATATATATAACAATAATGTACATGTAAGTGTAGAAATTAATGGAAAGGTAAAAAAACAAACACAATGTCAAGAGAAGAACGTTTTTGTTCCAAGCAAAAAAAAAAATAGACTTTTACGAAAAATTGTTTAAAACAGCTTTTCACATACCATCAAGAGGCAGGCGCGTAGCCAGCATTGAAATGAAGTGTACGCAGAAAATGGTCGGGGGCCTGGGGGCCACCCTGAAGCCCCCAGTAGGTCCAGGGCGAAGCCCTGGTGGGGAGCCAGGGGGCGAAGCATCCGGAAGCTCCTGGATTTTACGAAATGTTTCAGTCATTTTTCTTTAAAAGAAATCACGCTACAGCTCTTTTCTCAAGCAAACACTTAGCTAAGTTATACTTCCATGGATACTTCAGGAAGAGAAGGATAATTTAATCAAATTAATTTACGAATATATTGGTGTTAGAAAAAAAGTTTCCAAGTGTGACAAGATTAAACAGAGAAGTTATTTAATAAGTTATCATTGGCGTTAAAGTATTTCAAAATATAAACGGGGGTTTGGATCTTTTGATAACCTTTATATAGCTTAAACAGTGTGAGAGTAGTTAAATTCTATAAACTGGTAACATCAGTAAAATAAGATATTCATAAATGATTTATATTTACTTTGTTCAATAATTTGAATTTTTTTTTTTTGTTTATCGGTATTTATTCATTACTTCAACAGTTATTCTTGTGTAGTCGTCCAAAATCCTTGTAACTTTTTCTTTAAATCAATGTCACTTAGATCGCTTTCCTTCATCAAATACATGCATTTCTCCGGAGAATCAGGATTACGCGGATTTACAGTTGAAATTTTGATACAACAATATTTTCTTACTCAAGAATTTTGGAATTCAATTTATAAAAGACTTGATTATAACAATATATTCTGAACAAAATTTGAATAGAAACAATAAGACGTAAAATAATTTGAAAGACAGATAGTGCCTCTTTTTCTCCGAATAAATCTTTCTCTTTTATTCTGTTTTCTTTCTTTCTTTTCTTTTTTTTTTTTTGAAAATGATGTGTACGCACTTGCGTACTTGCGTATAGGCAGCTACGCGCCTGAGAGGTAAACAGGTATTGTGTAAGATTTGATTACTAAGAGGTATTTGTACATGACAATCTCTTTTGATTCTTATTTTTACTTCTTTTTATATTTATAATTACATGTATTTTGTTAAATGAAGTTTCTATATTTATCTCGAAAACATTGATGATATGATTTCTTACTGACTGCAATTTCATAAAGAAGGGTTGAAAGAAGGGTTGGTTTTTTTTCTTATTTAATGTTTTTCTCGAGAATTTTTCACTCAAATGGAGACGCAACCAATTGCCTGAGAAGTGCTGTCCTATACTCAGTAATTACGGCCATTGAGCAGCGAATGATCTTTTTTCGTGCCAGAACCTACGGCGTCTCCTTCGAAGGTTCCGCAGCGGGATCCTATTTCTTGACGTAAGGATCAACTCCTTCCTCTGCGACTCTAGAGTAGACCAAATAACCACTTCGCCAGACTAAATAAATTGCTATCTATCTTTTCTATCATGAAACATATGGAAAAAGCAGGCAGTATTCAAGCTAAAAAGTTCATTAAACAAAACAGAATAGCAGCAAAGCAAACACGGATCTCCAAAACATCAGAGGTGGGATCAGGTGTAATGGAGGAGAGTGCATACCCTTCCGCTTGATCACATGCTTCGTGTGCTCCTTCTTATAAACAATTCAGTGTGTAAATAATGGTCTAACAATTTGTTTAGAAACGACAGTGAACTTTTGACATAGAGATAAATTGTGTTTGCTGACAAAGGCTTTCTATTGACCATAAAACTTAAGAAATGTTTACTTTTAACAAAACTTTTGATATTCTTGTTTCAGCAATTTATTTGTCAAAACTTTACCTTATTTGCCTCAAATCATTTATTCTTCCAGAATAAATATCTTACGTTGAAACTCTATAGGTAAAAAGGACCTGTGTTCAATTCACATTTGCTATCTCTAAAACGTAAACGACCTTTATGAATTTCACAAATTAGTGCTATCTGGGATAAAACAATGTTGTTAGTTAACTGAAAGTATGCCTTATTCATCGACAAAGAATTCAGTAAATAATCTTGTAGATCGAGGGTCATTGTGTACATTTTTTTCATTCCATCATTATTCCTTGGAGGAATGTCATTTTAAATTTTGTCAGTCATTATTTAAATTAACTGGGATTATCAAAATCATCAAAATTGAAGATTAAACCATCGTAATAATTATGTTTTATTTAACTTTCATAAAACCAGGGGAATAAGTAGTAAACAACTACAAGTAGTAATAGAAGCATCTATGTATAACACATCGATCTGTTTAATGATAACTAGATTGAAAGCATCAAAGTATTTCTTCAGGCTGATTGATCTAGATTAGCAGGAAACTTTGATGAAAAACTGTTTGTCTATGAGTCAGGTTTCATTAAGTTCTAAAAACAAATTAACTAAATCTGAATATTAAAAATAACGTTGTGGGAAATCTCTTCATTATGAAAAGTAAACATATTAACAACGTCTCATATCCATTGAACGCCTTTTACATGATGGATAAAAACTACCTGTTGTAATTTAAACAAAATGCAGTATCTAAGATAAACTGTTGTGCAGTAACTGAAGTTCTTCGACATAATGCAGTATCTGATAATCTACATAACCTTAAACATGGTGTTACATCAATCATGTCTCTATGAAGTTTATTCTCACCGAATTAGGACAGCTCTTTACGTTCGTATTCCTTCACGTGCCGAGGCCGAAGACGATGAGTACCGTCTGCTCTTTCCTCCACACATTTATAATGACGTCACCAGCGTCACCGATTGCGCAATAAGATCACTATCAATATCTGCGGCCTCTTTTTTGTACAATTTGGAGGAGAAACAGTGTGACCCTGCAGCATCGCCTTCACACGGAGTAAACACAGGATTTTATCATTACACTAAACAGGAGACAGGTAATGTACAGGTTACTTAAATGTTTAGGAATTATCAATTCACTTCATTTAAAATGAATGGAATCTAAATGTTGCTAAAAATACAAACCATCTTGTACTTTAATGTGCACCTTGATAAGCATATTATATACCTTGAATTTCTGTGCGAAAATCACACCGAGTACATGTTTATACTCAAAACTTTTGCATTTTTTATGTGTGTTTCTTACAGAAAATTTCTTCAAAGCCTGTAGATATCAACTCTCAAAGAGAAAAACTTCTTTTCAAGAGGCAAAGGTAAAGATTATTCATTTAGTTTAGATGTTTTTTGCCAAAAAAAAATAATAATAATAAAACTATCCAATAGTAGTCTTTAAGCTAGTTTAAAAGTTTGATGCTGCTTAATTTTTATTCCAATCAAATCTATTTTGAACAGAAAAGATGTGAGACAGAGGATGGATACCTGCTAAAAATAGAAACTAAAGACGAAAATGATTTTATAAAGAAACTGTTTCCAGGTATTGTTGTTTCTGAAACTAAAACCTTGATATCTTCATATCTTCATGTCATTCAAATTGACTTGCTAACTAAATTTTTATTTCGTCAAATTGATACTATATACAGGGTTATATTTCACTTGATTTATTTTTGCCCTTTCACCTTTGCAAACAATTTTGCCCTGTTTTAAATTCGCCCAGTACCAATTTTGTTAAAGAAAATATACTGTGTCCTTTGAATTCACCCTATTTTAAATACGTTTCTACGTACTGTAGTAAGTATAAAATGATTTTTAAGACCCTTTGAATGGGGTAACAATACTATTTAAACAACTAAACGTACTGTTAATTCTGTGGTCACTTATTGATACCCCCGCCTCCCATACGGTTCTTATGGCAAAGTCTGTGTTTTGTTGGCAGAGATCCGATATTAGTGTTAGAACTAAAACTTTAATTAGAGGTGCACGATAAAATTATGTATTAGAGATTGTGTAAGTCACATTCATTTAAAATCAGAGGTAAAGAGGGGTTGTGGATAAGATATAAGTATCGTAAAGCGTCATAAACGGACGTACATACAGAACGACGGACGGACATACAGCGAGACGGACAGACAGACAGATGGACGGAAGGTCATACAAGCTAGACGGACGGAAAGACGAAATGACACCATCATCACGAAACATCCCACTTCTTCAGCCGGGAGTTATAAAAACTGATTCTGACCCTGAGTGGTTTACTTATCTTATGAGGAGTAGCAGACGATGTATAGAACCTGTTAAGTTTGTAAAAATATAATTAAAGGAGGAAATATCTCTATTTCTAATGCCTATATGCTATTAATCATACAAATACCTTTCCATTGTGTAAACCACTATTTATGAATAAATTCTTATTAATTTACTTCATATCGTTCACATAATTTAAAAATTAAGCATTGTACACGCACGACTACGTGGTTTGACAAACGACATCTTATGACCAATATCTCATGATGGTTACTTTCAAATCACATATTTTCATGGCGTCAAAGATTAAACCCCCAACGAATTTTGGTGGTTTCACAGTAGTTGATTTTTATTTTTTTTAATACACCTTACATTTCCTACATGTAATTTAAAAAGTTAAATATAAGATTGGACATTTAAGATTAACAATTTGTAAAGACGAAAATTTATTCAGCAGATATGTTTTATCATTACGATTTTTTGTCTTTGGTACTATTTTAGGTAAATCTTTATGGCTGGGAGCTACAGTATCAAACAGTGGCATCACGTGGGGCGATGGTCAAGATGTACAATTCACAGACTTCGTCGCCAATGACCCTGTATTAAATGATTTTAATTTACTTAAGGTGTCTAGATGTATCATATTAACTCATGATGGTTGGAAAACTGAAAGTTGTGCAATTTTTTTCAACAATCATTTTGTGTGTGAATTTGATCAATGTATTCAATAACTTAAGTGACCTTTGTCATTACAGTGTAATATTTCTTTGTTATTCTGTTGTGCCTCTTGATTTAATGGAACTAAGCAATTATTAATGAATATGGATGCTATGATCCTTGGGATAAGTGTTCTAATGTTAATGAGGGGCTCTATTGAGTTTTTAGCTAAAATGCACTCATACCTTGAATTTTTTCTTCTCTTCTTCCAAGTATTGAAATATCTCACCAAGTTTATATATACAGTACCTGGCCATAGGCCTGTCATAAAAAATGCCGAAATATCAAAATTCAGAAAGTCATTTTTTTCTTCTTTAGCGTTGGTTAATAAATCACTCTAAACAAGCTGCTGTTAAATAGTTCTCTTTTATAGAGTGTATACAATAATTTAATGACGTCATTTTATAAAAGTGACGTATTATTTGTCAAATATTTAGCAACTGACAAGATGGCTACTAAAGGTTACCAAATGTCTATTTTCCCTATGAAACCTGAGTGTCTTGGTGTCCGTGGAAACGGAAAGTACTCGAAAAGTTTGGGGGTGTATCACTTATGAAGGAGTCGGAACATTTACATAAAAGGATGGCAATATTAATTCCTAAAAATACATAAACATTTTGGATACAAATTTGTGACCTGTTATTTTACGTCATTTCTAAAATGGTGACTATTTATTCCAGGATGATATTGCACCGTTTCACTCTAACTTCACGAAATTATGGAAAAACGGAATTAAATGTCTTACTTGACCATCACTATCTCTCGATATCAATGTAATTGAAAATGTATTGAGAACTCATGAAAATATCTCTTCGGTGGCAGAAAAACAATAAATATAATCGCGAAGACCTCAAGTTGAAAGTATTGGAAATATGGCGGTCATTGCCTCAGCATTACATTCAGAGTCTGTACGCCTCAATTCCAGGGCGAAGTCTACAAGTTATTAAATCTAAGTGTCATGCAACTAAATTCTAGAGATTGAAGGATAAGTTCTTAAAATTTTGGATTTTTTTTCATTCTGGATTTTTACATTCACGCTGTTCACGTTACATTACGGCCATTTTATGACAAACTTATGGCCAGGTACTGTAGTTATGATAAACAACTTCTGAAATTGTGAAATTCATGGCCATTTTGGTCAGAAGTGTGAATATTAAAATAAATAAATAAACAGTATTCAATCTAAAAAGTCCATAAAACATTACAAAATAGACGCAGAGGAAACATGAACCTCTAAAACATCAGAGGTGGGATCAGGTGCCATGAAGGAGTGGTATAAGGGCGGGGCTTGTTTGATATTATATACTCAAGTGTCCGTTAAAACACTTGCGACTAGCGTTTTTGGTTTCATATATACTCTTTGAATATTTACAGTTTTACGATATCTGTTTCCTTTTGTGTTCAACTTTTGTATTTTGATTTACTAAGTTCATAATTTTGTACATCGGTTCACAGTGATACTTTGATTTTCAATGACATTTTTATTTTATCTAGCTATTGTACTTTCGTAGATAATTTGTCTTTCAAGTTCTTTTTGATATTTTATTTAATTAATACTTTACTTATTTTATTTCCTGATTTGAAAATTTACATTGAACTTTAATTTGGTTTACTTTGATACTTCAGTGTATTAAATACCAAGGAATGTTTCGGTTTATTTTTAAGAGTTGTTGTCCCTACTGTATCGTATTTTGTAAACATTTTTTTCATAATTTTTGGCCTTAGTATACCGTTGAGGGATTCTGATTGAATAAAGTTAAAATTCGCACATGTATGTGCTTGTTAAATGTTGTACATATGCTTGTATATTATAATTGTAAGTAAGCACGGTAACCGTTATGATCTTCGGGAGTATTTAAATTGGTTTTTAACTAACAACGTATATTTCTGCATAAAATTTTTTTTTACCTTGTCTAACCTTATCTCTTGGGTTCGTGATTTGGTGCAACCTTGAAATTGCTTCGTGTGAGAAGGCTTTCAAAAATGTCGTGTGCCTTTTCTAGCCCAGTCGCTCTAGAAGGTTCTCTTATCACTAAAAAACTAATATCACCCTCACTTTATCTTATTGATCTTTTAAAAGAAATTTTGGTCCTTCGTTACGAATTCAATTTCCGTTAACGAAAGATATTCTGTTGCAGTTGAAGCGAAATCCAAAAAAAAGTTTCAATTTTTCAGATTGATGGACTTTCCAATGGAAGGCGGACCTCAAAAACACCAATTCGTTCAGTTTGAGGTTTGTGCAAACTAAGAATACAATCCTTCAACATAAATATCACAATGTTGGAGCTATTATAATGACTTTTGTCGAACCTTACATTAAGATAATATTATATTGTATATTTCTCTACTCCTAAAGATCAATCAGCATTGTGAGAATATTTACATGCATTGTAGATGACCATAAGTTATCGAGGATACTTTTAACAGGCCTTAAGGTCATGTAAGCAAGAAACTGCTGTAAAGCCAAGGTCGTGTCTACCGTATATCTTTGTTACCGTCTATGCCAAGGTTAGGTAAATTTCGGAGGGGGAGAGGGGTCTTGTTCATCTTTTCTCCGCTCGAGTACAGAAAAGAAGATTGACTGATTGTTATGTCATTCACAAAATACTTCACTCATAGACAGACGTCACCGTTTACACTTAAAAGTGAGAATTACTTGGCTATTTTTATCGAATTAAACCTAACACTTTCAAGAACTGTACATTTGCATGTGCCATACAAAGCAAAAATCTTTGTCTTTTTCCTATAATTTTGCTTCAAAGTGAATCTTTTATAGATGTGCATTAAAGCCAAACCTCAATATGTCGAGCAGCCAAGTCGCTAGAGCGGCTCATTCAGTGATCGTAAAGTCGTTTGTTCGAATCACAACAGCGACTGTCAAAAGTCGATAAAAAACGAGGAAGCAACTGCTCCTTCGCCAAGCGCTGGACACTTTAAAATAAAAACTGTGGGTTTTTTTGGAGAGATACCTTAAAAACGAAACCCCGTGTCACGGAAGGCGTTGGCACGATAAAAAAAAACCGACATCGCCATGATACTGATTGGTGAGTTGTCACCGCTCTAATCGGTATAGGATGGTCTCTACATGGATGAAAAATTCTGGGATGGGACGTAAAACATCAATTTATATGCCGACTTACAGAAAATTGAGGTACCAGTTGCAGACAATAAAAAAAACATATACCACTACAAAGTATTGTCATAGATTTAATAAAAGAAAATTTCGAGATCATATGAATTTTGAAAAAAAAACAGATAACAAAATGTTACAAAACATGACATCAAAATACAGACAAAATTAACATCATTTAAATATATTCAAAAATAGACAACATCAAGAGATATTTTCATACTTTTTTTTCTAAATTTTCTAATTTCTAAATTTCTAAATTTTTTCTAAAACGAAAACATCAACAAAAATTTTAATAATTTTTTCTAAATTCAAAAACAATATTTTAATTGATGCAAATGATTTTGTAATTTTCACTCCAAAGAAGCAGTCATATTTTTAAGGTTGCTCAGCAAATACAAGATCAAACCGACACATAAAGATATGAAGACAATACACAAATGTTCATATTAACTAGTATTGCCTTTGTATGTTGTGTAAAGAAAAAGAGTTCAGTTTGTATTTTTTTTATCAGATTTTCAGCTTGAATTTGGCGCACAATCAAACAATATTTATTGAAGTATGCACTTAATCATTAATTAAAACACGGTTATGGTTATTTCTTGGGTAACACTTCAATATTTTGGATAATACTCATGATGTAGAAATTTACAAGACATTAAAATCTTTTTGACATAAAGAAAGTAAGACTGAGGCATCATTAAAGAGAATGTCTGCAATAGATACGGAATCGGTCTTTCAGACAAAAAAAAAAAAAACATGCAGTTCGTTTAACATCCGGAATTTTTCTCATTTCCGGGTCATTTCTGTGTATCGTAGTAGTACAAGTCCCCGGATGATTGACGAAACAGAGATTCAATCTGTTTGTTGATTTCCGAAAAAGATGGCCTCGCAGCCGGCTCCATAGCCCAACATTTTTTCATGATCTCATAATGCCTAAAAGAAAAAAATAAAATAATCAAAACAATTATCTCTTGAAAAGATAGACTCAGACTTGGAAAATGTAAACAATAAAGTCTTCTAAATTCGATTGTTTAATAAACGATATGCCAGATATGTATCGTGTTTATATATACATGTAGAGTAAAACAAAAAGCCAAAAAAAAAGAATAATCAAAACGTTTAGACTTAAATGTAAACGGTAAAATTTTCTAATTTCGAGTATCATTGTGTTTATATACACAGTATGAAGAGTTAAAAATAAAGTAGAATTGGAACGCAAACTGATTTGTCCTTTGAGAAAACCAATAAATGATGCCCAATTATTTTTTTGATTATAGATCTGATTGCTTTAAAGAAAACCAGATTGTTAAAGTAATGTATGGGCATGTGAAAGACATTTGAAATCATTTTATATTTACTAACTACCACAAAAATCATTTTCCAAAAAAATTCAATTTATATAAGACAGTTATAATCTCCTACGTAAACTGCGAAACTTTAAATGTTTATGACTAAATATATTCTTTTGATTTGACAACCTTATGAAGAAACAGGACTTGTGACTATGATTGAGATTTCGCAAATGCAAGTCAAACTTCAAAGGTCAAAGTTAAAAGATCAAAATTGTTAGCATCCACGGAAAGTTCTTGTAAAAAGGAATAAATCTGTGAAATACATGCACGAAAACCTTTGTACTAAGTGTTCAAAAGTTATGGCAAAGATTAAAGTATTTCAAAACTTGGTCGGGGTCAAAGGTAAAAAAAAATATTTATAACCTCTAAAAGTTTTTGTTTCAATGAATACAAATGTAGCGCATGAAGGCCTTAGCACCTACTGTTCAAAAGTTATGGCCCTCATTAAAACTAAATCAAGGTCAAGGGGACAAATTTTATTGTACTTTTAAAAAAGATCTTGTCACAGGGAATAAACCTGTGGAATATGAAAGTTATAACCCTTTTCTCTCAAAACGGACCAGAAAAAAGTTTTTGCGAAAAACAGAAACAGTCGGACGAACATGGCAAAAGCTATAGACACCCCAGAGTTTTTTTGATTACGGGTTATAAAAATTAACATTTATATCATGCTAAATGAAACTTGAGGAGTTTTGAAAAGGTGAAACTTTAACGTACAAATCATCCGAATATTCCGGTTTACTTAGTCGGTTCCCTTGCTTCAGCCATTTTGGAAGGTCTTTACTACGTACGTTGTCATATGGGCTTCCACCTGAAAAGAGATTTGAAATATGATTTCGCCGCGTCAAGGTAAAATTACTTTATGTACGATTTCAGTTAAATTTTGGGAGCAGTCGAAATTCAAAGAATAATTATGGTTGATTTAAAATATTTTACATGGTACGTGATGAATGATAAAAAATTCTCTAGAATTCAGGATATAAAGATTTAGTTTTATACGCAAGTTTCTATTTTCGGAAAATCTTCATATTTTAATGAGAGTTTTTCATCTTTTTTTAGGATCTAGTTCACTCAGTATTTTTCATTAAAAATCGCTCAGAAAATGTTCTGAACACCTTCTGAACGCCAATGTGGTTAAATTGAGAAAAAAAGCACACTTTGTAGATTTCCCATTAGATCACTGTAATAAATGATACAAATATTAATGATGAAGATTTCTGTGTGATTCCGTGTGATTGTGATTTGCCACAATACCAGTTTTTATATTTAACCATGGTAAAGACTTCCAATACAGAGATACCATATGACAATTCCAGTTTATATATTTACCCATGGTAAAGGTATTCCATGCAGTGATACAATATATGATCTAGATTTACCCATGGTAAAGACTTCCCATACAGTGATTCCATATGACCAGACGTCACTTTTCTCGGATGCAGTGCCAGACTTATTCAAACATTCGGGAGCCATCCATTTCACTGGTATTCTTTCCTATAAATGAGTTAAAATCTTTTTTTGTGTTTCGTTTAGATGTAATACGCTTCGGGTGATAGACCAAGGCAAAAGTGGCTAAGTACATGTTCTGAATTTTAATTTGAACCAAGATATTATAATTATTTTCCATATGTCTGAATCCAAAGCACGTATTTCCACATTCAAATTAAAAAGTACATATTTAAAGACGATATTATTAAATTATCCTACAAGTAGTACATTTTTTTTTTGAATTTGAAATTTTAAAATACGTTTAATATTCCTAGTTTTTCAACCTGTTACAAATTCATTCATATGAAATTAGAAAAATTGAAACAAAGGTACTTCGAGAAACGGTGGATCACATACGGTAGTTGATTACAAAAAAGCCATAGAAGTTAAGGTGAGTTTAGAAGTGATAATAGTGAAAAAGAGATGTTTACATATTCATTCTGACCTTTCTAGATGACTCGTCCTCTTCGTCGCCTTGTCGTGGTCCAAAGCCTGCTACCTTAGCACTCAGGTTCTTACTGAGAAACACGTTCCTAGCTGCAAGTCTCATGTGAATAATCTGAGGATGTACAAGGTTATCGTTATATATTGACGATCGATAGATGTACAATGATATCGTTATATATGGATGATTTATGGATGTACAATAATATTGTTATATGTGCATGTTCTATAGATTTATAATGTCATCTTTATACGTGGATGATTCATACATGTTCAATTTTATTGTGATGTGTTGATGATCTATTGATGTACAATGATATCGTTATACGTGGATGTACAGTTTTATCGTTATATATATGTTGATGATCTATGGATGTTCAATGTTTACGTTATATGTGGATGATCCATAGATGTATAATGTTAGAGTTATATGTGTATAATCTACAAACATTCAAAGTTATCATTATATATGGATAATTTATAGATGTACAATCATATCGTTACATATGGATGATGTATTGGTTATGAATTTTATAATTATATATGTAGAAGATCTATGGATGTACAATGTAATCGTTATATGTGGAGGATTTTTGAATGTACCACGTTGTGTGCAGAGTATCTATACGACTATAGATGGACAATGATATAATACAATGTGGATGATCTATCGATGTACAATGTTATCCTTATATGTGGATGATCTGTGTATGTACAATGTTATTGTAATGTGGATGATATATTGGTGATCAATGCTTTCTTTATGTGTGGATGTTATAGTTATATAGCATTATCGTTATGTATGGATAGATATCATCAATATATCAGGTTTGATAATTAGAGAGGTTTAGCAAGCTCACTTGTACGTGTACATGTACGTGTAAACTACAAGTTAGAGTTACACGCACACGTCAACATTTTTTTCTTGTTTAGCAAAGTATAATATACTTGCTAAGTTTTTAAATGTAAAAGTGGTTTACATTTAAAAATCATCCGCAAAAGCAATAATTTTAATTTATGTTCTACATAAATATATGCATACTTATGAGAAAAAGATTGTACAGAGTTCTTATATTTTTAATCGGTCAAAGTCTTTTTCGAAAATCTAGATGTTGTAATTTTAACTCCTTATAAATTAATATTTTTCAATACTGACGTTCAGTTCTTATATCAGTATTTGCATTAAATATTCAGGTTTCAGAAAAACGCACACTTTTTGTAAAATTTAAAGAATTATAAGCTACAAGAACTTACGTGTATTTGGCAATGTGCACGTAATTTGCGTAAGAAGATACGTGTAGAAATTCGTCATTAGCAAAAGTGATGACGTAATGCGCAGATTTCTGGTGCTACACGTACACGTACGCGTACACGTTGGTTTGCTAAACCTCTCTATTAATTGGAATTTAACTTGTAAGAAATATATAAATTTTTATGTTATATCGGGAACCACCTTTTCATAATGTTAATTATTCTCTCCCAACTCAATATTTTTTTTAAAAAGAGAATTTGTTTTAGGAGATTATTTTTACTTCAAAATCACTCGCAGATGAAAAGATAGAATAGTTTTATTGAGATGAGAAAACTTCTGAATAGAGAAAAAATATATAAGGGAGGTTATTACATGCTTGTGTTGGGCCATGTTTTGTCAATCGTTTGGGAAGTGACAAACAAACATATATCGTAAATGAGAAAAGAAAAAAAAACCCTCTTTGTTTATTACCTCTTTACTTGCTAAGAACATCATCCCTCTAGATATGTCGTAGGAAAACCGGAAGAGATTCTCAATGACGTCATCAGAGACCGAACTCTGTCGATCCACCAACCAGTCCTTCAGAGTCCCATTCTCACAATATTCCAAAAGCATAAATGGGCCAACTAAAAAATAGTTTAATTCAAATATAACTTTTACTTTTTTTGTCCTTTTTCATTTTCTAAGAAATCTATATGTTTACTTAAGACAACCATCTTTTCTCCGCGATTCATGATTCTGTGGGATAACAATTTCGGTTTATTTTTTTTAGTAATGATGTACTGGTATACGTGGATTTTTTGGACGATATAAAATTAAAATGCACCTTATGAACGCTATGACAAATTCCTGACTGCATGTTAGTAATATAATAGCTCCAATGCATTATATTACTAGACTGGCCTTTCTGAAATTTTAAGGTTTCTCTATACAAGTTTTATATCTTACTAGACTGCTCTGCTGTCACTGCTCCTATAAACCCGAGGATACACGGATGATCCCCAACCTTTGTTCCGAAAAAATTAATCTTCGCCATCATCAGCACTTTGTCCTCGTCAGTGTAACCATCTGTCAAAACATTCTTAAAATGCGTCAACTAATTATGTTATATTATTTTAAAAAAATATCTTGCTCAATAAACTCACATTGAAAATTGTAAACAAACCACGTGATGATTTACTGGGAAGTTATTGGTTTCTTACAGTAGAAATGTTTATTTTGGAAGAAAACAATTTCATTTTTAATTTTATGCCATTAAGAATATCCGAGTGCTTGAAATCAAAACTACATGAACTATTCTTTAAATTAAAATATATTTAGAACAAAAAAGACAAATTGAAAACAATATTAAACCTTTAAGTGTTTTTGCTACGCATTCCTTTGGTTTTCCATTCTTGTACACCGTGGCTTTATAAATCATGGCGAACCTCCCGGTCTTAAGCAGGGCACCTAACGACACGTCCTCCATCTTATAATGCCAGTCTGGCTCCTTCTCAAACGTGAGTCCCCCGTATAAATAAATGTCCTCCTCTTCATATCCCCCCGTCTAATTAATGTAATCATGTTATTAATGTAATCATATAATAAATGTAATAAAGTTATTAATGTTAGTATCTAATTATTGTAATATTACTATCTCTATCTTGTAGAGCCAGTCTGACTCCTTCCCAACGTGAGTCCCCCATATAAATAAATGTCTTCCTCTTCATATCCCCAAGTCTAATTAATATAATAATGTAATGAATATTTGTATATAATTATTGTAATCATGTTATTACTGTAATCATGTGACTTTTTTTAAGTATCGTATTAATGTAGTCATATAATTTATGTTAGCATGTATTAAATGTTATCATGTAATTAATGTTAATATCTAATTACCATACTAATATAATCTCTATCTTGAAGTGTCAGTCTGGTTCCTTCTGAAAAGTTAGTCCCCCGTATGAATTAATGGCCTCCTCTTTATATCATTAGGTCTTATTAGTGTAATTAATGTAATTGTGTAATTTATGTACTCGTCAATGAAATGTTATCATGCTATCAATGATATCATATAATTAATGTTATAATGTTTAATTATTAAAACATATGTAAAAAATACAATCATGTGTTTAATATAATCATGTAAATAAATGTACTGGTGTACATCAATGTAAATATGTAATAAATGGTTTCCTTTCGTTCATGTTATTGTTTGAGAAATGTTATCAAGTTTACAATTCTTTCGTGTAATATAAATTCATAAAATTATAGTAGCTGTGAAAATAAAGCAACTGTGTTTTGTTTTTACTCTGTTTCTTATTATTATTATTTTTTTTTTCTTCTTCTTCCTGGGAAAATCTTTTCCGCGAGTGATCTAATTGTGTTGTGTAATTATTAAGTATCATATAATTAATATGATATGATTTAAAAAATATATTTTTTATATAATAAATCCAATCGTGTAATTATTCTAAACTTAAAATTAACTCACCCATGGAATTGATGTATTTTAACGCTACTACTAAATACAAGAAATCATATTCCCTTAAGGCCAGTTAATGCAGTTAATATATCCGTTTGTAATTAGTGTAATTTCTGCTATTGAAACAATACGAAAAAAATTCCAGTAAAAATGATAAAGTTTTGTTTTCATGTATACATGATGATAATGCATTCTTTTAATTGATACTGTTAAGTAATTAATGACATTGTGTAATTGAAACAATAAAAATAAAACACAGTTCGTTGTCAATCAATTGATATTGAGATCAAAAAATCTTTCAACAATATAATCGGTAAATCTTACTTAACATTAAATGATGGTAAAAGACATTACAAAAACTTTATTTCTTATGAATATATTGTTTTACTGCATTTAGGGATGCACGAATTTATTAAATAAAACAGTAAAACATATTTGATTTCAATTTCTTTATTTGACAATAGTAAGAAAATGTAGAGAGGGAAATTCTTATAAAATTGTATTAAGCTATAATAATATTATCATCAAAGGGAACGTTAAGAGTAACGATACAAATGATGTAAAGTTATTTTGGTCTATTAGATATCCATCCATATTACTTATATTTATATTTATAAAGCAAATAAAATTATCCAATAACATGAAAGGATTATAAGAAAGTATTTCCTTCGTGGAGAACACACCAATCAATGTAAACTTACATTATACTGCTGGTACCCGATCGCTCCGGCGCCATCTTTGTGTCGCCTTATAGTGTTCCTGATTGGTGCAATGATGACTTCTGCTTTGCGAAGACGACCAGTTTTATACAACACCAGTACGAAAATCACGAACAACAGCAGAAGACAAATGGCTGCGAAAAAAAGTAAAACCCAAGATTAAACGAATGAAGGGATGAATGGGTCAGTCATGAAGTAAGGAAAGAAATAATCACACTTTCTGGAAGTCTCTTCCTTTAATCATTTTTGTGCGTTTAAAATTTTTAATTTTACAGACACCCCCCTTCCTACCCTCCTCAAAAATAAAATGTTTTACCGACAACAATTCCGGATATTCCGCCCGCGGATAGTCCGGTCTGTCCAACAGGTCCAGCTGTAAACAAAAACATAATACAGGACACTTGGAAACTAAATCAAGTTTGATTTTTGATGTCCATATATAGTGGGTTTTTTTTTTATTTCTATTCTCCATTTTTTCATCCTTTACTATTGCTTTGTCTTTTATCATTTACGGATACCATTTATTAAATCCTTTATATATTTATGCCTCTATATGGTATATTGTTCTTGTCCTGTCTTTCTGTTTTCAGTTTTAACCTAGTCCATATTGACCATAATTATTGCGTAATCAAGGGTAAGTGCTTCATTCCACCATTAGTGACATAGTATTTTACAAACATATAACGTTACTTTTTGCAACTGCATTACACTTACAAGTCGTCGTGAAGACGAAAAACAAAGGGTCGCTTATATCACCGCCATCATATTCTATGGTGAAGCTGACGTTATACCGGGTGAGTGGTTTCAAGCCTCGGAGGTCGAATCTTCTGACCCTTGCGTTCACTAGCTTTCTATGCTTTTCCCCGTCATTGTATTCTAAAATGATGTTCTGGCGGCTATAGCAAGTGTCTGTCAGATTCCACCCAAATCGAACCCCACTTCCGGTGTTGTCGAGTAGAATTACGGATTTCACGGTTTGATCTGTTAATGCCAAAACATACCACTGAAATCTTGGTTTCATCTCTCTGAACATGAAATGTCCTAATAATCGAAAGACTTTGCAAGAGAGCAGAATGTGTACTGCATGTGCATTGAAAAAAAGATTATTATGGCATTGTATATTTCTTAATGATACGTAATTATGACACTTTCTTTGTAAATTAATAAATTAATTAATTTTTTTTTTACTTTTTGGTTTTATTTATTTATATATTTAACATATATATTTTACTTTACAAATAAAATTAGGATACAAAGACTGCATTAACTTACATTCTCCGATTCCATTAAATTCTCCTAGATTGACCTCAACTGTCGTCTGATTTAGCATCATGGCGCCATTATAGGCCGTGACCTCTACAGCAAACTGATCAGACGCCTGTCTCTCTTTCGGAACTCGGAACCAACAATTGTTTATCTCCAGTTCTTGTTGGTAAAAATAGAATAAATCCCGAACCTTGTACGACTCATCGGGGTTACCTCTTGCCTAAAAAGAAAAAATAATAAACAAAAAATCAATACTTTGAAATCTGTCATTGACAATTTATCTTTGAGTTCTTTAAAATTGTGAATGTAATGTGCACAACTAAGTAGGTTCTCATTTTGATACACCAGGGGGTTAAATTAGGAACCTACCGGCTTTCGTACTTAGGCAGTATATTGTTCAAATAAATACAGAAGTTTTTTATTTGAAAATAAATTGAGAAACAAAATATTTTAAAATACATATGTAAAAAAAATACAATCTATAATTAAATTTGTTGAGATTGTTGCAGTATCTACGAGTCTGACATATACCGGTATGTATTATTGTTTGGAAACTTACAGAAAATCCTATTAAATTCAGACTTCTTCGTTCCGCGCCATATTATATAGGACGCGGATCTAAGAAGTCAGTAAATAGGATACTTTTACTTGTAGAGATACTGATGTTTTGAGATTCTCACAAATAATGAGATACACGTACTCTAAACTGTTGAACAAATGTATTTTAAGCTGTTGAGATGCAGCTCTTGAGTTGTTAACAGTGCTGAAAAGTTGACAATTCGTGAGATACTAAATGTTGTTGAAAATCTTACATTCATTAAGAACTGATAAATGTTTAGATATTGATAGCTATTGAGATACGGAGAGTTGAGATACTTATAGTTGTTGAAATACTAAAAGATATTAAAATAACTCACATGTCCAGTTTTTTAGAAACTTAGTACTTAAATATATACTTACATGTACTATCTATTATTGAGATAAATGTAGTCCTTGTAACTGAGATATGTACTAACCGTTGTAGAACTGTTGACTCTAACAGTACCGTTTTCTGCTACAGAACTGTTGGATTTATTTATTATGCGGAAGTATATCTGAGAAATACCACTGTGTTCATCCGCAGCTCGGAACCAAAGTCTAAAATATTCACCATCCATAACACATAGCACGTACATTTTTATTTGAAATAAATGGAAGATATCTTAAAGCTTTACATTATAAAAATTGTCGGTACTAATTCAAAATAGTTCATGATTTTAAATAATGACACACAAATGTGTCCTAGAGTAATATGTGTTTTTAGGTGCCAACAAACAATGTTAACCATGCAGTCGTGCATTTACTATAGAAAACTTAGATACTAAAGTTCTTTTAAATATATTAAGTATGGTTTAAAAATAGCGAAAGAAATAACAATTTACATAGTTTGGAGTTTATTATAAGCATCAATTTGGAAATTATTTTGCGCTAATTTCTTCCTGTATATATACAATACTGCATTCTGGGACACAGGAAAAAAAATAGCACAGAATAAGTTTCAAAGTGATTCTTATAACAGATGTAATGTAAAGATGGTGACCCTCCTGGCTCCTTATAATACATTAATATTTATTGTACTCACTTGCTGCCGTATGTATATTTCGATCCCATGTTCTTCATAAAGCTTGCCTTATACAGTAAAGGCCCAGAAGCATCAAAACCCAACTGAATGAGGGAGACATTCCTGTTCCCCATGGCATCCTCCGCTCTGACCCACAGCTTTACCGAATCTCCCTCCCTGACCACGCTACTGAGGGAGCGGGAAAATGTTGTAGTTAAACTCTGGTCACCCCAGCCAGCAGGTGAATTAACATCAATAGTTTGTTCTCCTGTCTCGTCAAAATATGTTTCAAATCTGCCAAATAATCATGTTAATCAAGGTTCAAAAAAATGTATATAAAGACCGATATGATTAGGCTGAATTTGATTAGGATAAAATCAATAACACTTTTAAAGCAAGGAAAGAATTTTCTACTCATGCTGATGATGAAAAAAAAATTTACCCAAAGGTAATAAACAGGATGTATTGATATTGTGGTTATAACGAGAAGATATATGAAACATTTTCAGTTATCTCTAGTAATTAGCTTTAACCGTGTTTTACTTTATCAACAAATTATGCTCTGCTAGGTTTCAAATAGTAATATATAGATGATCTCTGACTTGCCTCGTTATTCCGAGTTTGTTCGGAATCTGTTCTTGTGGTCGTGCGTCTGTCCCTGATTCTTTGTACTTGGAGCTAACAGTTTTGGGGAACACACCAGGATCCGCGCTTTCGTCCTCCAGCTGCGGCTGGTAATCTTCGATTCTGTTAAGAAACCCTCCCTCGTGATGAAGACGATTTATGAAATGCCCCTCCCACGAGAATTCCACACGAACATTACTTTGTGATGGCGCCGACAATATCTGCCATTTATAGCTAGCGTTTGGTGAACCTGATAGAGCCTTAATGTCATTATCCCCTTTTTGTATATCTATACCTGATGAACTTGGATCGTAAACTACATAGCGAGCTACGTATTCAGAATTGTTTGCCCTGTCTGAGGCCTCTAAGATCATTGCGTAAGCACCCGGTCTCTGTGGTGAATACGTCCTCACTTTCTCAGCATCAGAATGGTTGTACTTCATACTAGATATTGGGTCCAAGAAAGCATTACAGGAATCTCCGAACTGAGGATTGATACAATTCTCTTTGGTTCTTTTTACGTATCGCAGAATTCCGCTTTGATTTTGAAGTTCAAAGATTTCCCAGTTGTAACTCTCCATTCCAGAAAGTGTATCATTCCATCCTGACCAACGAGTTTCAATGGCTCTCTGTGAAAGTTAATAAAAAATACATATACGTACCTGGCATGTTTTTATATATTTCTTACGTCCTTAAACAGAAAAAAACATTTCCATCACCAAAACAAATCTTTGAGGAATCTTTGTCCCCCAAAAGAAAAATGAAAAGCATATATAAAACAAACAGCTAAATAAACATAAAATTCAATGAACGTCATGTTTATTTGGCTTTATCACTAAAGAGTACAGAGTTTAATTCATCTGTTACAATAACTTTGAATTTTGAATTAAAGAACTTCAGAGCAGACGCTCTGAACACTGCGTCACGCGAGTAACAGAACGGTTAATGTCATATTGGTATCTGAACTACAAACTTACTTTTGCGTAATTTATAACCAAGATATTCTCAAGTATGAACATGTGTGTGCAGTGCAGAGATGGGTCAATTATTTTACAAGGTAATTCATTAAATAACAATTACTTTGAATTTTTTTTTTAATTAAATTACTGGCTTTCTAAGATACGTAATTGATTAAATTACAATAACTTCATATTTAAGAAAATCACAGGGCAATATTTATTCTGTAACCGTACCTTGTTCTTTCATTCATATAATTTTGTTAAAAGGTTAATATACTTATCAAATTAAAAGAAAATTTTCTTTTCGCAAACTAGCGGAGCATTTTTAATTAACATAATTATTTCCTTTGGCTTTGTCCTTTGAAAAATCATGGTTTGTTTCAATGCAATATACCTCTTTATATGACTTGATTTGTTTTATTTGCAATTTACTGCAGCTGCTGTGATCTAAGAAGATGGGCAATTATCATAAACAAAAAAAAATCAAAGAACTTTATTCAGTAGTAACCAATAATTAGAGAGAACTTTCGGAGTAAAATTAATTTTGACCCATCCATTCTTTTTCTCTTATTTTGACACACACATTCTTAGAAAAATTAAAAATTCATCAATCACACAACAGAGATGTGTGAATAAAATATATTAAAAATGTGTGTTTGAACACACAGCTGTCTATAAATAAAATAGTTGAAATTTTGTCCATTTTGTCCTTTTTCTGAAAAATAATACAAAATCCGCCGAGTTTGTGACGTCATAAATAAAAATAATTGTTAATAAACTTTCTATAATATGTTTTGATAAACATAAAACAAAAAAAGTCAAATTTATACAATCATTAAAAAAAGATGATGATGATGATGATTATTATATGATCTGCCTCCTGTGTAATTATAGGATTGGGGATGTGTTGTTTTGCAGTAAAATAAATGACAATCAAATTGGGAGTTAGTGGTATTTATGAAGTACAATGTAATTGAATGTAATTGAAAAAGTAATTGAAATTACATAGGTTTTTTTTTCAATATAATTGATTAAATTATATTTACCAATAATTGAAAAAATGTTCAATTACAAATTACTTCCTATTACTTCAGAAAAAGTTATTAATTACAGTCAATTACAATTACTTTTTTCAATTAGTACCCGTGGTAAAGAGAAGTTCGAAAGACTTTTTCTTACTTTTGTAAAAGATTCCAGCACTCTAAATGCTGTGCTGGTATTGGGAACGGGTTTATCTAGGTCTATTCTATAAGTAACAGATGCTGTAGAGTTTGTTTGCTGTCTAAAAGGAAGTCGAACTCCATCAGACAGAACCTCGTATCCCCCGTTCTCAACTGTAAACCTCAATGTGAATCTGGGAAATATAAAATCTTAAAACTTAACACAGATGTATATAAAGGCTCTTCGTTTAATAGGAATGTTCAAAGATATTGATTTTGCAATTTGAAATTCAATTAATCAACTATTTAGAGGAAGTCATTTTGTTTGGTATATGAAATTTAAACTTCTTAAAACAGAGGAGTTTTTTTACGTTTAAAAAAAATAATGTTTAAAGTTATTACTATTTTAAGTATTTTTACCAAAAATTAGTGTATTCTAGCAGCAGTAACAAAATAAGATTGATTATTTATTGTAATATGTTTTCTTAAAACTGCATTTACTAGAACTTTAATAGATTAATAGCTTTTTGCACATATTTGCTCATTTGGTTTATACACATACAACTATCTATTGTTAAAAAATGCAGTTTAAGCTGCCGATATTGATTTTTTGCCTTTCAGGTTTGATACTACAGAGCACTGAAAATTTAGTGAACGACATGATTAGGGAAGAATCAACAACTAATGATTTATAGAATAAAGTAAACTTTATTAACACTGCTAAAAATCACAAAACAAACAATATGGCGTCAAAGGGAAGAGAAAATATCCGTATTTCCAGCCCGATAACAAATCAGTCACACAGTCAACACCTGAGGCCTGTTCAAAAAAGTGAACGTTCGCGATCTCTCGCCAAAATTCCGTATACCTCCTAAAGAAATGTTGCGAGCGTTTGCACTTTTGAACAGACCTCTGTGTTGGCGCAATGTGCCTAGCATTCTATAAATCAAAGTGTTCACTTACACATCACCGCTGTCGCTAGCCAGTGGGTTGAAAAACTCCACCCGACATTCCTGTAAGGTACTGTCTGGGCTGTTCTCGGAAACTTCAAGACAGGTGCTGGAATTACCCCCCACTCTTTCTGGGACCCCGTCTAAACAGTAAGTATAATCCAAATCATTTATACTATCGAATCTAGAGAGAAAACAGATGTTATCATGCATGCTTTTCATGAAATACAGTAAAGTATAATTAACAAGTACACATGTATACTGTCAAATTATTTCGACGAAAGAGGTACAATTATGTTCATCAAATTAGAAAAATCTATGCATATATTTCACTCAAATTCAAGAACTTTTTTTTCTTACAGGAGGTCAATTGTATTAGAAAATGTTAACTATAATCTAGATACCAGGTCTGTACAACCTTGAATACATACTCACAGTAAGATGTTAATATTGTAAGAAAAAAAAATCACCCTTGCAACAGTAAAAACGTTTTGCAAGAATTCTGCATCACAAGCAAAAATTTATGTGTGTACGGATATCAACTTTTGTCACAATTCTCACTGAATCATCTGTTAGTCAGAAAATCTTGATAACGTGTAGCCTTATTTGTTACAAAGTTATAACCAAAGGAAATTAATCACATTGTTCCTATTTTTTATAAAAAAAACTCTATATGTAAACGATTTCTAGTGGTTCGTGGTGTGATATGTCATATAATTTACCAAACTGCCATTGCCATTTAACCCTTCTTACTTTTAAGTTTTTGTAGTTCCCATTCCATTACTGCTTTAGTCACGCCTATTCTGGACTCAGAAACGTAGCTTGGTCGGGCTGAAAGCTGATCATCTAGACCAAATACTGCAGAGAAACTCGCCCGGATTTCATTAAATCTCTTAAAGTTTGCCCAGATTGACGCACTAGGGACACTTCCGGTTCCGAGTGTGGTGGCATCAGTGGTGAAGTTATAGATGTCCATGAGTTTAGTCGGATGGTGGTACGCCAAAACAGCTGAGGCCAGAGTGATTGTAGGAGACTGTGTAACTAAAATGTGAATTATATATGATTGCGCCCATGAGAAAAGGGTCCTTATGGCAATTTTACACATTTTGAGTTCTTCATGAATTTTGATAGAACAAGGTTAGGAGTTGTCAAATATGAATTTTTATGGCTCTAATCCATCTCTAAGTATGTTTTTTCTTCGTTTATATCAGTGATACTTTTATTTTTTTAACAGTGGAATCATGACGTCAGGTTGACGTTACGTCAAACATTGACTATAATTTTTTGTAACGTTCCTAATATGATTGTAAAGAATCATTTTTTTTTAAATAGTTGTTATAAGTAGTATCCATCAAAGGTAGAGAATCTTTTTTCTCTCAATTTTTTTTTATAATTAATTGTTATAAACATTATCTATCAATGCATGGTATGTGCGTTGATTGTAATACACTTCTCTCATGCTGGACGACAGAAAATTTACAACTCAGAAGGTGCAACTTCCGGGCAAGAATTGTTTTGTAAGTATACAGGATGAGTTCAAAAGTTATTTTATTTTAAATTTTATATTTCAATTTCATTTTAAATAAAGCAACAATTTTGTTGCTTGATTGTATAAATCTGATACATCTTTCCAAATCCGAAAATAAAAAAAATGTCTCTGGGAACGAGAATATACCAGAATCTACCCAGTAATGTAGAATAGTTTTTTTTCTTTTTCTATATATATAAATATGATGAAGACAATTAACATTTGAAATGCAATTATTTACGAAAATACAAAAAATTGATACACTATAGATAGATTACACATTTAGCAATATTCCATAGAATGTTTGTGAAAACATTTGGAAGGAACTCTGTCTTGCATTGGTAATAAAATCTTTATCTTAATTGAAACAATACATCCTTTTTCAATTCCAATATTGAACTTTTTTTTATCATATACTCATAAAATATGCTGCTTAAATAATTTAAAACTCAAATGCATGAAATAAATAAGGCAGGGTCAGTTCCAGGAATTCCGGTGGTAATTATTTCGGGATGATTTCAGTTGGATGGGGGTAGGCGTTTAATAGGTAAATGACATACTTATACATGTACGAGTATAGCTAATATGAGCTTAACCCTCCCCCCCCCCCACCCCCCACCTCACACACACAACTAAATACACAACCCAGTTAGACTATAATATTGGGAAATTATTCTTTAATTTTATTTTTTAAATATTAATTTTAAACCCACAATGTTGTTTTCCTAAGCAATCAGCGATCAATTATTGGGAAACACATGCCCGGAACTATAGAAACTTGACTGACCACTATCAACGAGTGAAATGGCACCGAAGCGTAACCTCTATAATGTAATAATATAATTCCGGGCATTTTGGTTATGATAAAAACAATTTCAAACCGAATTTCGTTAAATTGTGAAATTGATTTCTCGATCTATCCATTTATTTTAATCAAATATTGTAGTAAATAAATCGCGCGTGATAAGAAATAGTTTTATGTGTTGTTTTAATAAATCGCGCTGTTTAATTTATAGAAAAGATTTATTCAATTGGAAATCAGACTTATATGTTAATGTCACAGACACTTGTTTCGGAAATTAATTTTTAAACCATAGTATAATATATATACTATATGGGTTAAAAATTAATTTCCAGAACAAGATTAGTGCCTGTGGTTCGTCTCCAGTTATGCGTCTGCTACATATACGTAATATCCTCTGATTGGCCGAATTCTGAAATGACAAATTTTTGCAAAGTGGTACATATAGCTAGGTCTGTTGTTTAGTTATGATGTCATTTTTTTTTTATTTCAACACTTACCCCCTACCCACCCCCACCCTTTATACTTTCTTTTGTGTACGAAATTCTAATATGCAAGCTTTTTTTTTTTTTTTTTTTTTTTATTATTATTTAACTTATTTTACTGAATAAAACATTTCAAAAAAGTTTTAAATCATTACTTTATGGATAAAAAAAAGTCTTCGCAGAATTGGTACATGTATGGCAAAACTGCTTTGAAGGCCTTTCGCTTGAAGCAATGCTGTATGGAAATCTTGCCAATTTTATATTCCACTTTCATTTTTTTCTGACTTTTGTTGTAATTCTCCTTCCGGTCTGAAAAGAACTCATATAATGTGTCATTACTGGCAGATTTTAATATGTAACTGTATTGATCTGTAATTGCCCATAGATTTATTAATAAAATGTAGCGGCGGTAATGATCACCCGAAATTTCGAAGAAAGTTTTACACCGGTAAGAGTTAGGTTTTGGTAAATCAAAAGCCTCAACCCCCCCCCCCCCCCCCCCCCCATATATCTGTAGCCAAAATAAGAATCTTGCAAGCATAATATTCATGTTTTGTGCAGTGTATTTGTTTTATTTTATAGCATGTAAAAATAAAACCCGAAATAATTAATTCATAAAGAATTATTTTTACCAAAAAACAAAAAACAAAACAAAACAAAAACAAAAACAAAACAAAAATGGATATAAATTGATTTCAATGCACTCTCTCTCCCTCTCTTATAAGTTTTAAAACCTGGCTATCTATCAAATAAAGAGAAAAATATTTTAAATATGCTGAAATTACTGAATGATCAGTGCAATGTGAACTATTAAAATCTTGCTATTTTATTTTTTTTTTTTTTTTTTTTTTGATTTATTTAATTAGATAGTTTTATTATTTGTTGTTGTTGTTGTTGTTGTTGTCATATCGTATGTATTATTAAAGTTAAATTAAAAAAAAAACAAAACATGAAGATTAGTTCAAATTTATAGAGGATTGAAAAGGAATTTTTATTTAATAATGATGAGGATTAAAACGTGCTTAAGCTGCTGTTAATTAATATATTTTTTTTCATATTAAATCCTTAGCAAAGCCATGCGAGACGATTGTTAAGAAATTAAACCTGATCGAATGAGGAAAAAAACGTACACTTGAATCGAAATTCCCTCTCTGGTACCTCTCATGTACCTCGAGTTATCTCTCTTATTTTTAGTCATAGAAAATCTATCACATTCTTCTTGTGTATTCTTCTCAAATTGTGAAGCCTTCAGAAAAATTATACTTTAAAAATTAATTTCTTTTTTGAGAAGAAGTTAACAGAGCTTCATTTTTATACCAAATATATGTACATCGCATAAAAACAAAATGTACAAAAGTTAGCCTGCACCGGTGATTCAATGTTTACATGTTGTGATAGTGGAGCGGATCAAAATCCTTTTGCGATATTATATTTATTTCCGTGTCTAGTACAATACATGTACGTAATCTCAAACTGGTCCACATATATCAAAATACGAATTCATTCGTCCATGTATTCAACAAGCCAGTTAATCCATTGTCTGAAGTTTTTGACAAAAAATTAATGAATATATTAACTGTGGAATAAAATTCTGTCATTTTTTTTTCATTAAAACTATTGGACAAAAGGATTTGGACACAGATTAAATATGTGAATGAAATTCTTTTATTATTATCAATATTCAGACCTACAACAAAAGTTAGTGTCAAAAACGTAAACACGTGGTAAAAAAAAAATCTGCGTTGACACTCGCCGTCGATCTGCAACGTCACGTCTTTATGACGTTATTTCTCTGTTTTAGTGAAAATGTCATAAGGACCCTTTTCTCATGGGCGCAATCATATATGAACGTTTATTCAGTTGACGGAGAAAATCTACCAAATATGGAATTTTGGAAGAAGCACTGACTTTTATAGTTGACAAATTAAACCTTGGACAGAATTACAGAAGAAGGATATGGAGCTGACGAAGAGTATTCAATATCAAAGTGCATAAAACAATACAAAATAGGAGCAGAGCATACACGGACCTCCGAAGATTCAGAGGTGGGATCAGGTGCCATGGAGGAGTGAGCATCCCCTGCTGACCGAATAGATACGAAACCATTTCTAATGGTCATAGAAATGATGTTAGGGGCACTAACCAGTGGAGCTGAGGGTAGGTTAGTTGTCTTATTCCTCAAGGACAACTTATATGTGCTATGAATAACCCATAATTTTCACTAAATTAAATGTTAAGCTAAATATTTATATCGTTAACTAGCTTCTGCACATTGTTCTAATGTAAAAGTATGCCATCAACAGTAAAAGTCAACGTCCTCGCAAAAGTCTTACATGAAAATTAGATTGAAGAATATCGAGTGTCTGTAAATAATATACAGCTCACGATTTTCTTTTAACCTCACATGTTTTTTTTTTACACAAATTAAGGTCACATTGTTATAATACAAAATTATAAGACGTGAAAACAAAATATACATTTGTATTTTAAAAATAATTTATACAACTTAATTCTGATCATATTCCATTACTTGAAACATAATCCACACATAATAATTGGTAGGATTTCCATATGCTCTTGGATGATATATTGTGAGAGTTTCCAAATGGATCTTTCATGGTTTTTCTTCAAATGCAACCGTCTTTGTATCCGTTCATTTTAAAGCATGCTTTTGCCTTGCCTTAATACAAGAACAGTTAGTTAATGTAGCTTCTGTATTTTCTGTACATTAATATGACACTTATGCGCAAGATGATAGAAGTATTTCCCATTTGTTAGACTGCTTTCCATGTTTAAAAGATGGCATTTATTTTCTCAGGTTAGCTTCCTGAAATCTAGCATCACGAAAGATGCCTTCGAGCACAAGATTTCACAGTTTCAGACCATAAATGTAAAAGTATTTTCTTTTCAATATTTACAATTTACTTTGTTGAAAGATAAACAATACTTTATTATCCTATACTTTCACATGATTTCGTTATGCAGTTTTGTCATTTTTCGGCGCTGCATTTCGACAAAATCAAGATAAGTACGGAAAATGTGCAACCTACTTAGAAACGTTCTCATCTGAAAGAATTTAGTTTGAACATTTCAACTAAATAGTATCAAAAAAAAAGTTCGATTAATCAATTTGTAAATACCTATGATAGAATCATACACATTTAACATCATACAATTTATAAATAATTCCCTTTTAGAACATAGACGTTTAAAACTTGATATAATGATTTTAGAGAATAT